CTGATTTTCAACCCCGTTCACCCCTGGTTTTTCAATTTTTGTTGCATCAATATGTTGCGTTTTGAGACATAGTCAACCATTAAAAGGATAAATTTCTTTTAGATAAAGCGGAAAACAATATTTTCCTGTTATTTTCCCATAGGGAAAACTCATGTGATCCATTGCTTTCAGCTTAATTTTGGTCACCCATATTTGATATCTTTAAAATCCCTGATGGAACGTATTTTTCATTTAAAGGGGTTACCTGTATGTAAAAACACATATATTTATACATATACACATATATATTTATGCATGTGGGTGGGTTGTTTGCACCCTCCCTGTCTCAAAATAGAAATTATTTTATCATCTCTATGGGTGCTTTTCCTGGAGGAAATGCATTGGCCTAACATATGCACCTCCTCAAATCCTCAGAAAATAGCCAAAATCCAACATATGATTGCTGAAATCTGTTGCGATACTTTCAGTCGTCCTTTACGATTTCAGGTATAGCCCTGGATGTCCCTCTTTTTGAATGTATGACTTAGCTTAGAAATTAGATGTTGAAAATATTGTGGTCAGGTTTGATCCATGTTACATGTACAAGTATTGTTAAAAGAAAAATCATTAGAGTTGAGGACTTAACCCTTGAGTTCCTAAGGGGGTGAGAGGTTAATAAATCCCCCAGTAAGTGTAACTGCTCCTAGGGATATCGTATACAGTGTAGTAATTGATTGATTAAATGGATTATAACTAATTAATTATTATTTGATGATATTTATTATGTGATATAGCATTTTTACTTTTTCACATCAACATGTTCGATGTAATGTTCTGCATTATCAAAATACATAAAGACATGGTTAATTAAAAGAAACATGTTATCTCTATATTTTGTTATGCCCCTTCTGTAATTAAGCAATGATCATCTCCTAATACAATATGTTGTTATGAATTATCAAATTATAATCACTACACTCCCAATAAAACAATTTGTCATCAGGCAACAGTAATTATTTGGGAAAATAGGGATTATAAGGATCATACCCCTCCCCCCGGGCCTAGAAACTTCCGTTAGTGCAATGATATAAGGAACTCTAGGGTAAAAGGGTCTTGTCACATTAAAATCTTCATGTAGATCAAAAAAGTATATATGGTGATATGATCAATATGTTTCAAACAAACAGACATTGTAGAAAATGTTTACATACTGACTTTGCAGATGACATTTTCTAGCACAGTTGAAGATTTTTTTCCTTTATTGAAATGATAGTCATAAAATTATAATATCAGTGTCATTTGATGCAAATTACTGCAGTCCCACATGTTCTGCTGAATGTAAAACAGAGTGAATAATTTTAAAATCAACCTATTCAGGAGTGGAATTTAACAGGAGATTTCAGTTATCATTTTCACAGATATTTGAGTTCTCTCCAATAGTTCCACTTAAAACAATCTTGACATCTGGCACACTTTTAGAATGCTGCTTTATTGAATTTCTTTGTAATCTTTGAAAATTTGTCTTATATTAGTTGGACAAAGGTATTCATATTTTTAGGTAATGGTGTAATTTCTTCTATGGATTAAAGTTCAATAGGGGAAGCATCCATTCTTCGCATTCTTTCAGAATCCTTTACTGATGGAGACAACTAGCTAGGAGTCTAATATGAAATCTATTCTTTGGGCTCCTTTACTAGATTTGATGGAGTAGTCAAATATAGCTTTCCAAAACTCTCCAAATTTCAACATATAAGTTAATCTTCATTTTCCCTTTGTCATAGCCATTGCATCAATCATGAAAGTGTTATCAATTTGTGGTATGGTTTCATCGATCTCCATTTCAAACCCCTTTCTAAGTTCTGATTTTACAGGATAAGATAGATGATCATTGTCAAACGAACTGTTTGTATCCATATAAGATCATAGTTTACTCACACATTTCTAGGCAAGGTGTGTCCAATTCCAGCCAATTCAATATTCCATATAACTGCATTCCAATTTACTACTCTCATAAACCCAAGGTCAATTTTAGATTCTAGAGAAACTAATGAAACTAATGATCATAGGGAATAGCATGCCAAGTGCTTGTATTTGAATTTATGTGAATTACTCATTTGGTAGACACCTTTATCAAATGTTAAAGTGTTGTTGATTTTCAAGTTGCACAAGCACAGTGTCATAGGTGCTTTCTTTTCCTGACATAGTATAACATTGTGGTAAAAATTATCAAAGGCACCTAGTACAGTAGTTCTAGTTCATCATCTTGTATAAATGATATATCAGCAGTGAAACCTGTATATCCCAACATCTGACTATTGTGAACACCTACCAATCATCCCAACACCTGACTTATCTGAAAACCAACCAATCTGAACACTTTTCCCCAGTTCAATTTTTCCTTCCTCCCATTGACTCCTATGTTTAAAAATTGAAATCTGAACACCTCTTAATTCGAACAGTCAACACTCATATTTGAAAAATCAACCTGTTTAACTTGAACTTTTTTTTACCAAATATCACATATTTCTTACAAAATTGCTCAAATATTGTCAGTTTAACACTGAATTGTTATGATATCAAAACTTTTGAATTGGATTTTGTAATGCTATTAAGCTTTTTGGGTGGTCAGTATAAATATTATTAATATTTATTAATATTTTTCATTGAGAATGCATTCATATTTCTTCAAAATCCAGAATATTGCAGATGTAAAAACCTCAAAATTCAAACACTTCTAATTTGAACGCTTTTAGCTGGTCCAAATACTATATCTAGTAGCATTCAGATTAGAAAGATTTTACTGTAGTTCATGACTTTTCACTCCATCTATATGCAGCAGACTAACTGCTGCAACAGGTATATATTCTACACCTGGTCTCTAAGCTATGATATCACAGTTGTTACTATTATGTTCATAACCTTCGATTATCAGGGCTCATTCAAGGCTGTACCTGAATAACGTGAATTTGAGACCAATTTTCGAGATCAATTTTTCAAATTTTGCACTTGTTTAAAACCTTGAACTTCCTTCAAACTCATCTTATGCATCTTTTACATTTTAGTTAAATACTCATATATATATCTCATCACTGAGGTATATCTATTCCATAAGGGTCATCTTTGGCTATACCTGAAATTCATGAATTTGAAAACTTACATTTTACAATTCTTCAAATTTTTGACTTGTTTAAAACCTTAAACTTTCTTAAAATTCATTTTGGGTATGTTAAATCTTACTCCCACACTCTAAAACTGTATATTTAATCATAGAGGTATGGATGTAAAAACCATAAGGGTCAGCCATGGCTATACCTGAAATTTGTAAATTTGAAACCTTATATTTACAATTTTTCAAATTTTGAACTTGTTTAAAACCTTAAACTTCCTTAAAACCCATCTAAATTGTGTTTTACATATTAGTTCCATACAGCAATACCATAAGTATCACCATAGAGGGATGGATCTAGAAACTATAGGGGTCTGCCATGGCTCTACCTGGAATTCGTAAATTTGAAACCTTATATTTACAACTTTTCAAATTTTGGACTTGTTTAAAACCTTAAACTTCCTTAAAACCCATCTTAATTATGTTTTACATCTTAGTTCCACACTATTAAACCATATATATCATCATAGAGGGATGGATCCAGGAACTATAGGGGTCAGCTATAGTCATACACAAAATCCAGCTGTCAAAAATGTCAAATTTTTCAAAAAATCAACAATTTTTTTCTCAGCTCCTACCTCTTCCACGGCTTTGCATCTTTCAGGGTTACTAACCCTGCTATTGGGCACTTCACATGAATTTTTCCAACCTCTTACAGTGTCTAGTTGAAAAGTTAGGATCAAAATAGTAAGGAAATGGGTGACGAATTTGCCCCCTGGGGTACACACTTTGTACTAATATTCAATTTTTTTAGGAGTAATCAGCATCAATTATACTGCAAATGATTCATATATATAATATCTATGTATGTCACTTACAAACATCAAAATATCTAAGGTTATTTAGTGTGAACAATTTTTTTCCCCGGGGTGGGGTGTTTTTGTGGGGTAGGGGGCTAACTCTTCAAAAAAAAGAACTTCCTACCACTCTGTGAAGCTATCACCTAGGTGGAAATTTCATACAAGACTCTCCCCTAACTGAAAATGCTGCCAAACCAACTATACTCCATTTATTGAGAATTTCCCTCCTCGCCCCTAGAGTAAATGGAATGAAGTAGCATAACAATAAAACTGCTCTGAATACTAGGACCATCCAAAAGTGCTCAGATTTCCCAGTTCAAGGCTTTTTAACTTGATAATCTGTGTCATATTAAGAAATGGACCCAAAAAAAGCGTTCATATTGAGACGTGTTCAGTTTAGAGATGTGTTTGAATATACAGGTTTTACTTTACATTTTACATTTTTAATTTGAAGATGCATATTCAACAAATATGTGACATTTATTCTGCACCAGGCCTTGAAAGAAATGCATCTTGAAAGAAATACAGTTTTGTTTACAACATTCTAAGTATTTTGATCAAAAAGAAGTTTTAGTTATACATATCCATGAACTTTCAAGCTACAAGGGTCGTTCGAAAAGTTTTGCATGAGAAGAGATTTTATTATTTTTACATGAAATTTCTTACGGATATACAAGTATCACCTGTCTTACATTCATATCTGAAATTTCAAGACCATTCACAATGCACTTCTTGAGATATATTGACTTTAAAATGTGAACATTCAGTGTTCTTATCCGTTCTTATTGGTGCAGCGTTTCCAAAGAGTGTCCAGTCTGAAAGTGTCGGGGACATTTCGAAGCAAGCCAAATATGTTAGAGAATTTTGAAATAGCTGAAATGAGTACTAGTAAATCATTGCAATTGAAGTTTATTGAGCAAAAGTAAATATATATGCATTAAACTAGGCTATGGTAGAATTGCATCCTTCTGCAATGTTTGGGTGGTTTGGACAGCTCAGATACTATTTTTTCTGTAATGTGCAGTGTATTTATGTTATGCTTTGTGTGTTTCCAGAGACTGATGAATTTCTGGTTGAACTTGACGAAGACGTTGAAGGCATGCAGAGTACTATCTACTTCCTACAACAACAACTTAAAGACACTAAAGACAGAATTGTTGCCTTAGAGGCTGAAAACGTGAACCTTAGGCAACAACAACAGCAGCAATCTTTGGGGACCACGGGGAGCACACATCAGCCCCGCCCTACGAACGTTTCACCGACACCTACAGCCCCATCCCCTGTTTCTATGGGGACTTCAGATTCACGGACTCCAATGCTAACTGACCCATCCCCTAGGTCTGCCTCTCCTATGTTGGCACGGACAGCTAATGGCATGCCTGTCGTCGTAAAACAAGAACTGATGGAAACCGACGAGTTTCAAGATGAGTTGCCATCTGAGAACAACCAGGTAAAAAATCATATGACCCGAGATTTGACGATGAGGGATTCCACCTCGTGGAGCCCAAATAAGACCATATTAGGCAATGGTAAGGAACAAAGTACGTTGTCGTCAAATAATGAGACAAGAACAGAACAGACTACGGTGACTAACGGGCCTACTAACGGTCTGGATTCACAAATTGATCATGATATGCAGGGAGACTAACCACACAGAAAAATATCCTATTTTCACTTTCAGAAATTTCTACAAGCTTGTCCATTTCATTCATTTGTGTCTATACATGTAGGATATGTTGTGTTGGGGTTCAATTCACCCAGAAATAAAGTTTCATTGTTTTTTGCTTGTACACACACATGATAGGAATTAAATAGAAAAGCTTTAGCCAACTAAGAGATCCAAGTACATGTATATGACAATTCAAATTATTGCAGAAGATTGTGTGGATATACACAAAAATTGAGTGATGATTTATTATGGGTGGATACCTTCATTCATGATCAATTATGAACCCATTTTCCTCATTTTTTCTTGGCGCCAAAATGACCAGTGGAAATTCTCAATGGTGGCACAAACTGAGGGCTCTGCATCAAAAGACAATCATCTTATTTAGTAAATCGTCACAGAGATCATGTTTTGTAATGCAAAATAGAGTAAAAGAGAGGAATTGTTGAGAAATGCAGTCAACAGGCATGAATTGTATACAAAGCTCAAAATACTTCATCCAGATTCCAGAGAAATTGCATAAGTAAACATGATTCAAGTGGCGAAGCACACCAAGAATAACTGTCTGAATGAAGCCCTGGCACTTAAATTAAAAGACTGAAGTGTTCTTAAAGAGCAGAGTAAATCTATTTTATGTGATTGTAAATGTTTGTTAAAATGTAATTTAGTTAAATAGATGGCAGCACGGCAGTTTCATTTCTAAGGAACACAGCAGCAAAAAAATCATTATGTGTTTTATGTCAACGTACCATGTGGAGAGTGTCATTTGGGTGATACATGTTATAAAATTGTTTTTAAATATATTGCTTTCTAAAAGTAAACAGTGAAAGATGCCATAATGGTTGAACAACAAAGGCAAAGGCACAACATAATAAATGTTAAACGAATAATATATGTCTGTTCTCCATAATATGTCCCATATCAAGCACAACATTCATACTTTCCTGTCATGTTTTCCTTTCATTTTGCTTGCACACACAAACAGTAGCACTTAAATCAATTAAAATGTATTAAGGTGGATTGACTGTAATGAGTACTCTGGTTTATTTATTAACTGAGAGCTTTTAAACATCTCTGCATATTTGATCAACTTTATCAAACTCTGTCTGTGGGCAAATCAAAATATTCTTTGATTAATATCCCCTGAATGACACTGGGGCTTGTTTGTGTAAGACATGTAAGATGTTCATTTGCAAGCCTAAATGAAGCCAGATAACTTGTTATAGCAAATCTGCTAATTAAAACTACTACTTAATTTTAGAATTTTCTTGTGGATCAATGACATTTGTGAACTTTGAAATGTGATATTTTTTAAATATGAGACTTGTGCAATCTGATACTTCTTTGCTCTCATCACTCTTTTGTTGAGGAATATGCATTGTTCAGCTGGAGACGTCGATTGTTGTTGCAGCCGAGTGGACATGACCCATTCTTCAACAAAGTATGAAAACAAAATGGAAGCACATGCCCTTAGTGTACATTCATGCATTGACTTTATCTGCACGCCAGTGGGGTAAAATATGTTACGTGAGTTCATAATAGGCATAATTACAAAGTAACTGTGTCCTCTACATCAGTAGGCAAAAGGCTAATAAGCCTTTTTAAAGCAGATATATAGTTTAACAGTGGTGAAACCTAAACATTTAGAATTAGCTCTATGTTTTGGTTACAACTCATTTTAAAATTGAACGGAAACTCCCCGGTTGGCCCATGTACCCCCTAGGAAGTTTCATAGTGTTCATAGGTGTAGCGCTATTCTTCTAAGTAGTACGCCACCACCACAGGAACAAGAGTTGGCTGAATCAAAAAACAATCATTCAGGGGGGGTGTGGGAGTTCTCCCACAGGAAAATTTTGAAATTTGGCTGTATTTGGAGCGAATTTGCAACCATCTGGTACGCCTGTGCGTACCGGGTGCTACGCCCATGGTGTTGGATGAAGTGAGAAATGAAATCAACAGTGAATTAATCACACTTCAATGAAGCCTCTGAATCCTAGACATGTTTAATTTTTCTATTGTTTATTTTGAAAGTCAAACAATTCTTAGTAATTTAATTCACATTTTTGTTGTGGCTGGAATTCATATATTTCATTTTATAATGCTATAAATTGCTTATTTTTTATGTTTTGTAAAGCCATGTATTATGTTGCATTATACTGTCCTTCAGCAATTAACGACAGAATTTCAAAATTTGTTCGTTAAGATTAGTGGTGTAACATGAGCAGATCGGAAAATTTTGTAATTTACTTAAGTGACACATACATTAATCCTTTCCTGTGCTATGCATTTTATCCATTGGAATTTGTATTGAAATGCAAGAAACAACAATTTCAGGGTACCTTAGCAACCATAGATTTTGTTACACTTTCATATTTCATGAACTTTTGTTAAAAAGGGGCTGTATTCCCCAAATAATCCACAGAGTAGCAACCAAGTGTCACGAAGTTCAATATATTTGTTAAAGTAGCCCGAATGACACTTTTCATATGCCATCCTAATTTTCATTGTTGATCATAATTTTATCAAAAATAAAGAAAAACATAAAACGAAGTTATTTTTTTGTTTTTGTGTGTTCTTTTCCTCAGGTTTTGAACACAATAGATGGCACTGTTACTGCTATTCTGATTGAAATATGCCCAAAGGTTAATTGTATGTTTTGCAGAACCTTCGGGTAAAATGACTCAGTGGCAAGGCTTTTCTATTTCTCAATGGCAAAATGGCAGATATGTCAACGCACAATAAAAATTCTATAAAATGCAAGAAGAAATATGAACATGGAAGTTTTAGGATGACCAAATTAGGCACTGCTAAACAGAGCATTAATTTTTAAGGGTCATAAAGTGTCCACAAATCGATATCACCTGACCCAGGTTAAATTGTCTTTATGATGTCATACTTAAGGTCGCATTGCAATTATAATGTCACACAGTAAGTCCCATTGCATTTGGTTGCATTGTACTTGTGGAATCATCCACTGGACCACATATATGGTCATATGTGATTGTATGCGACTCGTATGAGCCATCAACAAGGATCCTCTGGCATTGTGATGTCGTCAACAAAGCTTCACTCGGATTGTGATGTCCTCAACATGGTTGCACTGGCATTGTGATGGACAACACCTGAAAAGATAAAGTAATGTTCCATGACCCCCAGCTTTCAAACCAATTTGAATTACTGCATGTTTATTGTTGACTGCAACTGAATTGACTCCATGCAATTTAACCTCTATAACCTCTAAGAGAGCCAAATGTGGTCCTGCAAATCTTTGAGAGCGTTGATCCTCTCATTCTCTTAAAATCAACTGGGAACCACTAACCTTAGTTTTTCTATTAAATTGAGCAACAGCATCTTCCTGTATGATGTCGTAAGGTAAATAGATATCAAGGCCGTATATCAGGGACCGAGTCTGTAGCACAATGCGGTCTTCACCAATGTCAAGTGTCAAAGTGGCAGCTGTTTTCTGAAATACATCCAAATACAGGGTGTCTATAAAAGTCTCTTCATAATTACAATACAAGGCATTAACATGCCAAATGTCACTACCTGCCATTTGTTACAGACACCAGCCACTGAATGCAAGACACCAACTGTTGAATGCCAAACACTGTCCACAAAAAGAATTGGAAACTATAACAAGTGGTGACATAACAAAGTTTGAGTAAAGTGTAGAGACTTTATGGACAAAGTCTGAGTAAAGTGTAGAGACTGGACGTCTAAGTGTAGAGACTTTATGGACAAAGTCTAATTGTAGAGACTTTATGGAAAAAGTCTAAGTGTAGAGACTTTATGGACAAAGTCTAAGTGTAGAGACTTTATGGACAAAGTAAAGTGTAGAGACTTTATGGACAAAGTCTGAGTAAAGTGTAGAGACTTAATGGACAAAGTCTGAGTAAAGTGTAGAGACTTAATGGACAAAGTCTAAGTAAAGTGTAGAGACTTCATGGACAAAGTCTAAGTGTAGAGACTTTATGGACAAAGTCTAAGTGTAGAGACTTTATGGACAAAGTCTAAGTGTAGAGACTTTATGGACAAAGTCTAAGTAAAATGTAGAGACTTTTAACAAAGTCTAAGTGTAGAGACTTCATGGACAAAGTCTAAGTGTAGAGACTTTATGGACAAAGTCTAAGTGTAGAGACTTTATGGACAAAGTCTAAGTAAAGTGTAGAGACTTTATGGACATGCTGTATAATTATCTGGGACACCCGAGATCAGATACTTAGTTGGATCAATACGTTTTCCAAGATTTTAAGAAGTAAAACCTAAATAGCCAATTTATCTTTAAATGTATAATTGTCTGAATATGTACTGAAATGTGATACAACCTCGGAAAATCTTGTTTTTACTTCTACATATACATACAGTGTTAAATGATGAATCCCCTTATAATACTGTACGCCCGGTATTATTTGCGAGATTTAATTTCGCGAATTTTGCGAAAACACGATTTCGCGGCTATTAAATTTCGTGAATTTCACAAGTTTGAAATTCATTACTACTGTATCCCAGGAATTCTCGAGCTACTTGTGTGTAAATTAAGTTAGATGTACAGTAATTGCACTTACCTGATGTCATATTTGGATGAGATTTACAATAACTGGGATCTTTATCATCGGCAAGCTGCATATCAACCTCTATTGCATCGTCATTTTTAATATTAAAGCAAAAGTGCGTGGCTCCCATAATAACTTTACCGTACTTCATACTGTATTTTATCGTATTCGGGGATTCCCCAGTATATGATGTCCAATCAAATTGCAGGCTACGATCACGTGAACAATCGTGCGCACGTGCTCTTTCATTTTCAACGAAATGCATCAGAGCCCCGGGTAAAAACAAATTCCCGGGGATTTAATTGGCAATTTCGCGACAATAATTTTTCGCGATTTTAACACCCTGGCGAAAAGCGCGAAAGTAAATCGCACGCGAATAATACCGGGCGTACAGTATGCTTCCAATGTTATTGGTATCACAGTATTTTATCTGCAAAAAAGATTGCCATTGATGATTGGAAGCATGATAGACTTACAAGTTTTGGAAGATGCATATCAGCAACAAGGTATTCTGGGTGGCCTTCTGGGGGTTCCTTTAGTATTGTATATGCTGGTTCTTCTGCCCTGGAACACACAAAGGGATTATACACTGAGTATTCAATCAATCCTGAAGTAAATGAAACTTCACTAAGTAGAGGTTTTGAGTAACTCAGCTATTTAGCATACTTCGTTCTCCACATCAAGTTGAACAAACATGTATCATTGAATATCATCTGATTTTGAAATGATACAGACACGCATATTTTTAAAAATGTGATATTCTGAAAAAGCTTATATCTCAAAAGTCCCAAGCCAATGGTGTGTGAGGTAGCAATATACATTTGTCTGAAATTGATGACAGATAGACAGCTTGGGTGGAATATCAGTAATTCCACAGGTTCACCCATGGAGGGTTGCCTCCCAGAATGCAATCTCATTATTTCCAACAATGAAAATATTGTTATTGTCCTGACATTAAACTGGCTGTAAATTCATAATCAGCAATCCTAAAGAATTGTGCTAATATCTTGATCACGTCTTGTGCGCTTATTCTAGTTTTGAAATTTTTTCTTATGTAATAAGGCCAAAACTTGGGATTCAAAATCTAAGTGAAAAATGGGCGACTTTTTGAATTTCGAAATCACTACATCATTAAGAATGGGCTTCTTATTTAAGGGTTTGTTTAATACCTGCAGGGCTCAGTATGTGTACCTAATGAAATGAAATAATATCTAGATTGCATTCTGGTAGGCAATTCTCATTGAGGCTCACCATTGCAGCCATAGAGGCATCAATCTTACATAATGGCTGTCCACTTTATTCATCCCATGATTCCTTGCCTCCGTACCAACATCATTTTCTTTTAAAAAACATGACCATGTAAAATTTCATTACTTTGTTTGACTTGATTAATGGCAGGTCGGGTTACATTTGTAATATTTATGGAGACAGTAACTTGGAAACAACAAACCTTTCAAAAACACCACAGCCAAGTGGTAAATTTTTGGTTAAAACGTCATGGTATACATAGAAAAAATTACCATGAAAAGTCAATGATGGTTGATTTTCAGTGAGGGTATAAATGATACAGAAATAAATCTGCAGGTATTGAGGTAAATAATTAAATACTTTGTTTATTCTTCATTGTAAGGTTGTCTAGGTTGACCAGGTGTGCAGTTTAAAAGCTCATTGCAAAATCTATATATCACACTACATCATGGTCACTGTATTCTAGATTCTCTCCCTGGGATTCTGTCTATCTATAAGAGAGCATTACTTTACAATGCCGTGACCTTTTATTGCATTATCTATCACTCATTAGCTTCAAATTAGGTCATTTGCTATTAATAATTTAATTTCTTAATTCTTGGGCTCAAATGTGATAAAAAAAGAAATTCTCATGAGATGAGTGTGTTTGACAACAAGAATCATGATACAGTTTATTGATATTATTTTGATATTGATATTATATTGATATTATATTGAGTTTGTGTAAAATAACAAAGCAAACTAATGAGCAGATACAATTAAAACAAGTGAGTGATTGCAAAAGCTCACCATGTGAGCTATTGACGAGACGAGAGAACTTTGGCTAAAATTCTTCATAAATCTCCTCCTGAACATCCCTCAAGATCAATGTTGATGGCTTTATTAGCTCCCAATTGACCTTGACTTGACCTTGACAATTAATTGCTTCATTTAAAGGAACAGACTTATGCTAAAAAAAATTTTGAGATTTTTCTATTTTGGAAACATCATGCAAACGATAAGGCAAATGATGAGAAAAAAATGATGTTTATATTCATTTTAATTGATTAGTCACCTAATTAAACTATCTTCAGGAGAATTTCCTTAAACATTAAACTTTAAGTCAAAAGATTAATAAAAATATAATTGAAAAAAATAATAAATGTGAAATGAAATACATGACAAGGAAGATAATATCACATTTAATAGAAAATGCACAAAAATATAAGCGGCATTAATCATAATGTGCATAGTACAGTACAATACAAAACAAACTTACAGTTTATAGATGTAGTGTTTTTGTGTGCGGAATGTGAACCAAAGGATTGGTTATATTACTTGCTATGTAATGACATGTAATGGGAAGATATTGCCAAGAAATAAAAATGGATTGGAAATATCTGATCACTGTGGTGAGTTATGAACATTTCTTTATGATAAAATTCTACTTTAAAAATGAGAAACAATTTACAAATGAAACAATTATCAATTTATTAATTAATTATCTAATCTTATCTCATAATATCATTTCTTCTTTGTCTTAATCTTCATATTTTGCACCATTTAAAACTTGATTTCATTCAGAAAATCTGACGAAAATATAAGTTATAATATTTCAATATAGGTTTACTCTATTCATGGAATTTAAAATTTTATGTTTTTGTCAAAATCCAAATTACAAGAGTACATCTTATCATCATGTGGATGCAACATCTTATCATCATGTTGATGCAACATACAAAAAAGGTATGCAGATTACGGGTGAACCCCTATGGACTTTATGAATCAAAATGGCCTAATATCCCAGGACTATTTTCATTTTAGTTGCTATTGTATGGTGTAATGCAAGATGATGCTGTGCCAGTAACGGGGCAGGCTGGACAGCATGAAACAGGTGAGTAATTTGATAAATATAAGGATAGACACAGCTATAAACTGTACTGGGATCATTTTTTGATTTCCATGTATTTTATAGTATAAATGTACAGAGTGAGTGCTTCAAGTTTGCCTCCAGAGGCAAGATTGGCATTTTGAGCATGTTTTGTGAAATGGCCACAAAATCGTGACCATTTGGTTCCAATGTGCCAATTATGACATTAACCCATGCTGGATGACTGCGTTATCAACCTTTGTTTGATTTTTGGCTTACCCTGTAAATAGATTTGTGAGAAAGCCTAATGTTTGGTACAGGACACAATAAATCTTGAATCTTACATCCCCATCTTTCCATCAGATTGCCGAGAAACAATCGCTGGCCATGAATACCAAGGCTCCATCTATACAACCGATACTGGCCGACAATGTCAGCACTGGGAAGCGCATATACCACACATCGGGGAAGGGAGCTCTCTTACCCTTATACACATTTTCAATAACAAGAGTACGGATAATTTCTGTCGCAACCCAGATCCTAGATGGGAGAAAGGGCCATGGTGTTATACGAGTGATCCCAACATGCGCTGGGATAGTTGCGGAGAGACTGTGCCTATTTGTGGTGAGTTTGTACTGTGTATCTACATGTACTATAATTTCAAGGGAAAATGAGACAGGGATCAGTCTAATTTTGGAGAAAATTAAGATCAGCCTGAGAATTAATAGTGTGAGAAGTCTGTCAATAGCAAATATTCAAAAATTAATATTCTTTGGCCATAATAAAGAAAAGGTTTTTGCCTTTGACTAGAAAAAGGCAACTTCTGTATCTATTTTAACAGGGATTGAAAGTTAAATGCAGGGGAATGATTTATGACACACACACGTCTTGCTATACAGTGCTTTTAATACAGGACATTGTGATGTTTCAAAGTTCACATGCTGCGATTAGAATTTAACTTTAATATTTGAACTGAAGTCCTTTAGCTAGACTAATCAAAATTGAGTTTCAGCAATATTGTTAATCAAACTTACTAATTCTGACCTTTTAGCCATGTAGAAGTTTGGATGTAACATGAAATTTTAATTGGAGATGCACGCTAGTCTAACATTGACCTTTAAAATACTGTTATAGCATGTGTTGGCGCTGTGTACAATGAGGCCACTCGATCGTGCTATCTGATCCAACATGACACCAAGCACAACTACAGGAGAACATACCACCATCATAAAGCTGAATGTGAACAAAGAGGCGGCCATCTTGTTGACATCAACACCAAACAGGAGCAAGAATTCATCTCAGAAAATGTCCTTGGTAAACAAAAGGGTATTTACTACACAGGTGGGACCAAAATGGCCGACAGCAATAGCTGGACCTGGAGCGATGGTAAGCCTATGAAATTTAAGAATTGGTTAAGAGGATTGCCTGATGTGCCCGAAGAACAACTAAGATGCATAGACGAGGAATGTAGCGCTGATCAAGTCACTGTCTTGATAAAAACGACATCTTTGTTGAAATGGACAGCACTTTCTGCGACATCTGTTTTCATTTTCCATAGCATTTGTGAAATTGAGGTAAAATAAATTGACCAAATTGTCTATGATGCTACAATGTTTTCATTTGGCTGTATCTGTCTTCATACTGTTACAAATAAAAATCTGAATAAGTAAATAACTGGTGAATATAGTTATTTTGATTAGGCCAATGGACTTGGAATTCTTTGTTTCCCCTGGTGTGTACGTATTCCTGATTTGCCTATAACAAGTTCAAAGAATCATTCTTTACAAATAGCAACTAAAAGTTTCATTGACCGAGGACAGTAGAGATAACAGTGACTTTGTTAGAAGCTTCCAATCTTGATAGTGATTCAAAACTTGAGAATCTATCTAATGGCTGAACTCTCTGATCCAAGCAACACTTACATTTTGATAGACTCACTTGGACCTTGGTTTGTATCTTCCTTCCCTTCTCTAAAAGGAAAGAAAACAAGTTTCAATGTTACATAATCCATTGGAAATTATTGAACAATACAGATCAATTAATACACAGTATGACTGAAAGAATGTTAAAGCATACACTATTCTCATTTGAACTGAAACAAGGCATTAACATGCAAAATGTCAGCACCGCTAAACACAAATTGCAGCCACTATAATAATAACACTTATGGTGGTGACATAATAATAACCAGCTAATATTAACTTTATATCCTAATTTTATTTAAACACACCAAATATGGTGGATGAAATAAATAAATAAAAAAAATCATGCACATTTTTAATTTCACAAAACCATAGGGACTGAGAATAAGGAATCCTGACTAACCCCTCCATTTCCATAATCCAGGGTTTAGCTGTGGTGCGTATATGCTGCTCTACAATGCTAGTGCCCATGTAACGCTTGTTCTTCAGCAGCTTCCAATCTAGAAAATATGTTGAATATCTTTGCTAAAATTCACCTTTTCTTTATTTTTTCAGATTTTGTTTTTTTTTTAAATTAAGATTATTTTTCCCACTTTGCTAAAATTCACCTTTTCCTTATTTTTTCAGATTTTGTTTTTTTTTAAATTAAGATCATTTTTCCCACACTGATACATCATTCATGATCAATTTGGCTATGTCTATTGGGATTAATCAATCAAACGTGACACTAGTTATTTTATTAGTCCTATCCCTACTGAGCTCTAGTTGGTACTTATTCTATTATCACCACTAAGCTCTGGAAGGTACTTATTCTCTTTCCTCTACTGAGCTCTAGTTGGTACTTATATTTTTACCTCTACAGCTAGAGATTCTGTTGCCATTTTATCTTACCTCTACTGAGCTCCAGCTGGTACTTATTCTCCAGTCCCTCAAGGACAATAGTCAAGAAGAAGCCCTGAAACACTTGTTTTGTTTGAACCTTCTCATAGAAATCTTTGTGTATTATGACATCATATGCTGTGCATTCCTGACCAGCTGAAAACGAAGAAACAATTTTATTGGCACCTCAATTCACAATTTGCAAGGTCTACAAAAAAAATAAAATACCATCTTATCCAGCTCTCAAGAGACATCTTTTAGAGTGATAACAGAATAATTGAATCTTGCATAATAATAGACGAGATGCGAGTAGAAACAATTTTGTTTAGTCATTAAATATTCAAAATTCAGTCGAAGTGATGTCATATTTGAAATCTACACATAAAAGTACATCTAAAAAAAATTGTTTCGAAAATTGTTTATCAACTTTGAAAATTTAACTTTTTTTGAAAATGTGACTTCAAGTTCGGGGAGATTCCCAATAAACCCCATGTTATAAAATCACAAAAAGTGAAATTTCTTTTCTTATATTGGACAAATAATATTTTCTTTTACTGGACATGTTTCATTTTGCATAACTATTAGACACATAAGGGTGATATGAAAATTGAACCACTAAAACAAATGAATACTGAGTAAAAGGGAACTTTCTATCATACCCGCCATGCTATCTGACCCAAACGAGCCACCTGGTGGTGAAACTGGTAACTACCTACTCGCATCTTAGTGATTCAGATGAAAATCTGAACATGGAAAGGATGTCCCATTGTAAAGTACATGTACTTACATTTATCTTGTTCTGTATGTGGTTCCCCAATACTCATAGGAACCCTGTATTTGCCAGGCTCTGGAGACTCAATGATACTCAGTAGCTCCTCCTCAGTGATGTCTTTAGGGGCAGGAATCTAAGGATCAATGGATTCATATACGAGTGATTCCTTATGCTAATTCCTTTATTCATAAGTTAACATCAACATACAGACAGAAAGATGGATGTCTAGTCAATCCCATACAGGCAACAAAAATGTCACCATCTTTGGGATCACATGGTGATTTGTTATGCAAGTTCTGTTAGTCATGTAAATCAGCAATAATTGGTATGTTTGAAATCTAGTTGCAAAATTATGTCAAATTGGTCAGAAAGCACTCCTGATATGACTAGCTAAAATCACTTGTAATATTGTACAAGGTCCTTTAAAAGATTTCATTTTTCCCAATCCTTTAACAATTTTGAAGGATTTGTCAATTTTGAGATGATTTGACAAGATTCTTATTCCATTTTGATCAACAAAATCTTGTTTTTCACTAAATATGTATGTCAGAATATGGGTGAACTTTAAGAGGCCCAAGCCTGGGATATTTGTACGTATGAACTATATAGCTTCAAAATTTGATCTAAAGATAAGTTGTCTCAATCTCTGTAATTAAGCATTATATTATGAATTAAAAGTAGATACACGTACATACATACACATTGTATATCTTTTAATAGAGTATAAGCAATTAGCTCTTATATAAAGTTTATGTACATTTGTTATTGAAAACTTACAGTTGTTGACCTGCATACATTGATGAACACTTTATCGCTTGAATTTTGTATTTTTGTTTTTAAACAGAATCCTGGGTCTGGTCTCACTGCATTAAATGCTGGTTGGTTTGCCTTATCTGTGTCCTGCTGTGGAGTTGTCTACATTGAAGAAAAATAGGTATTTTTCAATAATTTTTACATGTGCTTCTTTTTAGTTAATTGGGCAGAAAAAGTTGAGGCTAGTAATGATGCCCTCCCTAAATAGGTACAAGGCATTAACATGCAAAATGTCAACACCTGCCATTTGTTACAGATACCAACCCCAGAATGCCGAACACCAGACATAAAAAATTGGAGACTATAACAATAGGGCTGTTGACATAATAGTGTAATGTGTAATTGGAATACCTTTAGTTTCACAAAAAGCATTCCACCTGGGATGTGTTTCACTATCAGGGTTTCATTTATATCAAGTGTTCCACTTACAAAAGTGTTCCACTTGATCCACTTGACATTTTTACAGTTACATTAGCCATATACTAAATGACTACTAATACAACTCAATAAATAATTTAAACTATTCACTACTGACATACAATTGTAGAATTGTAGATTAAATCATGGGCTATAAAATTCTATTTTTACCTTTAATTTGAAGAGCTTATCATAGGAGTTGTCTTCCTCTGGGAAGAGTAAACTCTGATCAGATGCCATGGCAACAAATCTATTTTTCAGACCTGCTAGGTGCTACTGCATAGAATTCAAAATGTTCGGCTACATTAGGCTTAAGTTTTACTCCTTGAAAAGCTTCTGAAAATATAAAAACAGTGTATATGAATAAGTAAATATTGTCACAATATTACCTCCTTTTCTTGGTTGACATATTGGCACAAAGGTGTGAGAGAATTGAATTGATCCTCGTGTCCTTCTTGGACTCATGTTCTCATATACATGTCTTTGTTCGCAAATTATTATGCTGACACACGTTTGTGCCAAAAATGTGGTGAAGATTCTGCCTACATGATCATCATGTGAAATCATGGAAAAGGAAGAATTAAGGCCTTCGCTGCGGCATTTTGTAACTGAAACGGATCCCTTTTTGTAATCAGCTTGAAAAGTTCTTTATAGACTGCGGACTATTCTGTAGAAGTGCTCTAGAAATGGATCTCGCTTTTCATGGAAGGTCACACATTCCAACATATTTCAAACAATGTGTATGATTATAATAGACACTTTCTGGGTAGTTGGACTTTATGTAGGGGTGGCAGAAGGCCCTCAGGCCAATTTATACCCCTACCCCAACAAAACCTTGGGGGTACTTTAATACCACCCAATAAAAATAATACTAATGCATATCAGATATTCATCGCTTTATAGTGGGTAGGGCATGCCATGGTTAGTCAGTGCCAGAAATTTCCAATCTCTGACTTATATGGTTACCATGGAAACAGTATTTATATCTCACAATCTTCTCAATTTGACCCCGTCCCAAATGTGTCCTTAAGTTCTCAAAGTGAAATATTTGCAAATCTGTTTGGATTTTGTGGCTGCAACTTTGTCAAAAGTTGAATTAATATGTATGTATTCACACTAAAGCACTAAAAACTTGATATAATGATCTCATAAATTAATAATATTTATCAAATGTAGTCACACACAACTGCTTTTAGGGAAAAGTGGGCGTGGCACTTTTTGGTACTTGTGTAATTGTTGCAGCATTAAATGAAAAATACTTATTACACTAACAACAATTGACATTTAATTAGCATCTACTAACATTGTGTAACATTGTAGTATGTTCATTATCATTATTAGATACTTTAAATATTTTATATAAGTGTTATCATGACCCTTCCCTATCATAGGTCATTAATGGTCAAATTAACTTTTAAGTCCTAGAGGTCCTTAGTCTTTTTAGCTTGTCAAAGTCGTATTCATTGACTTGAAGCTAGAATATAAATAGTTTCATTGATCAAGAGCTATGAGTTAAAATTGATTAATACATTTGTCAGGGTTAGAGCCATTTTATGCAATTGAAAAGTAATGGACCGACACTGATCAGTACCAAGTGAAGGTAACGGCCGTAACCTTCGCATCTAAGATGGCGGACAGTAATTGTCGATTTTGATATTTTTAATTTTCATTGAATTAAACTACTTTAGAGTTGATGTTATGCTTTGACATTTGCACCAAATCAGGTTTAAATGACATTGGAACCATAGATGTAGTAAACATGAATAAACGATATGTGAAATGTTATGCCCTGCCTTAATACATAACTAAGATTTTCTCGGATAAATGGTGTCTTACAATTGACTAACTGATTCTATTATCAACATCAGGTAATGCATGATCTATCCAATGGATTAAAGAAAATACTTGATTCCAATATGGCAAAATAAATTATTCCATGTATGAATTGCATAGTGCATCATTTTGCAGATATTACATAATGCATTCATTATCCCACCGAACGAAGTTCGAGGGGAATATAGAAAAGCCGTCCGTCCGTCCGTTCGTCTGTCCGTTCTTCCGTCCGTCCGTTCTTCCGTCCGTCCGTTCGTCCGTTCGTGTGTCCGGGAAATAACTCAAATACTGGTCGACGGATTTCATTCTAATTTTATAGGCTTATGCCTTATGGGTGTAGGACCTCTGCTCGAGAAGGAATTTTCAATATGGCCACTTAATTCAAAATGGCGGCCATTTTTCGGAAAAAATATAATCTTTAATAACTCAAATACTAGTGGATGGATTTGGTTCAAATTTTATATGCTGTTGCCTGGGTACAAAGGAGCCTAATGCTCAAGAAGACATTTTCAAGATGGCCACCAAATTTCAAAATGGCGGCCATTTATCGTAAAAATCTGTTATCTTTGATAACTCAAATACCATTTAATGGATTGGTTCAAATTTTAGATGCTGATGCCTATGGACATAGGAGCTCTGCTCAAGAAAGGATTTTCAAGATGGCAGCTAAATTTCAAAATGGCGGCCATTTTTCGTAAAAAAACATCTTTGATGACTCAATTACCATTGAATGGATTTAGTTCAAATTTACATGATGATGCCTAGGAACATAGGAGCTCTGCTCGAGAAGTGATTTTCAAGGTGGTAGCTAAATTTCAAAATGGCCGCCATTTTTCATAAAAGAACGTAACCTTTGATAACTCAAATACCATTTGACGGATTTGGTTCAAATTCTATATGCTGATGCCTAGAGACAAAGAAGTTCTGCTCAAAAATTAATTTTCAAGATGGCCCCTGAATTTCAAAATGGCCGCCATTTTTCGTAAAAAAACGTAATTAATGATAACTCAAATACCAGTGGATGGATTTGGTTCCAATTTTATATGCTGATGTTTAGGGAAAAAGGAGATCTGCTTCAGAAGAAATTTTAAAGGCGTTAGCTGAATTTCAAAATGACTGCCATTTTTCATTAAAAAAGTAATCTTTGATAACCCAAATACCATTGGACTGACATTCTCTGCTAAAGAAGAAATCTAAAGATGACAGCTGAATTTCAAAATGGCAACCATGTTTCATAAAAACATAATCTTTGATAATTCAAATACCAGTGGATGAATTTGGCTCAAATTTTTTATCAAAACATGTTTTGTTCGGTGGGATTTGCTACTCCGTGGAGTTGCTGTTTTTCTAGTTGACTCATGGTCAACAAGGTACGGGTAAAACTCCTTTTAGTATTTCACAAAATAATGAAATATAAACAATTTACACATTTCTGAAATGCTGTATCTTTAGTGATTCCTTCGACCTGGAAAGTGGTTTGTTATGTTAAAACTTAAAATAATATCTAAACAAATCTGTTTAGTGTATAAAAACAATAAAAGTTAATATGTTTAATATCAAATATTATAAGACATATGAATATAACCTAAAATAAGAAATCTTGTTCTCGTATTCCATTTTAAAATTGGTTGAATGATTTTGGCACAGTAGAAATGATGGTCATGATTAAATATTATATGTAATATGCCCTGATGCTGTAACATCAATGGTCCTTTATAATCAGGTATGACTGAAATACTGGACAAGATCTTATAAGGTTATACAGTTTCGAAATAACGTATGTTCCATATTACTACCCCAAATCTCCATTGTGTAAGTTTATGAGTCATTATCCCTCATAGTTTATTATGGCAAATGCCTATCCTTGTCTAGAATATGTCATTTTATCAATTTTATAAACAAGTATACAATTACACGCCCCCCCCTCCCACACCAAAACTCCATTTTCTTTATCAAATCTTTCTACCTCTATCTGTTATGATTCTCTGTCAGGCTTCCCCAATTTTCCATAATGTCAAGTAAACATCTAAATAGGATAGTTCTAGCTATTGCTGTTGTTTTGAAATGTTGACTTTTCTTGGGGAAATATTGTTTCAATTCTGACAGAAGTTTTTAGCCAATAGCCTATCATTCAATTTATCAATATCCAAACGCAGGGTTTCAGAAAGTATGCATTTTGTTTGTGCCTGTATTTTCATCATGTGTACTTATTAAGACAGCTATATTTAAACGTAAATACATTAAAACATGATCTTATCAGAATCTTATTCTACAAAACGGGTGTTCATGGAAGTAGCACTAATTATTGCATCATTGCTATAAATCGTGTGATTTGATTGGCTAATTCAGAACCATGTGACTAAAAATACCAGCGTATTTCACAGCTCACTGAATTATTTCCATATTTAAAAGACGTATTGTCCAGCGTATTGCCCCCCTGGGGATTCTGACAACTGCACTTTCAATGATTTTTGCAACATGTATTACCATCGCCCTACGGGCTGCGGGCAATACATATTGCAAAAATCATTGAAAGATGAACAGGTATTGCCCTCCATAGAATGAAATATTTGCTTAACATTTCTTACTGTTTCGGGCTTAATATCAATTTTGTTATAAACTGAACAAAGCGGCACCTTTAACATGCAGCTAATTCTCCCATCTAACCAAGCGAGCCTCTTTTAATATATCGAAATTTAAAAATTGCCTCTGATTTGTTCAATCAAATCTAAAATGGTAATACCTTTTTACTGCTTCGAACTTCCTTATATTTTATACCATTGGGGTAGGATATTTGTCTCTTTCAATTAATGCTTTCACCAGAAACATGGATATCACTAATTTTGATTCATATTTAAAATGGTGTGCATGAATAGACCTGTGTATTTTATACCAAATAGAGACACATCCCTGGAGAGTTCTAAATCTCTATATGTTAACAGCCTAGTTCCCACATCCCTTGTTGACTTTGCTTCCATATTTCCTGTGAAGCCGTGGAACAGTTCTCTTGTTCTTCACAATTTTACATTTTAATGTAACTCAATGAATAAGGCCAATTCATATCACTGGCTTCCCTAGGTCATTTGAATTCCTTGCAATTTTTAAATCAGCAATAAAGAATAATGGGTTAAATTATCAAATAATGAAAAAGTTGCAAATTATGAGATTTGTTATATAGCTTCGAAATCTTGCTGAAGTGTAGTTAACTATAGGTTAACAGGCTAAATTCTCATTGAGATAATTTTAAAGAATCTTAAACATTGACTTATTGTTTCAGTGGTCCTATTGAAGTTCATGTGTACACAATCTGAACAACATCCAGTTTCAAACACTTCTGATTATCATCAAGTTTCAAACACAATCTGAACATCATCAAATTCAATGCAAATGCAGTTTTACTTTAATCCAACAGAACGAATCAATAGACTAAGTGACACATGTCAAGTCAATGGTAAATACTTGTATCTAGCCCAACTAGCACAAGTGCTGCCATCTACCGACTAGTATCAATCCATCTATCCATATACATAGCACCTAATGAGGTCACGACTTCAAGTAAAGCTTTTTCCCTTGTAAAAAATAAGTTAAACAGAAAAGTTAGTTTGACACCATTGGTGATGCCCACCTTGTATGGTATAGGGATAAAAGGAAAGTTCATGATAACACTTACATAAAATAATTTAAGTATCTAATAATGATAATGAACATATTACAATGTTACACAATGTTAGTAAATGATAATTAAATGTCAATTATTGTTAGTGTAATATGTATTTTTTGCTTAATGCTGCAACAATTACACAAGTTCCAAAAAGTGCCACGCCCACTTTTCCCTAAAAGTATATTATTGATTTATTGGAGCATTATATCAACTTTTTAGTGCTTTAGTGTGAATATATACATATTTATACAACTTTTGACAAAGTTGCAACCACAAAATCCAAACAAATTTGCAAATATTTCACTTTGAGGGCTAAGGGACATATTTTGGAGGAGGTCAAATTGAGAAGATTTTGAGATATAAATACTGTTTCCATGGTAACCATATAAGTTAGAGATTGGACATTTCTGGCACTGACTAACCATGGTATGCTCTGCCTACTATAAAACTATGAATATATGACATGCATTAGTATTCTTTTTATCAGGTGGTATTAAAGTACCCCAAAGGTTTTCTTAGGGTGGGGGTATGAATTGGCCTGAGGGCTGTCTGCCACCCCTACATGAAGTCCAACTACCCAGAAAGTGCCTAGCATAATCATACAGACTGTTTGAAATATGTTGGAATGTGTGACCTTCCATGAAAAATGGAAGTTGCAATTATCAGAGTAGTCCACAGTCTATTACAGTGTATAGCCTAGGAATCTGATTTGGGCTTGCCCTAATCAAACTGCAATTGACTTTGAAACTAGATGAGTAGGTCTAGTACTGTTAGGTGCATTACACCTGGGTCTTTACTAAATTTCTTCCTGATTTGTAGGGTAGAGCCTGGTCTCAGAAATATTGACCCTCCACTGACAGCTTTTCAAAATATCCCCATTTCAACTGAATGAACTCACTAGGTCCCTGCTGAGCCTGAACTCCTAAGTAATAAATCTCTGAGCAAGACAAATTTATATAAAAGATACAGTACATGTGTATCTACTACTACATACAAAGTAGAGGAAAAACCTACTTCCTGTTTTCAAATCAGTTCTGTCAAATGGCCAACTCCATAAATTCAATCGAAATATTTATCAAAATCAAAATATCAAAGTCAATAGTATCATTATTTTGGTCACCAAGTTCATTACGGATGCAGCCTCAATCGAATAATATCAAAATGTATTATCTACAATGTTTCTAAGATCATATTATTTTTCATTTTCTTAAATTTCCACTCCATAGTTTGATATTTATTTACATCCGGGCACCTGCTGGTTTCCATCAACAATATGGCGGACATGGATTAGCGCGAAGATTTTAAATTTCAAGTACTAAATGTTAAATTACGGAATAAAGAGGCCACATATTGGCTTTTTACAAGTACATATTATTAAGTAATACTTATAGATAGTCAACATGGATGAAAGACATTGGTGGATAGCTGGAAAAATCCAGGAAACGTTTCACATTGGAGGTTTTGATAACCCCACTCTCCTGGAAGATTTTATGTGTGAAGAAGAAACTCTTGATATGATAAATCAGTTCTTAAATGAAGGCGGACCATGTCGATTATTTTTCTACACTGAAAAACCTGAATCTGGACAACTTTCCACAAGAGAGCTTCATTGCATTGATTCTCTTGCATCAATGAAATCGGTGGATTTGGAGAACATTTCTGTGTTGTACTTTTTGCGTCATTCAGTAGACAGAGAAGTAGACCCACTTCATATGGAGAGAGATGTATTTTGTGGTGAGCTGAAAAACAATACAATTGAGAACCTGACATCGATGTTGTCTGACATATTTATACCTGCACTAAAGAATCAAAAAGACTGGGGACAATGCACAAGTGATAGTCAGATGCAGCTTATGTATAATATGGAGAAATTCCAGTCATCCTTACAAGAAACAAATGCAAATGCTCATGCACACAAACAGTTGGTAAGTTCATTAAATGACCAGTTTTTCTAACAGAATTGTAAGTGGTCCTCGATGAAATAATAAATTGATTTATTTCAACCTCTGCCATGTATTTACATGTAATCATTGGCTTTCAAGAGAAAGCCAATGATTGAACCCTTCTAGAAATGCCACTTGAAAATAATTTTTGATCAAATTTTAGAATGTACTGTCAAAAGCGTTACTACTTTGCATCTCTATATTGGTCATCAAAATATGGTCAGATGGAATTGGAAGGCTTATGCAACTTGTACTGTTATTGTCTAAATGTTATAACTTCTTGCTTGCTGAAAAAATATTAAATTATTTTGTTACAGATGCTAAAACAGCCTGAAAATATTGTAAATAATGATTTCAAACAGCATCGCTTGGCTGCATTAGATACTCAAATTATATCTGAGTATGAAGGTCTTCTATCTGATTGGATTTCTACCATAGAAGCTGTCTTGATGGATACATCAGATGAAAGGTAAAGCATGTTTAAAACTTCTCCTTCTAATGTTTTAAATGATTTGATTTTATAAGTTGTGCCAGAATCTCACAATGTATCACCTTGTCAACTGCTAAATCCAATAACCTTCTATGCACTCTGCATAAAGTTCAGAGAATTGAATAAGTTTATCTAATCACACTGCTTCTCTGCCCATCTGAGTTTGTACACGCTTTAAAGGGCGAAACATCGAAGATTGGAAGTGTGCCAATGAGACTTTAGCAGCTAATCTAATCACAAAAGCTTGTAGCCAAAGAGCCACTGTATGCAGCAGCGATTCTTGATCATTTTTAACTTACATGAGGTTTTTGAGGCTATATATAACTACATATATTTGTTCTTAATTTTCTGTAGATTCATGGATCCAAATGCAGGGCCATTGTCAGAGCTTGATAGGTGGCGTCGAAGACAGCGCCTCCTTACCAGTATTACAGAACAACTTAAATCAAAAGAATGCAAGGCTGTTATAGGTGTCCTTATCACTGCAAAGTCTAGATTGCTCAAGAAATGGAAAACAATAGATGCAGGGTAGGTCACTGTAAACCTTATTGCCACAGTAAAGGATATAAAATTTTACACTCGTTCAAAAGAAATAAGTAACTTCAGAAAACTGAACTATTTGTATATTATCTTTGATAGATTATGATAAGATATATCGTTACATCCTGTGAAAATAAAACAATGGCTTATTATTTTAGGATAACAGATGCAATGAATGAAACCAAGGATAAAGTGAAGTACATGGAATCACTGAAGCGTCATTTAGATCAACTCTATCAGGGGGCAACACCGAGCTCTATAATGTCAGTGGCGCTACCTGGCCTCACCAACAGTGTCAAACAGATGGACTCCATATCTAGGTTCTATGCAAGGGGAGGCTTTCTTGGACTTCTCTTTACTAAGGTAAGATTCTAGCTACAGTGCTTAATTTTAATCTCTTGACTACCTGGATTGATGAGATTTTTCGTCCCCTCAGAAGTGACCTTGAAACCCAGAGTTACGAGAAATCTGTCACAAAATTTTTCACTAAAATTGCTCTTATTTGAACAATTTTCATCCAATTTACACAAAAAATGTTTTAAAATGTGTAGAAATGATCTCTGCCATCTAGTTTTACTAAGTTGAGCATCTTAAGTTGTAAAGGTATGTAGTAAAATGCCAAAAGGTGGCAAAATGAAAAATTCTCTGCTTTCAAACGATTTTAGAGCCTGGGATTCAAAGGGTTAACTATTATATATTGACTGAAAAATAGAAAAACCTTGTGACAATTATAACTGGGCACAATAGTTGGTTACTTCAATACATATGATACCTACATGGGAATAATATCTTCTACCCCACCTTTTTCATTTGCCATGTCTAAATGGGCCATAAAATAGAAAAGTACCCATATTTGCAAGTGCATGTATCTAATTTCTTTGTTCATATTTAGATCACAAATCAGCTAGTGCTGGTGTGCAAGGATTATGTGAAAGATGCTACCATCAACACAGATGATGAGGACCATCTCTGGGAGAAGGTTGATGAAGAGATTGAGTCAAGGGATGCCCTACAGAACATTGATCCTCATCACAGACACATGCGCTTCCAAGTGGAAAATAAACTCAAGGTATATCAGGATATTTTAGTTCACAGTCTTTACCTGTTTTCTCAATTTATTTAACATGGCTAGAGGAAGGAGTGGCAGATTAATGCATAGACTTCAAGTCAAAAGACTAGTTGAATCCTGCTTGATATTAACATACACATCTTTTGAAATTATGTCAATTTTTCCAACTATCAGTCACATTTTCAAGAAACATGAAAATAATACCAGGTTAGACTCCTACTATCTACTCTGTGACCCTCTTATACTGGTGTTACTCGGTGAACTACTGAAAGCAATATTTAGAAAATACCAAATTACTTTAAGGGTGGAAAGAAAAAGAGTAAGGACAGTAAAACTGAGGAAACATTATATCAACGCCTTCGTGCCTGTCTTACACTACAGACAACATACAGAGACATGCTACGCTCAATGAGAGACTCCCTTGGTGCCACCAATATGTTGTCACACTTCCACTCAATGAGCAGCCTTGTCCCCAGTGTACAAGGGTGAGTATTTATGAAGTTAATTAAAGCAGAACTAATGGTTTGCTCAATGTTCATCTCAATATGCCGCTTTATGTGTAATGGAGGAATTAAATTTTTAAAATGTATAAGTTTAAGTGATTATATTGAAAGAATGATATCAATTGACCCACTGACATAGTTGATGGAGAATTTTGCATCAAGGTCACCGGAAGTGTGATGTCATATCGACGCTGGTCGCCATATTGTAACTCAAGGAAGATGGTAAAACATGCCCAACAACATATTCTGACAAACTCAATAATTGACCAACTCGCTTTATTTAAACATATTCATTTATTCCAGACACAATTCAAATAGTTATGAGAGTGTTTCAATATATGCTAACACCCCTGCTTTATATATTGAACTAACCTAATGTACTATATGCTAGGTATCTTTACCTGTTTGAATCACTTATGACTTATTACTTATTGCTCTTAAGTACATCTTCTTAAGATGCTTGAATAAAGTTTATTCTCTAATAAACTTACTGACTATAGCGTTAAGTATCAATTACCAGTCGACAATGAACAGTATTGAAACATGGTGGCAGCATAATGGACTCTTATTGCTATATTATTATATTTTCTTAAGTTGAACTAAGAAGCTAAAGTGTATGATGATGAACTCTCAAAAATTAAAACCCCCAATAATAGCATTTTCAATTCACAATTTCATGTCACTGTTTCTAACAAGTCACCTCATTCTTTCTTTTCATATTTTTTGTCAAGTCAAAATCGGTGTTTAAAACCTGGTTTCTTTACAAGCTATGCTTATGTAATTATCAAATAACATGAAAAATGTTAAACCTTACATCCTACATTGATTTGACGTGAAATAGTGATCATTGACATAATTTTTGTGCTGTTGTGTAGTTCCTAATTTTGCCAGTTTTCTTTTTTCTCAAAGTCAAACTTGATCCCCGATCCCTATCGATGTGACGTCACTCATTATTAATTATGCACGCATGCGCAGTACAATAAAGAAGGCAATATTGCGACTTAAACAATTCTGAGCCAGAGTGGAGGTCTCCAAATTGAAATGAATGTTTGTTTATGCATCTATCGAGGACATATGTAACCCAACCAATTTTTTCAATAATAAACTTAATATTTTAATGAATTATACTTATTTTGTGAGCTTACTTCCCCTTTAAACAGCCTGTCCATATAAGAAAACATTGAGTTTCTTAAAGGGTGGCTTATTTTTGATGTGTGACCCCAAAACATAGTTTTTCAGAATGCACAATGAGTTGGACATTTTTTGAATGGCTTTTGGAAATTAAGATGTGACATATCAAATCTTGATGACAAATTTTCTTTGGTATGATAATGAAACATCTTAATAGTTGGGTTTTCTTGGTCATTTTAAGATTTTGTTCTGAAAGCATGCACACCTTCCACTCTCTTTTGAGTCAAGGAATCCTCATTAAAATAAAATGGTAAAAATATAATTTTATGAAAACTTGTTTGTGGGGATTTGCTACTCCTCTTTTCTAGTCTTGAAAGTCTTCAAAAACATTGATTTCCTGGGTTTATTAACTTATGAGCAATGAATGATATAACCTGCAGGCCCGTAGCCAGGGGGGTTCGCAGGGTTCGGGCGAACCCCCCCCCCCTGGCCAAAATTCTTTCAAAATCATGCAGTTTTTCACCATTTTGAGCACTTCTCTTGTGGTTTTAGTCATATTTGGGCCAAAATTGTCAAATGTGAACCCCCCCTGGAAATTTTTGAAAACTGAACCCCCCTTGGCAAATCCTGGCTACGGGCCTGACCTGAGAGTGAGAAAGTTGAGAAAAAGCCTTTATAAGAGTTATAACCAACAGCTTGCAGTTCTAGATTTGGATTAATATCATATATCATAATAACTTGTACAACTACTATCGACTATTGAATTATTATCAATAAATGGGCAATTACTCATTCACCTACTAACTACAGCATAGAAATACCACCAGCATTTTTAATCAATTATTTGAGCCTTAGCTCTGACTGAACTTCATACAATTAACTAAACATGATGCGGAAATCTAAGATTCTTTATATGTTAATATTATTTGTGTTCTCTGGATGTCTACTGTTCGTACTAAAAGCAAATAAAAACAATACAAACTTTATTAGATCAGGTTCTCAATCTTTAGAATCAAAACTTGGAGAATCTGTTAAGAAAGTTGATAAAACTGAACAGGTTAAAGATGTCTATAGAGATTGGATTGATAAAAGAAACAATGAAGAAGATGAAATAAACATTAAAGAAGATGAAGTAAATATTAAAGAAGATGAAGTAAACATTAAAGAAGATCAAACAAAAATTGAGGAAGTTGAAACAAACATAGAAAAGGATCGAATAAATATTGAAGATGGAACAAACATTAAAGAAGATCAAATAAACCTTAAAGAAGATGAAACAAACATTATAGCAGATCAAACAAATATTGAAGGAGATCATGAAGTCAATGAAGAAGATCAAATGGACATTGAAGGAATGAATAGAAAAAATGAAGATATTAATAAAAACAAAAATGGAAAGAGAGGTGATGACAATAAAGAAAACATAATAGATAACAATCCTGAAAAAGTTATAAGACCTGGTGTTATATCTAATGTTAAAGAAGATAAGGGACATGAATTAAAAGGTGACACACAGAATGACAGTCCTCAAAATTTAAAGGAACCAAAAGCGAATTCTGATGAAGACATGTCAACCATATTGAAAAAGGCACCATATGCTAAAATGGATCTTGGAGATGTTGTGAATAAACCAAAGGACGGACATAATCATGTGTTCTTTTTGAAGACTCATAAAACAGGAAGTTCGACGGTTCAGGGAATTGTAATGAGATATGGCGATAAAAGGAACTTGACTTTTGCTTTACCACGGACCCAAGGTAGTGCCATAGCATACCCTAGGTTATTTTCAAAACAATTTGTTCAGCCGTTGAAAAATGTTTCCAAGTTTGATATTCTTTGTAACCACTTAAGGTATCACTCTAGCGTACATAATATTCTGCATAAAGACACTATTAACTTTGCCATTCTTCGAAACCCTGTTGGACAATTTACGTCATCTTTTTTCTATAGACGTCTCGGAGAAGTTTGTTACAACATGTCAAGTAATGTAAAAAATTCACTTGGTGAATTTCTAAATAATGTATCCTCTTATACAAAAATGTTCCCAAAGTGCAAAAAGCCAGGGATTACGAACATGCAGCTATTTGACTTAGGAATGGAGGAAAATATGACCAATAATAAAGATGCTATTTTACTTAAAATCCAAGAAATTGAAAGGAACTTTCATTTTGTACTTATATCAGACTATATGAAAGAAAGTTTGATTTTGATGAAAGATATTCTTGGATGGAGTATTGATGATATCGCATTTTTCGATAAAAATGTTCGTTTAGATCGAAAAAATGATGAGTTAACAGAATTACAATTGAAAAATCTTCAATCGTGGAATCATGGAGATTTCTTGTTGTATGAGCACTTTAACAAAACATTTTGGAAAAAGGTTCATGATTATGGGTATGAGCGTTTACAGCGAGAAGTTGAAGAACTCACAAGACATAATGATGATCTTTATGAGTTTTGTGTTGCAACTGAGGGATCATCAAAAGATGCAGCTATAAAATCAAACAATCAGTTTGGTGCAGTTTGGATGGCTGAACATGTAAATGGATTCATACTACGTGATAAAGCCAGAGGAAACAAAACTTGTGAACAGCTGGCGAGATATGAAGTGGCATATACACATTATGTGAGAGGGAAAATGAAAAAGTTAAATTATTTATGATTATGGTTTGTCTAGGAAATTGTTTGCCACGATTTGAAGCTTCCGAAGCATTATAGGTTTAATTATCCTATCATGTGGAGGGCATTTGTTAAGTACTTCTGTTCAGAACTCAAACAGTGTCGATAATAGTTACAGTAAGATATGTATGTTTTGATTGTAGTATACAATATATTCATAGATATATTGTATTTCCCTCAGATATACCCTGTATCAAAAACCTCCCTTTAAATAACCTCTATATATTGAATGAGTACATAGTACAACTATTTACTAAACGTTAACAATGTTATATAAAAAAACTTTCAAAATTGTTCACATTTTTTTATCATATGGCTTGGTCAAGCTTCTCAATCATCTTTCTGTCTGTCTCTTCATCTGTAAAAATAACATCAACATATACACTACATGTTCTGACTAGATATTCAAAAATTGTAAATAATCCTTGTGGATCTCACAAACATATGGGACAATTATATGTAACAAGATGTTCATTTGAGATAAACAAACATATGGGACAATTATATGTAACAAGATGTTCATTTGAGATAAACAAACATATGGGACAATTATATGTAACAAGATGTTCATTTGAGATAAACAAACATATGGGACAATTATATGTAACAAGATGTTCATTTGAGATAAACAAACATATGGGACAATTATATGTAACAAGATGTTCATTTGAGATAAACAAACATATGGGACAATTATATGTAACAAGATGTTCATTTGAGATAAACAAACATATGGGACAATTATATGTAACAAGATGTTCATTTGAGATAAACTTTGAGATGTACCAAAATTAGCAATTTATTTATCATTATCTATGAAAGTATGGGTTTAATATTTTTGAAATACATTTCAATTCAATTTATTTATTTCATAATTCTTTATAAAATATAAAATACATGTACATGTAAATTGTGAAATTACAACAAGAATAAAAAAATTAACAATCAAAATATTAAATACAAAATTGTTACTTTTTCATACATACATCTTCTTTAAAAGAACAACATTTTATCAAACATTTTCGCAGAGCTTCCAAATGGTTGCCATTTTATTATAAGTACCTCACCATTTGAGCAGTTCTATTGTTTAAGTTAAAATGTGCTTAACTTTCATAATAAAAATAGAAAATGAATGAATTCAGCAAATATGATTTCCATTAATAAAAAAACTTTTCAATATTGAGAAAAATGACAAGAAATGGTATAAACATACAGTAAATCCTGTCTAAGTGGAACACCCTTGGTTCCTCTAAAAAGTGTTCTACTTGAAAGGTGATCTGCTGAAAGAGGTTCATTTAACATTTAGTCAGTTGGTCTTGGGACTCTGTAAAGTGTTCCACTCACGGATGTGTTTTATTTCTCGAGGTGTTTCACTTTACAGGTTTCACTGTACAAACTTTATTTATGCCTTATTGTCTAATACATTGAGATGATTGATAATGCCAGTAAAAGTCAAACATCCTTTGTTGCTTTGGTTCTCTTTTGAAATTGATTATTCTAAGTGATGCAAATTAAAAAAATTACGTAGGAAACAACTGGCATGCTCAATAATGAAACCCATTTGGTGTAATTAGTGTAATTTTCATCACATGGGGTTGGGCCAAGTGTAGCCAATCAGGTGCCCCAAAAACATGGTGTAAAGGCTCCTAAAATAAGATGAGGACTTCAAAAAGTGAGATTGAAGAGCTCTCAAAAGGAGGTACATGTAAAAGGAGCCTTATTAGTGAATTTAAAGGCGTATTGTTGGCCAGAAACTAAAGCATCCAGTTGTGGTATACGAACATGGCTAGACACCAATAAGAATCAATACTGCAGTGTCCATGTACAAAATGATAAGTTCGACATTTAGCCAAAGTTCAACATTTATTGAATTTACTTGATTATTAGTGGTATTATTGTTTAAATAAAGGTCAAACTACCTCAATATTATTCATCATTTTCTGACGCAGAATGGCCCATTAAATAGTTATCTATTTTAGCAGTCAAAGTTTTCATTGATGATAAAGTTATCTTGTTTTAATTATGATGTAATGATGTCTCTACTTGTATCCATTTCTTTTAAATTACTGGAGTCATTTTTTTTATTTATGTTATGCTTTTGAGGGACTACTAAGTGGGTTCAGTGGTTTCAGTGTTTCCTATGAAACACTCCCAATATTCCATTGGTGGTCCATAATGCCATTTTTGACCACCTGCTCTCAGAACCTTACCTCAACCTACCCTTTGCATTCGTTTGACTTCACTTCTTAAAAGAGAGCTTCATCTTCACTCTTTCAAACTAAAATAAACCTGTGATCTTACCACGGCAATCAGTGTTCGTCGGCCAAATTTGACCGACATTCTATATATGGTCATTCCTTCTGACGTCATCGTTGAGCCCAGAATTGACCAATGACATGCGCATATTTAATTAGAACGCATTTGGCGTATGTTTCTTCAAGCTCGCTGAGTGGTGGAAGAATGGTCAGCGCATAGGTCAAAAGTGATTTATTACCCAAACTGTCACTGGTACCCGCCGTGGGGGCGGGGCTACTAAACTGTAATATGGTCTCTACTAGGCAGAGTGTAGTTTAACTAGACTCTGCATGCTGGGTAACCTCAACCCCTGATCATGGGTGATTCTGATTGGCCAATGTACTTCCATGTAATCTTGAAAATAACAGTTCAGACTTCCCTCAAATCTTAAATTGATAAAAGACATACATGTATAGTTGCTGTTTGTATTGAAGTATTTATATTTTTTAAACTCCAAAACTTTGGTGAATACATATAAGTGAAATCTGTAATTAATGGCCTGCCTCTAGATCTATCAAAATAAGAATAGGTAAAATGTACTTCTCCAACTGTAATGTTTTCATAACAGCCTGCTTTTTAAATATAACATTTTTTAGATCCAAGCAAGGCCCAAAGGTTAGCACACCCGGGACTGGGATGTCCTCCACTCATTCTAAGAAAGGATCTGTACTTCTGTACTTCTCCGACTGTAATTTTTCATAACAACCTGCTTTTTAAATGTAACATTTTTTTTAGATCCAAGCAAGGCCCAAAGGTTAGCACACCCGGGACTGGGATGTCCTCCACTCATTCTAAGAAAGGATCTGTGGCTGGGGATCACTCTGGGCATGGTGTTTCCATCGCTGATGAAGACATCATTCTGCATCACATGGACTCCTTCTGCGGCAGGATCCGCCAGATCATGGATGTTGTCAACACCCTATCTCAATACACCAGGTACATAATACCTTTTTTTAGTACATAGGTACATGATATTTTTTATTTCATTAATGTCAATTTTTCTGTACAAACACCTCAGTGGTCCAAGGGATGTATTAACATTTTACAAATATGAAACAAAAAATGAATGTCGTAAATATGAGGGTTGTCCCAGAAGTATTGCTCTATATGCTCAAACTTTCTTTAATATTGTTCAATTTAGCTGAAATTAGTGCATTACTTCTGGGACAACCCTCGTATATTATAATATCTTTTCAGAGTAATCAAAAGCACAAATGGACTCCCCAGGCCAAGAAAGGAAGACCTTATATATGATGAAGCTTTAGATTTCACCCGTGAGAAGAAGATCATAGAGGAACCACCTGAAATGGATGATGGTACGTCATCATAAAAGACTAATATAGCATGATCCTTCAATCGTCCCCATATAAAGCCTTGTCATTTAAATTATTGTATATTTGATGAACTATGAATTTTACGTATTTAAAAGAGAGAATAGTGTCAAGGAATGGCCAACAATTTAACAGCTTGTTTTTCAATGCATGGTTTCCTTGTGTTGCCTCTCAGATTTTTTGATTTAATAATTTTATACGTCTAAATCTGAATTGAATTTATAATTTTTTGCTCATTTTAGATCTTCCACTGCCATCTATTGGGCCACGCCCCTCTGACCGAGAGACCAGTAACCTTGTGCCAATCACAGAAGATGAGGAACTAAGGGTGGCAGCTCTACCTGGTGAGGAAGACATGGAAGCAGACGGCAAGTCAGACACAATGTCTGCAGCAGATGAGCCTCCAGACTTATTTGGTTCACAGCAGGGTCTGACCCGGGAGGAAGTTGCCATACTTAGTAAGTTTATAGTCAGTCTTGAATAAGAAGTCAAAATATAAGATAAATAAGTAGAACTTGCTATTTGGATATTGTGCTGATATGCAAATTGTGGAATATTTTCTGTATTACAGTATATCATACTGACTAAATCAATTACTCACAAGGCTTTGTTTTTAGAATGATCCAGTTTAAAAACCCTCTTCAACTAAACATTAAAACAACTTGATTTCTGTTTATATGCGTATGTTGTATTTCAATTTCTGCAGTATTTGATTCAAATACTATCTCCCAGATACAGTTTCAATTGTTCTAAATACTATAACGTGAATAAAGTCCAAAGTATTCAAAAAGCTCGAACATATATGACGTGTTATTTGTCTGTTTAGAAAAATACTACGATGAAGACAATCCTGGAGAAGGGCCGAGTGTGGCTGAGATTATAAAGGAGTCTTTACAAAACATGCGTGGCTCAATGGCGGAAAATGTCACCACTAAGACTATGATGGATGTGGAAACAAAAGTATGTAACCCTTTACACATTAATTGTGTGTTCTGTTGCTAGGTTATGTGATGTCACAATAACGCAAGCAATGTCAGGACAAAAGTTTCTATATATTGAATAGTCATTGAATAAGGCCATTTTAAATTAATTATATGTTTAATGTTCTGTTGAGGTGTAGAACCTTCTAGGAGAATTTAAGGTAAAAAACAAACAAAAAATTTACCTAGATCCCATTTTATAGGGGTGTATACCTGTACATGTATATCTTTCACAATGTATATTCCATGATTGAGTGTTTTTATTGTAAAAAGTTAATGTGTATTTCAGGACCGTGAAAGATACGAGGAAACATATACCAACTTCTTGATGCTTGTTCAAGATCTTGAGAAGTTTCTTGCGTCATACCTGCACGCCATTTTTACCCGTAAAATGAAAACATCTGAGGCCTTGGAGCTCATTACAAGGTGGGTTGATTCCAATCTTACTATTATGTTTGGAATTAAATTTGGACTCATAGGGCCAATTATATTTCATTTTCTATTGATAGATTTTTCCAAGAACTAGTACAAAGTCGCTAGAGATATTTTGATATTTTCAAAGTTGTGCACTTTTAAACTGCATATTCTTTTGTCATATATCATAATTTTGACCATCTTATAACTATTACAACTATATTTAATTGATAAATACTAATATGCACATACAGAGTCTGGGGCAAAAAATGTTACCCATTCTGAACTGGCAAGAATGTAATAAGGGCAACATTGTTTTGCCCCACCCTGTATAATATATGTTCCCGTGGATGTGACTGACCGCTTTAAACATTGAATGGTGTCTTTACGACCCCAACTTATACCATATATGGTACTTTACAGGTTTACACCTATAGGCAGTAGGCCAGGTGTCAGGGCAGCCATCGCAGAAAAGTTTGTTGAGATCTTTAACTGGTATGAGGGTGACTTAGAGGAGGTCCATCATGTATATGAGAAGTACAAGGTTGGTTGTTTTAATACACAAACTCTTATTTACTGTTTTTGTCTGGGTTGTACCATGGGTGACAGTTTTGAAATTCCAAGCAATGGTATTAAATCTGAATGAATTGTTTATTGGGCAAATATTTTCATTCTTAATTTCACTTGACAATGTTTGAGCAATTACTCCCTCAGGTTTTGATAACGTTTAATATTGAAATGTAAATGCTTAAAAAAGAATAATTAATTGTAGTTGTCATAAGTGAGTAAGTATTATATTGATCTCTCTTTCTAACTTCAAAACAATGTACATTGAGAAATACAAAAACATTTTAAAATGCTATTGAACTTTAAGCAGCAGGTGGTTATGATTAATTATTTTCGTTGATTATACTTTGACGTGGAACATTAAGTCTTGCAGCATCAATCATTATTTCTTTTTAAAAAGTAATCAACTTTCCCGTAAAACTCATTATCTGGAAAGGAAATATAGATATCTTTTCAATATGGGAAGTTAAAATAAGCAAATATCAAAAGTTGAATTGAAAAAGGATATCCATTTCTTTAAGATTAAAGATTCCAGGTCTATTTAAAATCTCACTAAAATGTAGATACAATATTTTCATAATGGGAAGTTCAGATAAGAAAATATCAAAAACTGAATTGAAAAGGGGATATCCACTTCTTAAAAATTGAAGAGCAGGTCTATCTAGAAATGACACTAAAAATCAAAGAATTATCACGAAATAAATAAAATAAAGTCAGAACAGTTATATTAATGATCTCAAACCATCATTTTGCTGTATTCATTATACAGCTGCTCCCCCTCCCTCCCTCCAAAAATTATGCTGTATTTATTACAAACATTGTATATAGTAAACATCCAAGTAAATTGTAACAGTGTAAACATTTTCTTTTTTAGGATGAGCCACAAAAGTTACGCAATGCCCCACCAGTCGCTGGCTCCATCTATTGGTCTAGACAATTATTAAAACGTATTGAAGAACCAATGAAAGTGTTCCGCGATAATCGTGCTGTATCAAGCCTCAAAGATTTCAGTCGGATCGTAAAGATCTATAATCGCCTAGCAACCGCTTTGGTGACATTTGAGTCCTTGTGGTTCAGCCAATGGAAACAGCACATTGAGATTGCTAAGAGAGGAATGCAAGCCACGTTATTCATACAGCATCCTTCGTCAAAACAGATACTCGTCAATGCAGATGAAAGGTTTGGCAACTGATTACACAAAATGTTTATATAGAATAATCCATGAAATTACACATTTTATTATATTTTACTATATTTATAAAATTTATTTCATTAAATTTACATGGCTCTGGTTACAAACACATTGCAGCTTTGCAAGACTAAACTATGTTTGACAAAATCAGTAAAAATTATACAGTATTTATTTGTGTCTAGATATAGATAGTGACATAATTTATAAAGTTATAGACAGTGACATAACAATGATGTCTGAGGAAAAAATTGAAAGATTATTTTGGAAAAGCACCTTGCAAGATCTCAATTAGCGAAACTCTGATTTTTGAAGGTTATCAACACAACGATTGAACAATTCGAGTCAATATTCTCTTAGTTTGTTCCCACAATACAATCACTGCCATCTTTTTTATCAAAATTAAGTACAATTGATTAACTTTATTTAGTAAGTGATTAATGTAAGACACATCTTTTTGTACATATAGATCATTATTTATGGACTGTTGTACTCTAAATATACCTTTTCTACCTGTGGTTTTGAAAAGTTTCCCATATTGGCTTTTGTGCTTAGATATTCATATGACTTTCAGGGTTTTGTACTTAAATATATGACTTTCAGGGTTTTGTACTTATATATATGACTTTCAGGGTTTTGGAGCTAATCCAGGAGGCCAAGTGGCTGAAGAGACTGGGAATTGCCATTCCTGACTCTGCAGAGCAGGTCCTTGCTCAGGAACAGAGATTCAAACAATATAAAAACCATCTAGAACTGGTGCTCAAAGAGTACAAAGATGTCTGTGATTCTGTCCCTGAGTCTCTGAAAGCGCTGTTCAAACCCCACGCTGATGCTGTTTTACAGCACTTTCAGCCTGGTCTCAGCACACTAGCCTGGAACAGCATGAATATAGGTAAAGTCTCACTTGACTTACGAGTTGAACACAAATGGAACTTGGAGAATCAAATTGTTGTTGTTTTTTCAAACATTTGCTACTCCCCCTAACAAAATTACTTTATGTAGAATCACTCTTTGATATTTGACTTTCCCCATGAGGAATAAAAAGTAAAATTGGGTTTAGTATTCTTTCATAGAATCCTGCTTGGCTGTGGTAATATTGTGCAAGATATATTACAATAAAATATAGTTCATTTTTCCAGATGCGTTCCTTCACCAGATCCACTCCGCAACAACTAAGCTCCGCCTCTTAGTTGAACACATCAATGACGTCATGACAACTAAGATTGAGGGAACGGTTGTTAAGATAGCTAGCATGATTTTGTTTGATTATGACCTAGCATTCCACAGATCTTGGGTAAGCTAAGGAATATTTAAATTTAAAAATTCAAACTTACATTTTGTTTAATTTGTAATTTGTAAGTTGTATTTTGCTTTTTATATAAATATATTTGAAACATGGTAGTACATGTACTGAGTATTGCTAATATATAGTATATTTGCCCTTTGGTCTTTTTGTGATTTTTCAATATCACATTATCACCTCCAGTGGCCTTGAGCTTTAAATGCTACTTTGACCTACCTTGACCTCATTAAAATCTAACTAAAGTAATAAATAATGTGCTACCTGCTTAGTATCTGACACTATACTGACATACTGGTTCTTACCCTTTTGATTTAAACTTCAATGCATATCTTAATCTGTGTTTTTATATAATTGTAGCCTCCTCATGAATTCACAGCCTGTATACTAGAGACAGTGGAGAAGAAGTCGAAACTGTTGTACCAATATGTTGAGGTCATGGAAAAGGGCATGTTAGAGATAACAAACACTCTAACCAACAGAAAGGTAGGAAAATTACCCAATGTAGAATATTATTTATTATCATATCACTGCTGTATTCCTCACTGTCTGATTGGTTCTTATTTATCCATAATCAAAAACATTAAAAGTGCAACAATTAGTGCATCAAGACTAACATATACAGTATTTTTATTATCTCCAAAGAAACCCCCTGGATGAACATTACTTCAGCTGATATTCCTCTTAAAACATGACGCATCTTAAAAACCTATAAGTGGGACTCCCTTTATAGATGCTTTGAACTGAATTTACACTTCTTAATGCTGAAATTGATAGTTTATCCATACATTTTAAAAAGATAGGTTTGCCAAAGAAGATGTTAAGCCAAATGTTGCTCCAATAGCTCAGAAAAAGTTTTTTCTTTCTACAGGCCTTGTTGCCCCTTTAACAAGCCACATTTCCCCCTCAAGTGGGTGGATTACTCTGATGTCATATATTCAGTGTAATGATGGCATGTTCCTTGACTGTTATTCTGTTTATTTTGATTACATTTTATTTTGCCAATTATTGAGATGATATTTCTGTTTGTTTAAAAGTGTACAAAAATGTGTTTATAACTTATTTTTGCAAACATGTAAACTGTTGACGTCAAACAAATGTTATATTTAAAGTATATGCACATTTCATGTCTGTGTATTTTATTATTTACTTATGGTTATCGAATCAGAGAGAGATGCTTATAACAGTGAATAATTAAATAAACATTTCATTCTATTCTCATTGAATACCTGTGTCACTCTCAAAAGTCAAATATTGCTCTTTGGCAAATTAATTATGAAATTAATTATTTAATTATGAAAGATGCTTGTGTATTCATCAGAATTAAAAGAAATATTAGTCAAATAGTGTTCTGGAATAGAGTTTATATCTGGCTTGACATTTTGCTATTGAAAGTATGTTAATTTCATTGTTTAGAAAAAGACACTTAGGAATGCATATTTGAGATTATTTATTAGATAATTTTATTTAGTTTCATACCACAATTAAAGCATGAATATTCAATTACTAGCTGCTTGTTTTAGATGAATTTTTCTTTTATGAATGTTAGTTTATAGTGCATGGTCACATCGCTTATATAGAATAGATACATAATTTAGTGAGTATTTAAATAAATTAGTAAAATGTAATGCACTTGTAGTTTAAGTTTTTCAATTGCTTGCTTGTATTGTAACATGTACTAGTTTACTGATGTACTGAGTATTGTATCATGCATGTTCATTTCCTTGTTGTTGTTTAGGGTTATGATTTCCGCACGCTTGTCAACAGACACGCTATTGCCTTAAATGCTGCAAAGAAAATTACTAATCGTTTCCGCAAGAAGAAGCAGGAAGAAGCAGAATTCTTGGTTGTTATATATATTTGGCTTTATTTTGTGCATTATGATAATCCAGCTTTTAGTTCAGCTTTTGTTGCATTATAGGGTTCATCACGTTATTGCTATTTAACACCAGTTATGGTGCATTTAGATAGAGTAGGTCCACTGCACTGTAGTTTTGGTATGGCTGTTGTGTATGCACTGTTAAAATTAATTCCAATACTGTACCTCTGTGTCTTCATTATTTTCAGTTGAAATACTTCTGATATGACTGAAATTATATTTTGAAAATCATGAAAGCTCTTGGGGACTGGCTTTTATAGAATTTGATTTTGTAGGAAATTTTGTGTGTACGCACTGCATATTCTGGGGACATCTATAGGTTCTGAGACACACTATCACTGATGCATTTACATTTCTACTTTATGATAAGCCTGTGCAAAGTTATTCTTCGTTGCCCCAAAATTATTTTAATTTTAGAAAGTAGTAACATTCATTATACCCACAGCAATAACTCAAATAATGCTTAATACTAAGAGTGTTGCTTCAAAATTTTTTCAATTTCACTTACTGTCTCTGACGTGGAATTAAACAATGGGGCCCTGTTCAGAATCGTCCAAAGGCTTATCATAATTTGAAACCTCTAACCTCACTGTATTATGAAATACTCCACATATGTTGCATCAAATCATCCATTTACTATATATAATCTAATGTTTCATTCATGCACAATTGCACACTTTAGGGCTTGTCATTCAAAATGCTGGGTGCCGTTGTGCGCATTGCAATGAAAATGAGGAAAAAATTGTGGAGACGGTTCTTTAATACTCCACATATGTTGCATTAAATCATCCATTTACTATATTTAATTTAATGTTTCATTCATGCACAATTGCACACTTTAGGGCTTGTCATTCAAAATGCTGGGTGCCGTTGTACGCATTGCAATGAAAATGAAAAAGAAATTGCGGAAATGGCGGAAGGAACAAAAAGACTTCTTGGTTTATATTTTATAGTTATATAGACATATCCTTAATTGAAAAAATGACATTTGTCTTTCAAGTGACATCTGTATTGAGCTGAGTTGTGTTGTGTTGTAGCATTTCACCAAGTGCCAGCTTTTATCAGGGGTGGGCTTAATTTTTAAGAGACTCTTTAGAGAGACCCTAAGAGTGACTCTTTTATAGGAGGACTACATTTTGAGCAGTGCTCAAAATTGCTTGGAAATGTCAATTTTATCCCAAATATTCTCAATAATTTTCAACAAAATGTATGCCAAAGTTTCTTGTTTAAATTTGAGGGAGGGGTCATCCACAAGCCCCCGACCCCCTGGCTACAGGCATGCTTGTAACTTAAGATGTCAATTGTTGGACTCCCATTGGTTTCTTTCTTTGCCAAATTAAGGTCATTCTGGTCATTCTTAGAGTCAGCTTCTTAAGGATGTCGTGTAATGTGCAATGTTATGTACAAGATGGAATAAATCTCAAACCATGCTAAGGTTGTATTCATGATTTTTTGGGAATATGCAATCATATATGATTGGTTTAGATATGACATACTAAAAAGTATAAATACATCTCTGATACAAATTCAAAGCCTAGGAATCATAAAAGAATCTGTTGAAAAGTCTTCAAAAACTATTGTTTATTACATGGCATTGGACATTATAAATGAATCTTTGAAAAAGATCTATGGATGTATATTTTGATGTTTGTTGGGGTAGTGGTTTCCGTAGTGGTTTCCTTTATCTTTTGGGTCTGGAACTTCAGATTCTTTAGCTGCCTCTATACTTGTAAACTGTATAGTATTGTAATTTTTTTTTTGATTTGTCAAGGTATTTCCTGAGAAACTATATACTGGTTGATGGTGATTGGGCTCAAAACACTATTACACTATTGTACATCTACAAACATTTTTTTGCACTATTGCATAACTCTATACAAATGTATGCACTATTGTATTAACTGCATTCACTTATTATGCACTATTATATAACTGTTTACATTGATTTGCACTATTTATTTTAGGGCTTTAACTTTTTAATGCTGAATGCTGTAATGCGAGTTACAAAAAAATTAATCCGCAAAGTAAATGAAAGAAAAAAGACACGGCAATCGTTTTTGGTTAATATGGCTTTTGATTTCTTGTTGTTAACTGCTATAGCTCTCATAGACTTCAAGAATGTCCAGAGAGGATTGACTCCAAGCAATCTTGGCCTGGAGATGACCTTTATAGTAAAATTATTACCAAATTGGTCAGTGCCAGTTTAACTATGATTGCTTTTAAGATGCTGGGAGTCAATCATTCTTGAGCAATGTCTATGTTAACATAGTGTTTATAAAAGAAATTAATACATGTGTGTTTTTGTGTGGCTGGTCAGCTCATGAAAGTTATGAAATTTGATCAATTTTATTTTGTAGACCATCTCCAAATAAATTTCCTCTCCTACTCATAGTATGTTGTGAAAAGGTTACCATGTAGTCCCTGTTTTGCCTCATTTAAAGTTTAGCAACCACTTTATATCTTATACATGTAGTTTGTTTGTCTGTGTTTGATTTGTCCATAGACCATGTGAGACTAAACCTATCTATTGCTACAATATACTTTTTAAACTATTTTATAATTAGTGATATAAAACTACATTTATTTGTATTCAATTATGTCAACAAATACGATCATGTATAAGCTTTAATTCATGTTGTATAGGATATGTTTTAAGCATTTTTTGCCAAAATATTGAGTATTGAGAGATACTTTTTTAAAAAAATACTAAAGATACTTCTCTAAAAAGAGAATGAATAAATCTACATTTCTATACTGGGCTGTTGGTTCAGGGGAGGATGTCACGCTAATTCACTGGCATTTTCATAATTAAAGGCTGTTTTTTCAGGGGGAGGGTGTCATGCTACCAAGTCAGGAGAAGGAAAAAGCGCGAAACAAGAAAAGCCGGCAGCTATCAGCAGAAGAGAATGATCGCTTGATTGCTCAATTTAAGCAAGAAGAAAAACTTGTGGAAGATCTTACAGGTGCGTTCTAAAAAAACATTTAATCTTCATTGTTATCGCACGTTGAAGAAGTGCTATATTATTGTTGTCTTATTTTTCTCACTATAAGGAATTATAGAAGAATAATGCCTTTGGCGATTGAAGAAACTTATGAGTAGATCTACTTTACAATTCTTTATTATAAAATAAATATATCTTCATGAAAAAAATATAGAAGAATAAGGCCAGGATCAACAGTTTGTATCAAAAGAAGAAAATATATGATTCATTTCAAGTAACTCTCTTTTCTATTTTATTTTTTGTTTATTTCTTGAAAAGAATAAGTTCATCCTTAGACTTTTGGTAGAGGTTGATACATTCAACCATCTTCAATTATCAACAAAACAATCTTTCACAAAAATCACACTAATACGTTTCTCCTTCAGTCCACTACTGCACCCAGCTCTACAATGCTATCCTAACTGCTACAACCCGCACCCTCGTTACACTAGCCGAGGCATCAGGGTGTGAACTCCTGGGAGAAGTCGAACGTGTGGCAAGTGCTTTGTCCGAGGCCAGATCCTTTGGGGAGATGTCGGATCCTGGAGGACAGACCAGCAGGCCGGTGTCAGTCATGTCAGGAATCTCAGGGGAGCAAAGACCATCTTCAGTATTATCTATGCTGTCAACAATGACATGGAGTACAGAGAAAGCACAAGAAATAACATTTCTACAGTAAGTGGGGCAGTTTTGAATTATTGTTTATTTTAAGAAATATGTATGCACATGGGCTAAAGGGAAAGGACCAAAGTTGTAACAGAACATAGCAAGAAAAAGAAAACATCTTAAGAAGTACATGTAAATGCATATTGCCTGAGACTCTTGACACTTTAGGATATCTTTCCTCTTGATTGGATTTTTTCCTTAACATCAACAATATATTTTTCTAACCACCATGTTTTAGAGCACTACCAGACATAACCTCATTGACCACTCATAAAACTGCAACTGTCTTGTTTTGTAGGTTTGAAGTGCTTGTAAAGTTCAGTATCCCCAACATAATTCTGGAACCAGAGCTTAACAGCATACAAACAGCTGTAACAGAGGTTGCGTCAGCTGTTATGGAAGTCTCTAAAAGTGAGTTAACATTTTTAAGTTTCAGTTTTTCATTAGTTTATCTCAAAGCCTCACTTAGGCCTGTAGTCAGGTTGCTTTTGCCAAGGCAGTTCGAGCGAACTCCAAACCCCGGATTAACTTTCACCTTGTGTAAGATTTGTTCAAAATTTGTACCAAATTAGTCTATCAGTGAATTTAGTGCATATGTTTTTCAATTAATTTTCAGACTACGGGCACAACAAAAATCATTTTGCACTTTGTATAAAACAATTCAGGTGCAAACATTTTGTATCAAACCAGCACAAAAATAGATTCACCAAAGGTCTATCTATTCATATATTAATTTACAATATGGGAAATATTTTAATATCCAATTTTTTAAATGAATATGCTGAATTTTGTAAATCTACATTGGTCGGTGGAAAAGTCCACCGTACTTGCTCTGGGAAATCATCCATAACATTTAACACTTCAGGCCATTTATTCCACGAAAGACAAACACTTTGTGTACCACATTTACCACCATTAACATAGAGTCCAAATGGGTTGGCATAGCCACACATAGGTGTTGTATTATTGTATCTACTATACCACCATCCTGAGTGCCAGGTCATAGCACAGTTACGTTTGTAAATGATTTCATTGTCCCTATCAAATGTGGAGAATTGTGTTCCATTGTGGACCCCAAGTGAATCCCCTGCAGTTCCGGAATAACCATCTTGAAAAACACAAAATAACTTTTAAACTATTGATGTATTCGTAGACCTTATACTAATTGTTATACCAAATACAGAACTGTGTAACACTGGATGTGTAGAAACCATAGATAAACAAGATATTTCGTATCAACTTGAAGTTGGGAATCTGGGAATAGAAAAGTGTAAAACCCTTGCAATAGTGTCAATGCATGTTTCTTACAAGTTACATACAAAATTACATGTAAAAGTTAACTTTAAAGAAAGTTCTGAAAAATGACTGACCTAGAGTTAAGCTGTAGTTGGTACTAGAGTTGGATACATGAAAGATGGAATACTCAGCAAATCTTGTGTCCTCCACACCCCAGGTTGTCAGCTCAATCCTCAGTTTATACCTCCTGTCCTTCAACATAGACACCAGGTTGTCCAGCCCAATGAAATACTCCCCAGACACACTACCAAACCCAGCCTGGTACTCAGACCAACTCCTGAAGAAATCAACTGAGCCATCCATCCTACGTGCTATTGAGAGCCAACCCTGATTACAGTATGCTCTAAAGAGTCTCTTGTCAGTCTTCGTTTTGATGAAGAGATGTCCAGTAAAGTCGAATGTCTCACTGCAGTCTTGATATGTAGCTATAAATATTAATATATTATGTTCATCTATAGTTTCAAATAAGGAAATTTATTTTTATATTGTGTTCATTTGTCACACACTAACGAGACGCATGTATTGTCCACTCACCAAGTTGCCCTTCAATGTCTTTAAGATGAAATTCAATCAGCTTTTGCTTTCTTCTAATTTCTTCCACAATTCCTCCATATTGCAGGTGTAGAGGGTACAATGGATAGATCTTCATATCAACAGCCTTTAAATAAGACATTTGTGTCATTTTCCTGCTAGTATTACATATTATTTCTATACACCCACATAACAATTTCACTATTTTTTCATAAGAATGACAAATTACCTTGAAAGAGTAGTAATGGTTGTCTGGGCTGCCAAGTTTTTCAGGCCAGTGATACCAAATTATACACTCTCCACTCAGGCTGGTGCAGTTTCCACCTTGGATGTATGGTCCAAAGAGATTGGACATTGCACACCACATGTACCACCATGCTCCTTTCATAGCCTCTGCACAATTCAATTTTCTATGAAGATCATTTTCTCTATCATATGTTGTAAAAAGCATGTTGTCTCGATATGATAACGAGTCACCAGCTGTCCCAGAATAACTTTCCACTCTCAGTCGATAGTTATCAGCTTCATTACCTACACTAAACCTCTCATACTCCGCATACTTAGTCTCTCCTGGATGTGATTCATTGCCCCAACTTGTTAGCTCAATACGCAGTCTGTACCTGCTGTGACCTGTCACCGCAGCAAGGTTGTCTAGACCAATGAAATATTCTCCACTTGGGTCACCAAAGCCATGCTGGTAGTCAGACCAGTTGCGATAGAAGTCTACAGAGCCATCAAACCTACGTGCAATTGACATCCATCCTCTATTACAGTAAACCCTAACAGCCTGCTTATTTGCCTGGATCTCTTTTACTCCTGTGTAGGAGGATAGCAGGCTGCAGTCAAAGGCTGTAAATATTACATTCAAGTGTACTCAATATATCGATTGAATGGGGCTTTCCAAGGAGTGATTGTAGTTTCTTCAAATAACACAATGTCATCTTTGGTGATTAATTTGATAACTGCCACAAAACGGATTTAATGTACATAAAAAATGAAAATTTTACCATGTTTCAAAAAAGTTCAGTTTAATTGACTATCCATGACAAATATTTCTGTTCAAAAGTTATGCAATGCATGAAATAAACTGATAATATATTGTAGATTACCATCTTGTATATGGATACTGTTTAGTGTCTTGTTCATATAGTGCTCTGTTTGCTTTATCTCATTGACAGCTGTAGTGAGTTCATCTGTAGTGTCAATGACTTCAGTAAGTGACTTTTTCATCTCATCTAATGTGGTCTCCTTCCCTGCTGTTTCACTGGTTGGAGAAGATGTGGTTGTCACCCCAACAGTCACTTTCTCCACCAAGCTCTTTAACTTCATCATCTCTTGCTTTAGGTCATCTATTTCTTCTTTTTGTTTTCTTACCAGATCTTCAAGTTCTGAAATCTTTGTGTTTTGTTGTTTAATGTTTGTTAGAATGTTGTATCTCCATCTACATACCTTTTCTATTTGCCAGGCATGTCTATAACATATAACTGTTGTCAAGATGACCAAGCGGGTCCAAAAAATAAGGATTGTATCCATCTTTGTTGCAACAATATACAGAAATTATTTCATTTATTAACAGTTACGTGCTTTAATGTCAGTTTAGCATTATGTATCACGATTTAGATACATCATGATTGAACACAACATTTGACATCTAAATGTCAAATGTGAAGATACATGTAGCAGTGAAACTACTGCATACAAACACCTCTCTGATTTAGAAAACAACTTGTGTGAATATGTTTGTGACCCGAGTTAGGGATTTCACATTAACTGCATCCTCCGATCACAGGGCTTCAAAATCCAGAATATATTCTTTCTTTTTTCCCCCTGCGATAAGGAGTTAGCATTTCCCCAATTAAGAACTCGCAATCTGATTGGCTGTAGCAACACTGCGACAGAAATCATGTTTAAGTCATTGCGCATAATTAGATCACATGATTCAGATTTAATCGGGCACTTCCAAATTGGTTATAGCAGGGGGAAGAAGGAGGTACGGATTCTGGATACCTGCTAATGATGCGCCATCTCCGATGATATAGAAGACAGTATATTGTGGCGAATTATGACCACATTTAATCAAAAGTTGGTTTTTCATACAGTTCTTCATCACAATAGCTTAATTCACAGAATTCACGACGATAAGGTCCGCCATTTGTGACAACGGTACCGGACTCTACCGTTGTCAAGGTGTTCCAATGTTTGTCTGATAACCATCATATGTTTGATTGGATGTGCTTCGCATTCAGGGTTGCCATTGTCTAGTTAGGACACCTTTCAATGTGTGAATATTTTGATTGTTTCAAGGAGTCATTTTACCTATAACAAGTTTAATTGTATTCAGACAGTCTTTGCATCTGTGTTGACATATTTATGTTCGTAAAAATGATGTGAATAAAAAGCATAAAATAAATATGATTTGTTGAAATATAGAAATAACATGACACAACTCAGTATCTATTCTTGTTTTTTAATATGGTGTAAAGATCATCTTGTTTAGCATGTTTAATGATTAAATTCAATGTCATGAATAAGCAAATCATTTTGACATTTTAGATTGAAGATTTTATGCAAAATACATCTTTACCATATTCGCTGTAAAAAGCGCCCAGGGCACTTTTGAAATTGAAATTCCCATTGTAACGCATTACAAAGAGTGCCCATATATGCCTCTATATGAATTTTATCACGCTTAGCATCTCTGACTCTGTTATATGATTGTTCTATTTATTTATTGTCCCAGATGTGACTTGGTTAGAAGGACAGAACAAAGGGGAGACATTCTACCAGGGTCTGTCAGAAGATGAATCGACTAAAGAATTGTTGCAATCTCTACACAACGTCGTTGAAGGTTCGTAAATATTTCCGAAAAACTTACTTTTTTTGTTTTCCTTTATTTTATTCAAACCATGCTATGTTTGTAAATCAACCATTTGAAAACTGAAGTTTGAATTTACCGTAAAATGTATAATGACTTAGAAAATTAGTTATGATGTTGAAATATGTCATAGATGAAATAAATAAAATGTTTTTGTTGCTTATAGAATTACAGCCCATAGTGCAGCAGCATTTGCATCACTTCAGTTTGTATGACTTCCTGTGGAAAGATGATATGCACGGAGACTTTTACGAGTTTATCAATCATGATCCTGGACTTGTTGCAATTCAAAGAGAGGTTGAACGCCTTTTGAGAATTGAAAAGAAGGTAATCTATAGAAAATATATTATCTGATAACAATGCATTATCATGACTGTTTATAGGAGACATGAATTCCTGTCTATGCACAGGTTTCATATGAAGAGAGATTTATATAAAATATACATAATTTGGATTTCTATGTAAGAAAAATGGTAACTTTAATTTAAATTTAACTTCTTAATAAGTCTAGAAACTTAATGAATTCAACTTGAAATAGCAAAATATTCAACTCATGTATGACTACAGCTTAAGAAATGGTAACAATCTTTTCTCTATATATAGGTGATGCGAATCCCCTTGGTGTTACCTGTTGGATCTATCTGTCTACAAACAAGCCCTGTAAAGGATGCACTGCATGGCTTTGCTATGGCCTGGAAAACTCAGTATGCTTCTGTCCTCCATGAAGAAGCTAAGGTAACAGCAATTTTTCACTTGACCATACTGTAGAAACAAAGATTGTGGTGGTGACATATTGTTATAGTCCCTTTTGTGGATGGTGTTCAGTGGGTGGCGTTTGGCATTCGGCATCAGTAACAAATGGCAGGTGGTGACATTTTGCATGTTAATGCCTTGTTTGAGCTTAAAAGTAATTTACATAAATGTGGGCCATGATCAGAAATATGAATATTCATTTCCCTGGCCTAATTCTTTGTATTTTAGTATTTTATTTAATACATGTGACTGAGATTTGTTCAAAAAATATTAAAAATTAATGTGTCAGAAACACGAGAAAAATTCAATTCCTTATATTTTCTAGAAAAAATTAGATGCAGCTTTATTGTATCGATCAAATGTAAGACAACGCCTGGAGTTGCATGTTTCCACCCTAGACCAGCTGAACAGCACACTACATTTACTGGAGGAGCTGCGTGATATGGAAAACAAGATTGATGAAATATATCTGCCTATAGAGACAATGTATGCCAATCTCAGGTAAGAATATCTTCCTATAGAGACCATGTATGCCAATCTCAGGTAAGAATATCTTCCTATAGAGACAATGTATGCCAATCTCAGGTAAAAATATCTTCCTATAGAGACAATGTATGCCAATCTCAGGTAAAAATATCTTCCTATAGAGACTATGTATGCCAATCTCATGTAAATATATCTGCCTATAGATACTATGTATGCCAACCTCGGGTAAATTAATCTGCCTATATATATATAGAAAGTGTATCCCAACCTCAGGTAAATATATTATAAAATTCAAAATGTGCTCAAATTAATTATATATTTATCATGTCATATTCCTGATATGATTTCTTGCTCTATACAGTATTTAAAAATGATTGAATTATTACTGTTGTGAATCCAAATTCCTGTTTAAGAGCTGAGGTGAGACAAGTTGGAAGATTAGTTGATAAAAACATGGACTATTTTCAATTTTCAGGGAATTTGAGTTGAGGCTACCAAGGCAAGAAGTTGAGGAGGTTGATGGACTTAGAGATAGATGGCAGGACCTGCTAGAGCTTGCTGATGAGTGCCGTCACACACTTTTAAAGGAACGTCGAGGAGCATTTGAACAGGAACTTGATAAGCAAGTCAAGGTAAGTGCAAGGACAACACTACAAGTATTTATCATCACTTTTATTTGTCCTGTACCTGTTTATGTAGGCATGTTGGTTTTTGATTAATAAAGCTATATTATTTGCAAGCTCATTGTTGTCTTGATTTGGGTCTTACAAGTGATTATGAATATCCCTTTTAAAAAATTTGGTCTTGTTTTTATTCCAGACATTTGTAGTTGAGGTGATCCAGTTCCGTAATGCATTTGATGCCCAGGGCCCAGCAATACCTGGTATTCCCCCCTCAGAAGCTGTTGCCAGGCTACATAACTTTCAGAATAGGTACACCCTGTATGACTCCAAGCGTAGGACACTAGATTCTGTCTCTAGGTTGTTTGGGATACCCTGTAAACCTTTCCCTGAGCTGGACCGCACAGGCGAGGTAAGATAAGAGGCAATCAGAATTTAGGTTTGCATTGGTTATTTTGAAAATACATGTAAAATTGAGTGATAAGAATTGTATTATTTTGTTTGTTTATTTGTATGATGAATATTTGAATAGCCGTTCATGAGTAGATTTTTAATTGAAAAATATTGAAATACTGGTTGGCTCAATAGTAAGTTTATAGCTATTATTATTGTACTGTGTAAACATACTTTTGGGGTCACCCTGTATAAATGCTATGTATTTCAGCTGTAAATGTGTAAATATTTTATTATCCAGGAGCTAGTTTTGCTGGGGCTGCTGTACGGATTGTTCCAGAAGTTCATCAGGTTTGATTCGTTGTTCAGAGACACCTTGTGGGCAGAAGTTGACTTAGAGGCAGCAACTAAAGAGGTCAGCACTGCTATTGAATATTAAATTATCATGAATTTTTACAAATATTTTTGGCTTCTTACCATATTAGGGAATGCATGAGTGTGTTTCTCCCTAGAATTTTTGCGTTAACATTTTACATCCAAAAGGTCTAGAAACTTGAGTAAGATTTTTTGGTACACACAATACAATACAATATCAAAAAGCCAAAAAGCCCATCCAATTCTGATTTGTGTTGTTTATGTATTATATAGGTTGAATCGTATTGGGATGAGTGCCTGGCTCTGCCCAGTAAATTGAAAGACTGGGATGCTTACAATGAAATGAAGAATGCCATGCAGCAATACCTAGATGTGTTCCCCCTGCTTCATAAACTGGCATCTAAGGTATGTTCATGTTTAAATTAGTTTGTCATTTTTAGGACAGTTCATTGACAAGGGGTTTCCTCATTAGGGTAGGCAGAGTAGAATAAATAATCTGGCTCAATAATTACCAAAAGTCACCCCTTGGCTACCTTAAGGTGGGTCATGTAGAATGAGTTAGTTTGGACTTCTAAATATAGACTTTTATTATATTCAAATACAGTGAAGCTTAAAGATTCTGATAACCCTACCTGCCCACCTTAATTTAACAGGAATAAAAGGATCACTTTGGGGTGATATCGAAACTTACATGAAATTATTATATAGAAATATGAAATTATTGCATAGAAAGACAACCAGCTTTGGAGAGACAATTTGTAAAATAAGCATGATTTACTGTTAGGAGTATTATTAGCACATTGTTGCTTTAAAATTAAATGAATATACTTCTGTGGTTATAGCATCATGTTTTACTTATGAATGCCTAGATATTACTGGTATTAGATATATGTAAAATGCATGCATATTTGTTCAATTATCATTCAAGTTATTAAGCTAAATATCTGTTTGTATGTATGACTGATATTATATATTCTGCATTATGTTTATTATGTTACGTTCCAAAATAACAGAAAGTAAAAACAGCAATTAAAATATGATAACAATATATTTATATTTTGAAAACTAAATAATATAACAATAATATAAAGGAGGTTTAATACTTAAGTGATGTCCAATCAACGATACGGCTTATTCTTGATGTCGATAAATGTCGTTGACGATCCTTGGGAATGTTCCAGATCACAAAATGTTTTAATAATCGTTAATAGTTCTCCAATGTTTGTAATAATCCAATAATGTTTGTTGTAATCCTATAATGTTCGTATCCAATAATGTTTGATGATAATCCACAAATGTTTGATGATAATCCACAAATGTTTAACGATAATCCACAAATGTTTATGATAATCCACGAATGTATATGATAATCCGTATATAGTGTGTGTTATAATATATGTCCATATAAAGTCCTCAGGTTGTATGTTTGCACTGTTATAAATGTTCCCAAAGTAGGTGTCTGTAATTTTCTGCTAAGAAGATGTCCTTTTGATAGACTTTGAAATTCTGCTGCCAGCCCAAATCAGCTCTCTCATTATATAGTGCAAAGGCATAGTCCAGATGTTTCAAGAAGTTACGATTTCTAGAAAATAACACTGATTGGACATCTTAAGTCACATGATTCAATCTTGATTAAATGATTACAGTTCCAGTACTTTCTAGAAGGCCAAGAGTTAATGAGTCATTCAGTTCAGTTATGTTTACAAGATATAATGTCATTGTGACCTTGACTTGACCTAAGATCTCTAATGAAGATCAGTTACAGTGTATGCATATTGATAAACTAAACTTAATGTGAATATAATTGAATATAATACTGTAACACCTCCCTCCTTAAAAGAAAAGTTTTGAATACAATGAAAAACTTTTACAATAATATCTGGTGTAGCGAGGGTTACAATTTTTTAAAGATGAGGTTGAGACTTACATAACATTTGTTTACAATAGTCAAATACAATAATATTTATATAGTTACAGACTGAGTAAAACCCAAAAACATATTACAATAATATTATCAAATCACACTCTAAGTACAATCTTTTTATTATATCAATAAAAAGCCTTAGGCAAATGCAGTATAAATCAAATAGCCTCTTAAAAATAGAGACATTACACTCTTGAAAGAGTGTCAGCAATTAAATTATCCTTGCCTTTGATGTGTCTTATGTCAAGATTGTACTCTGACAATAACAGACTCCACCTCAACAATCTACGATTCTTGTTCTTCATTCTATGAAGGAATGTCAGCGGATTGTGATCAGTAAATACAGTAACTGCATGAACTGGTGCACTAACATATACTTCAAAATGTTGTAATGACAGAAGTAATGCTAGACATTCCTTTTCTATGGTGGAGTAGTTTTTCTGATGTTTATCAAATTTCTTTGAATAATAACACACTGGATGATCAATACCATCCCTTTCTTGTAATAGGACAGCTCCCATTCCTACATCAGAAGCATCTACTTGAATCTTGAATGGCTTGCTAAAATCAGGTGCAACAAGCACTGGTTCTTCACTTAGTATGGCCTTGATTTTATCAAAGGCTGTATGACATTGCTCAGACCACACATATTTGATGTTTTTCCCAAGTAAATTGGTCAATGGAAGAGCAATTGAAGAGAAATTTGGACAAAACTTCCTATAAAAGCCAGCCATTCCAAGACTTCTCATCAACTCTTTCTTGTTAGTAGGAACTGGGAGTTGTATTATTGATTCCACTTTGGCACTCACTGGTTTAACATGCCCTTGACCTACCACATGGCCCAGATATTCAACTGTGGCTTTACAAAATTCACTTTTAGCCAAATTGATGGTTAAATTGGCTAAAGAGATTCTTTCAAACAACTTACGCAGCAAACACATGTGTTCATCAAAAGTGTCAGAATAGACAATTACATCATCGATGTAGACACCAGTGTTTTCAAGATCTGCTAATAAGCCATTCATCATTCTTTGAAATGTGGCAGGTGCATTTTTCATTCCAAATGGCATAACTTTAAATTGGTACAAACCATCTGGAGTAACAAAGGCAGATACCTGTTTTGCTCTTTCAGTTAATGGAACCCCTAGGAATCCTTTGAGGAGATCAAATTTACTGACATATTTAGCAGTTCCAATTTTGTCAATACAGTCGTCAATTCGTGGTATGGGATAAGAATCGGTCTTTGTTACTCGATTCACTTTGATATAATTAACTACTAGCCTACGTCCACCATTTGATTTTGGTACAATGAAAGCAGGTGAACTCCATGGGCTATTGCTCTTTTCAATTATGTCATTTTCTAACATATAATTGACCTCAGCTCTCAAATCTTCTGATTTTGATGGATTTACTCTGTAAGCATGTTGCTTAATAGGGGTTACATCTTGGACTTCAACATCATGATAAGCTATAGATGTCTTAGTCGGTACATCAGAGAAGATATCAGTGAACTCATGAATTAAGTCTGTGACTTGCTGTTTTTGATCATTTGTCACATGGTGCAATTTATGATCTAGATTTGATAATACTTCAGAGTTCTTTAGCCTAGACAAACCTTTGATATCTTCATAGTCTAAATCAGTATAAGTGATATCATCTGAATCTTGTAGATCAGTTTCTTTGACAAGGGCAGGTGCCAAAGTGACAACAGGTTTAACTGAGCCAGGCTCTTTGTCTGGCTCAAAGTACCTTTTCATCATATTGATGTGACACAGTTGTGTTTCTTTGCGCCTATCTGGAGTTTTGACAATATAATTGAGGTCATTGACCTTGGAATCCACTACATAAGGACCAAAGAATTTTGCTTGTAGCGGATTTGTCTGAAGTGGCAGTAATATAAGAACTTTGTCACCAGGCTGGAATGATCTTTCTTTGACTTTTCTATCGTACCAAGTTTTCATTTTATCTTGGTTTTTAAGCAAATTTTCTTTGGCTATTTCACAAGCCTTTGATAGGCGCTCTTTAAACCCAGTGACATAGTTCAATAGATTAAACTTTTCAGTTTCTGCCAGCCACTTTTCTTTGAGCAATTTAAGTGGACCACGCACAGAATGACCAAATACTAGCTCAAATGGACTGAACCCTAAAGATTCTTGCTTAGCTTCTCTTGTAGCAAACAGAAGCAAGGGTATGCCCTCATCCCAGTCTTTCTCATATTCAAAACAGAAAGCTCTAATCATGGTCTTAAGCGTCTGATGGTAACGCTCTAGAGCTCCTTGAGACTCTGGGTGATAGGCACTTGACTTACACTGTTTGATACCCAAGGTATCCATGACTTGTTGGAATAAGCCTGACATGAAATTTGAGCCCTGATCAGACTGCAGATCTTTTGGCAGTCCAACTAAGGTGAAAAATTTGATGAGTGATTTCACTATGTTTTTGGCTTTGATATTTCTAAGTGGAATAGCTTCTGGAAACCGTGTGGCCATACAAAGAATAGTGAGTAAATATTGATTACCAGATTTTGTTTTTGGTAATGGACCAACACAGTCAATAAGAACCTTACTAAATGGTTCATCGAATGCAGGTATAGGGTGTAAAGGTGCAGTTGGAATTTTCTGGTTAGGTTTCCCTACCATTTGACATGTATGACAAGACCTACAATACTCTTGGACATCTTGTTTTAATTTGGGCCAATAGAACTGATTGAGTATTTTATGGTATGTTTTAGTTACTCCTAAATGACCTGCCATGGGAGAATCATGAGCTAGACTCAAGATTTCCTTATGATATGATTTTGGGACAACAATTTGATGCACAATTGCCCAATCATCTTCAGGGGAAGCTTCAGGAGGTCTCCACTTTCGCATTAATATGCCATCCTTTTTGTAGAAACAAACAGGGACCTTGTCAGCTTCATCAATAGTAAGACATCTTTTATGAAGATCAATGAGTGATGGATCATGCTCTTGTTCATAGATTAACATGTGTTTAGAATGAGGATCATTTTTCAAAGAATCACTATCAGAAATAGAGGATGAAACCTCAGAACTAGAAGAGGATGAAACCTCAGAACAAGGAGGGGATGAAACCTCATGAACACTAGCAGAAGAAGATGAAACTTCATCAGAACTAGCAAGAGCGGGCGAAACCGCATTAAAATAGTGATCCTGCTCAGAAGGTGAATCACCCCTGGCAATAGGCTTTTTCAATGAAGAATATGCCTCATTAGATCGCTGCTTGGCTTGAACAATAGGCTGTTTCAATGAAGAATTTGCCTTTAAAATAGGATAAGGACCATCTTTAACAAGTGGTGAGTGACATTCATCATCAAACAAGGAGCTTAAAAACCCACTATCAAAGTCATCTCCCACAGACGAATCCCCGCTATTAGCTAACTTTTTAGCCATAGCCCTAGTAACAGCACAAGCAGGATATATATCAGAGTCCTCTTGGACAGAATCCTCAATAGAACAAGGCTGATCTGAAACAATGGGGTCTAATGATACCTTACCCCCAGCTAAATCATTGCCTAAAAGCAATGCGACTCCTTCAACAGGAAGTTGTGGCCTAACACCAACAATAACTGGCCCTTTGACTAACTCTGATGTGATATGAATACGATGGAGGGGAACTTTAGTAAATCCTAATTCAATGCCTTGCATCAAAATATGGGTACCTGTGAATGACTCCTCAGATAAAGGAAGGACACCTTCTAACAACAAAGTCTGGGATGCACCCGTGTCTCTAAGAATCTTAACAGGCTTTGAATTGGTATCATCACTTGAAAGTGACACAAATCCTTCCGACATGAAAGGCTTATAATCCTCCATAATATCACTATGAGTAGATTTCTCAGTATGAGTATATGAATCCCAAACAATGGGCTTTCTTGAAATGGGAACAGTAGCACAACCATTTGAATGAGCAGAACCAGACATCTCTCTTCTATTCTTAATCCTATAGCATTCAGAAATAAGATGACCAGGCTTTTTACAATAGTTACAGGTGACATTTGATGTTGGACCTGACGATTTTGATTGATCTGATTTTGAGCTAGAACTCTGTGATGAATTAGACTGGTCTTTTGCTTTGTTTGATGTATTTGATGATGAGGACTGATTTGATTTAGAGTCATATGAAGGTTTGTTACCCTGATAACCTCTAAAGTTAGGATTGCCCTTGATAAAACTACCCTTATGAGTAAGAGCATAATCATCAGACAGGGTGGCAGCTTGACTTAAAGTTTCTACCTTGTGTTCATCTAAGTAAGTTCTAATGTGATACTGAACACAGTTTTTAAATTGTTCTATTAGCATAAGCTCTCTGAGCTTTTTAAACTCTTCAGATACATCTTTAGAGACAAGCCACCTGTCAAAAAGCTGCTCTTGCTCTCGAGCAAACTCAACATGGGTTTGGTCACTCTGTTTGTGGGCATTTCTAAATTTCTGTCTGTAAGCTTCTGGCACTAGTTCATAAGCTTTAAGAATTGCATTTTTAATTAGGTCATAATCAGAGCATGCTTCTGCTGAGAGAGAGGCAAATATTTCACTCGCTTTACCAATGAATACACTCTGAAGCATAACTGGCCATGCTGATTTAGGCCAGTCTAGGCTCTGAGCGACTTTTTCAAAATGTGTAAAGTATTTATCAACATTTTTCTCTTGAAATTTAGGTACAAATTTGAGAAATTTTGAAGCATCAAACCTATTTTCAAAATGCTGATGCATAGTAGCATGTTCCTCAGTTTTGGATTTAGCTTCTATCTCAAGACGTTTTAATTCAATTTCTTTTTGAATTTCTTGTTCTCTTATTTCTTTTTCATTTTGCATTTCTTGTTCTCTTAATCTTATTTCTTTTTCATTTTGCAATTCTTTCTCTCTCAATTCTCTAATTTCTCTTTCATTTTGTTGTTGTGTTCTAATTTCAAGCTCTCTCAATTCAAGTTCTTTGAGCCTAATAGGATCAACTTGCTCAACATGCTGGGCTGGCTGCTCAGGCAGAAGTGATTCTGCGACCAAATATTGAAGTACAAAGTTTTTAATTGTATCCTTTTTGTATGAGCTTTTGACTGACAGGCCAACATGTTTTGCAATTGCCAGAAGTTCAGTTTTCTTTAAATCATCAAATTCCTCCAAAGAGGGCGCTTCTAAAAATGTCTCAACCTCAAAACTCATTTTCGATTAATTGCTGTCTTCACAATTTTAAATGAACAAGTTTTGGATTTTGAATTTAAAATATTTGTATTCTAGCTTGTTGTAGTTGGATCCCGGACGAGCCCCCAATTTCTGTTACGTTCCAAAATAACAGAAAGTAAAAACAGCAATTAAAATATGATAACAATATATTTATATTTTGAAAACTAAATAATATAACAATAATATAAAGGAGGTTTAATACTTAAGTGATGTCCAATCAACGATACGGCTTATTCTTGATGTCGATAAATGTCGTTGACGATCCTTGGGAATGTTCCAGATCACAAAATGTTTTAATAATCGTTAATAGTTCTCCAATGTTTGTAATAATCCAATAATGTTTGTTGTAATCCTATAATGTTCGTATCCAATAATGTTTGATGATAATCCACAAATGTTTGATGATAATCCACAAATGTTTAACGATAATCCACAAATGTTTATGATAATCCACGAATGTATATGATAATCCGTATATAGTGTGTGTTATAATATATGTCCATATAAAGTCCTCAGGTTGTATGTTTGCACTGTTATAAATGTTCCCAAAGTAGGTGTCTGTAATTTTCTGCTAAGAAGATGTCCTTTTGATAGACTTTGAAATTCTGCTGCCAGCCCAAATCAGCTCTCTCATTATATAGTGCAAAGGCATAGTCCAGATGTTTCAAGAAGTTACGATTTCTAGAAAATAACACTGATTGGACATCTTAAGTCACATGATTCAATCTTGATTAAATGATTACAGTTCCAGTACTTTCTAGAAGGCCAAGAGTTAATGAGTCATTCAGTTCAGTTATGTTTACAAGATATAATGTCATTGTGACCTTGACTTGACCTAAGATCTCTAATGAAGATCAGTTACAGTGTATGCATATTGATAAACTAAACTTAATGTGAATATAATTGAATATAATACTGTAACAATTACCACAGAAAGAGGTTTGTTTATATAAATCTAGAATTGTTAAATTTTTATAGAACTGTTTATGTTGTTGAAATATTATGAAACTAATACCTGAATATTATGTAAGCCCAGTTTATTAACAAACAAATGACCTATGACCCAAGGACTTAAGCCAATGACATGACTATTGACAAAATAAGAATAGACCATTAAAGAAACTATAAAAACATTCAAACTGAGAAAGTAAATTATGAATAGACAGTGAAAGTAGACTATGAAAGCAGATTATCAAAGTATACTATGAAAGCAGACTATTAAAATAGACTATGAAAGCAGATTATCAAAGTAGACTATGAAAGCAGACTATTAAAATAGACTATGAAAGCAGATTATCAAAGTAGACTATGAAAGCAGACTATTAAAGAAGACTATGAATACAGACAAAGCAGACTGAGGAAGTAGACTGTGAATACAGACTATTAAAGTAGACTATGAAAGCAAACTGAGAAAGTAGACTATGAATACAGACTATTAAAGTAGACTATGAAAGCAAACTGAAAAAGTAGACTATGAATACAGACTATTAAAGTAGACTATGAAAATGGACTGTGAAAGTAGACTATGAATACAGACTATTAAAGTATACTATGGAAGCAAACTGAGAAAGTAGACTATCAAAGTAGACTGTGCAAGTAGACTGTGATGGTAGACTATCAGAGTAGACCATGTGAATAGATTATGAAAGCAGACAAAGTAAACCATCAGTATCAAACTAGACTGTGTAAGTAGACAATAAAAGTAGACTGTAAAGTAGACTAATAAACCATTTTTAATTTTATTTATATCTTAACAGAATGCAAGATTTTATTTATCAGTAAGTTTTTCAAGGAAAGTTTATCACTATATCCCCAATTTTACCCCCACTACCATCATTAGATCCAAATTATTACTAATCATTTGAAGGCTTTATATTAGTTAAAAACTGTGAGGTGGAATTACATAGAGCAGTGTATCCTTAATACATTGAGTATGTCATTTTTTACGCTTCAATATTCATCTCCACAAAGCTAGGCATATACAGGGTGTCCATGAAAACTCTACATAGTTTTTACACAGACTTTGTTATGTCACCAACACAAGTGGTGACATATTGTCTCCAACTTTTTTGTGGATGGTGTTCGATGGTTGGTGTTCGACGTTCTGCATCTGTAACAAATGGCAGGTGGTAACATTTTGCATGCTAATGCCTTGTATTGTGATTGTAAAGGGACTTCAAAGACACCCTGTATTACAATGTTTTGATTATTCAAAATGCTACTGTTCAATAATATATAATTAGCATGGTTAATAAGGGGATCTCTAATTAGAAAAACAGAAGCTCATTGTAAAAATTGTATATATTGTCATCATTAGTTAACCAAGTTGTTGTTTATGCATGTCTGTCTGTCAGGCCCCGGGTCTCTAGTTGAATTTCATTTGATTCAAATGTTATTCAGATTTTTGACATTTGAGCACAGAACTCAATGAATTGTTGATCATTTATTGATAATATACATTCTGTTATGCTAGTCTTAAAACTTGTACTTAGACTCTCATTATAAACTATGAACATGAATCTGATGCAGTAAATAACCAACAACGCATTGAGTCATTGGCTTAAATTATTTGGTACAGCAGTTATCATTCATAGCTATGTGTAAAAAATGATCAGCCGTCACTCGTATTTTATGAAAATAATTTCATTTCATTGGAGATTGTGCATGACATTGTAGTTTATGTTTTGTGTGATTTGTATGTACATGTATATGAACACCAGATAAGGAAAATCATCTAGTTTTTGTTAACAAAGTCTTTTAATATAATATTATATCATATTTTTGGCAATAATTGTAGGAAATTCGTAATCGTCATTGGCTACAAGTGATGCAGGTAACAGGGACGTCATTCCATCTGGAGGCCAACGTCTTCAAACTCTGCCATCTTTTGGACATAGGACTGCTCAAGTAAGTAAATAATCATGTGAAACATCGCCAAATTCACGATTGAATTGAAAAAACGGAATGATTGAGCCAAGAATAAACAAACCCTATTGTTTGATTCTGTGTACAGCTGTGTAGAAATACTACAAATCATGTTATTTGATAAATGCAACACTTAGATGTTTTCTTGTTCTTGCTGGGTTCTTTAGCAGTTTTTGGTTCTTCCCTTTGGTACATATGCATAGATATTTGTTCATTTCTTCAGGCACAAGCCAGAGATTGAGGAGATAGCAAGATGCGCCAGTAGAGAGCAGGAACTGGAGATCAAGATGAGGATAACTGAAGAGGAATGGACAGAACAGGTAAAATAATTAAAATTCCAGAATAACATTGTAATTTTTAAAAATAAAAATCATTTACTTAATTTGACAGTTTTCTAATGATCTTTACAGAATGAGATATTGAGATGCATGTAAACGTTGTTTGTTTAATTCAAACACATCTGTATGTTGATAAATTTTGGGATTATTGTTTTTATGTACATGTAAAAAGATCTCATGTATTTCAAGGTTCTTCAATTTGAGCCATACAAGAAACGAGGGCCAATATACTTGGATAAGGCTTTCACAGAGAGGTTGCTAGAGCAACTGGAGGATGCCCAGGCTTTGTTAGCTCAAATGTTAACTTCAAGGTAATTCAGCTCTAGAATTATTTAACTGAAATATTTACTTATAGAGGTAATCTAGCTCTTATATTACATTTATATTAAACTGAAATTCTAACTTAGTACTACATGTAATCTAGCTGTAATATGTTTAACCGAAACCCTAACTTAGAGGAAATCTAGCTCTCGTTTTATTCAACTGAAACTCTAACTTCAAGATTATCAAGCTCAAGTGCTAACTTTGAGGTAGTACATAATCTAGCTCAAAAGATTCCCTTTCATTAGAATAGAAATTATGTGTAAAGTCATATTCCAGGTACATAGGCCCACTGAGAGAAGAGGCAGCCTCCTGGGCAGAAAAGCTGAAGGAAGTGGCCCAAGTTCTGGAGCAATGGGTTGAAGTACAAGACCTCTGGCAGTACCTAGAAGCTGTCTTTAGTAATCCTTCAACAGCTAAGGTTTGTTCTCATGTTGAATGAAATCCTCTATAAAATCAGACAATCTTAGGTCAAGATATGTCTGATTTCATGATTAATCCTAAAAACCCTAAACTAAACACTGTTACCATGGCAACCACATTAAAGCAAAATTAAAACACAAAGCAAAATTCTTATCTCTATTATTATATATTATTTTAATCCTTGGGTCATTCGTTTTACAAATTATACCAACATAAGTGGTTTTATTTGAGAGTGACAGGATAGATGAGATAATAGTGGGGTGAAATCATTGCAGGAATTACCACAAGAGGCGAAGAGATACGGACGTATTGACAAAGGATGGACAAAGTTGATGAAGCGAATGTACGACACAAGGAATGTTCTACAATGCTGTTATGGAGGCGAGGTCCCTAAGGGAGTTGTACTAAGACATATCTATGAAGAACTGGAGATATGTTTCAAATCACTCATGGGATATCTGGATAACAAACGGAGATCTTTCCCAAGATTTTATTTTGTGTCGGATCCAATACTTCTTGCTATTTTGAGTCACCCTAATGATCTGGAGTCTGTGAAGCCCCATCTCAGGTAATAACAAGTGTGACAAAAACATGAATGTTAAATAAAAGTGTGGCAAAAATTTTAAGTAAATACAGGTGCAACAAAACATGATTGTGGCCCAGTTTTATCCATGTTTATCTAAATAGCAATCCAGTTTTCCCGATTTTAAAATTTTAGTTCTCGAAAGTATAATACTCAGTATTAGTAAAAATGGAGAGAAAAACCCAACTTTATGGGCAATTTTCTGGAATTGAATAGTTCCTGGGAGGAGCTTTACTAAAACATTTTGTTACAAAAATTGTGTATTTGTGTAACCCTAAAGAGTATGCATCTGTTTACAAATATAATATTCTCTCTCTATAACAAAATTTCTTTAAGAATCATCTTATTTTTCCAGGTCTATTTTCACAAGTGTTACAGATGTGACTCTTGTTAAATCAGCCATGTATAACAGTCAGGAAACACTAGATGATCGCTATGTGAGAACCGGTGGGCGTACCATGACTCATACCCCAGGAGACCACTCCCCTGGCCTGCTGTCATCCCACGGGCCAAGTGCCACCCCACCACGTATTGACAAACGGTTGATGATGATACATGTAAGCATTCAGGATGGTTTCATTTTATTGTAGGATTAAATTATTTGAAAATAACCTAGCTGAAATTAGACTAGTTAACTTAACATGTAATGTCATTCTAACTCTAACCTAATATATTGAATGCAATGAGAATATCCTCCATTGCATTTACCAATGTACTTGACTTCAATTAATATACATTGACTAAAACCTGTCTAAGTTGAACACCCTTGGTACCTCTAAAAAGTGTTCAACTTGAAAGGTCTTCTACTTAAAGAGGTCCATTTAAAATTTGGTCAGTTGGGAGAGGTGTTTCATTTCTAGAGGTGTTCCATTTTACAGGGTTCACTGTATCAACATTTTTATTCCATGAAATATTTGATCAGATTTCCTAGTCTCATGATAAATTCTGATTACTTTGTATAATCTGATCTTTGTTTTGTTTTCTTGTTATGGTATTTTGTGTTTTAATATCTTATTCAATGTGTTGTTACAAAGGATCAAACCAAAGTAAGGAAAAAGACAGGAAGAGCTCTGAAGAAACGAAACAGTGATTTTAGATTCTCAATCAATGGTGATGTGAGTGTATGTAGTAAAGTTGCATGAGTAGAGTAGGTGAATGTCCTACTTTCCCAAATGACTTTTCAACCCACAGGATGATTGCTTTGTTTTGTTGAAATTTTGAGGAAACTACAAAATTTTGCAAAATTCCCATCAAAGTGAAAAAATCTAAAAATGCGCATGTCTTGACTCCCAACCATATTTCATAGTTACCAATGTACACGTACATGTATATATATAGAAACATGTCTGCATAAATGTATTTTAATTTGTCATTTTACTTTTTAATTATTTTAATTCACTAAATTTGGGCAAGAAACTGATTTTGATATCTTTGATATTATGACCCATAAAATTCGGATAAAATGTTTGGTCTACATCAAGACATGATACTACTATGGGTCCAGTTTTCACCATTCATGTGACCTCCGGTTCAGTAACCCCTGCCTTTATTAACTTGTTGTTGTCGCAAGTTGTCAAGGCACCAAGTAGTCATATGATGTCATTGTGATATGAAGATATGACACATCAGATCAACTATGAAGTCAGACACATATTGCCCCATCAGCAACTAAACAAACAAATAATCTAAATGCCACATGTCACTGTTGACTCTAAATTAATCTATGACATCATTAACATGTTACCTAACCATCAACAAAAAAAAGCATCCAGTTCTGTTTATTTAAGAAATATAGACCGAAAAGCAGGGGTTATATCGTCGAATACACCCCGCAGGGCTAGGCACAAACGTTTTCTGTACCCCGAACGACCGAAGGGAGTGAGGGGTTCGAAAGCTTTTGTGCCTAGCCCCAAGGGGTGTATTCGACGATATTACCCCTGCTCTGAGGTCTATATTACGATTCGAACATGAAAACTCACCAAATTGTTTCGAATATTCATCATGGTCCGCCATTACTACGACCCACCGTTATGACGTCACACATTACACGTATTAACTGGGTTATTGATCTCAAATATAACCCAGCTGAAGCATTGACTTTGTTTACAATTTAAAGAAGGCGTGAATACAGTCATGTTCGAATGTTTTTTATTTCTATATGGTCTTTTAGAAAAAGTGGAGAAATGCTCTCCACATATCGCATGGCCTTCGTGTTTTTCAAGTAAGTTTTCACTGGATTATCTTGTTGGGAGAAAACGTCCCCACCAAGATATGGTTGTCCCCATGAGCACTATGTACTAAATCATATATTCCATGTTTTAGGTCATGTTGGTTGTGTAAGCATTTAATGTACTAAGCATGTATACACCTCTGGAACCTTAAGGGACTGCATGCTTTTGATATCCCTTGTACTGATTTATATTGATCATCTTTTATCTCTAAGATACAGTTGAAAGTGTGGCTTTTTGGTAAAATGGAGCTTATGAACACTTTAAAGTTACCTTGATGTCAAGCTTCTTGTATCACATCTCTCATGCACTCCAAGTACATCACCGAGACACCCTCTACCCCTAGTTCCTTACTGGGACACCTTTTACCCCCAGTTCCTTACTGGGACACCCTCTTCCCCCAGTTCTTTACTGGGGCACCCTCTACTGGGTAACCGTGTACTCCCAGTTACTCACTGGGACTTTCTGTATCAACTGTTTCTCACTGGGACACCATGCCTCACCAGTTATTTTCTTATTGGGACACAATGTACTCCCAGCTTTTCACTTGGACACCCTGTATCAACTATTTCCTAATGGGAACCTTGCACCATCTGCATCTTATTGGGACACCCTGTACCCCCAGTTCCTAATTAGGATGCCCTGTACCCCCAGTTTCTCAGTGGGACACCCTGTATCAACTCTTGCCATCTGGGACATCCTGTACCTCAATGCTTCCTCCTGGGACACCCTGTACCTACAATTATGAATGATGTCTGATTGATATGAGCTTTGGGATGCACTTGGGTACCTTAATGACAAGAATTATTTTTCGTAATGGTAAATTATAGCATTGAAACCAACAGCTTGTTTGTTTTATTCATGTTGCATAATGCATGCTGCAACTTGAACACCAGCATGTATTTTGGTGGCTAGCACATATCATAAACATTTGTTTAGGTACAAGATTTGGTTCACATTGATTCACGCTTTGTTGGAAAATACATTTTATTTTTAGGTAGGGTTGAGTAAAATATAATTATAAATTGTTAACTTGCATAATAACATCATTGCAAAAAGTTTTAAATTCATCATATTAAGCCCACCTTAATCAGCTTCATAATGATTTTGTAACAGTGTTAGGAGATTATTTTGAGGCACAATTAAGGTAAGAAAATCAAGGTAGTTTCTTTTATTTGATCCTAACTCAAATTCATTTTGTACAGTTTTACTTTAATTATTTCCGAGGTAATCATATACAATCAAAATGTAATTTTCAGAATATCAATGCACCATCTCCGTCCCATCCAATGTCGACAATGCTGCCATCAGAGGGTGCTTTAGAGGAAGTTGATAAGAATGAAGCCACGGAAATACATAGCATTGAGGGGGAGGTGCTCACCCTTGAAGAAAATGTAAGCATTTGCGTTAAATTATATTTGATTTAGCCAATGATTTATTTTACACATATTGTAATAATCATAATGAGAACTGATTGACCAAATCATTATTGTACTACTTCCAAGTATTTGTCTTTAAGAAAAATAATGCACAATTTTGGACAGAGTTTGATAAAATCTACAAAAAATATAAGTTTAAAACTTATTTTTATAGATTCCATTGAAAGATGGCGTTGAGGTGTGGTTGAGTAAATTGAAGGAGTGTATCACATCAACGCTCCATACTCAGATAAAGCAGATCATTACAGATGTCAACCTTAACTCTCCAGTAGAGGATTGGGCATATAAGGTATTAAGTCCATAGGTATTTTTGTGGATATAGTAGTTTATGTACCCACAGTGGTAGCTAGAAATATTGAAGAAATTATAGACTATTGGCTATAGAAAGAATGATCATATAACAATGGCAAAGTGCATTCCACATGTTTATACCCGTGTGTTTAGATTCCCAATAAACAAAGTTTGATAGGGATATAGTCAAGCTCTTCATTCATTCCAGTCCCTCAGTCTGTCCAAATACAAGTTTTTCTGTGTATTCCTTGGAAGGATGCTATGCATCATTTATTCCTCTAGTAATCCTTGCATCCATTGAAATTTTTTACCCAATTTTTTCAAAATTTGTTTTCACCACAATTTTCTATTAAACATACTAAATTTTTTTATTGTTTGTCCACAGTACCCATCCCAGGTTTGTAAGATGGGACTCCTCTACCTTTGGACCAAGGAATGTGAGGCAGGAGTAGCGGAGATCAAATATGACCGCAAGTCTATTCCAAACACGTTACGCAGATTTGGGAGTCAGGTTTCTCGCCTGCCATCTGTGATCACCCGTGGTGCTTGGAAGAACTTTGAAGACACCATGCTCCCAATTCATAGACTCAGGCTTGAGATAGTGCTCACGGTAAGTGGAATCGAAAGATCTTCATTCTAAACCTATGTACATTTTTACTCTAAACTTAAGTACAGCATATGTATTCCTGTTTGCAGTTTATCCCCGGGGGTTTATCAGTCTTCCTGTGTAAGGAAACAAATGCTACTAGAAGTCAATCTTTTTCCGTTACAACCTTTAGGACCAATCAATCATTTTTAAATGTGACCTATTTCATATGTTATTTTAAACTCCTGTTTTCATTAATTACCAAACATGTCTGCATTAACTTAATTAATAATAAAAAGGATTTCAGAAAATGTATGCATTATTATTTTTTAGCAATCCATCTTTCTGAAAGATGTCCTTGACAACATGTGTAATAGGAAGTTGCGGGAACCAACAGATTTTGATTGGAGGAGAAATGTCCGTTGCTACCTTCATAATGTTGGTAAGTACATGTGTAGCTTACATCCCAAGACATGGCAATTTGCATTATCTCAATGGCATTGTTGCCCGCTATATAATACGTGATAGAAACATCCATCAATTCAAACATGGACCTGAATTTTTTCATGGCCTCTTCATGTCCATAATTAAAATCGCGACATACACTGAGTAAAACCTGTCAGAAGTAAACACAACTAAGACTGGCCATAAATGATGACATTGAGAAGTGTTCACAGATACAGGTCATTAAAACATGGTAGTGTAATATAATAAGGAAATAATGTAATGAACATTTTAAATTTAAGATGCTACTACTTGGCCATTAGAAAGGTATTCACTTTGATAGATATCACTGTATGTTCTTAATATATACAAAATACAACTCAAACTCAAAAACATCTCATGTTGTAGATGGACAACAGGAGCCATTGCTGTACATCTTAGATAGTAGCTACAAGTATGGATGTGAGTTCTATGGTGCTCAGCCTGGGATAGCTATCACCCCTCAGTCTGAGAGGAGCTTCCTGTCTATGAACCATGCTATATCATCATGTAGGGGTGCAGCACTTGTGGGACAGACTGGTGTTGGAAAAACAGAAACAGTAAAGGTGGGAGTTGGTAATATTACTAAATGGTGAATTAATTTTGTAATGACCCAAAGGCACCTCAGAGGAATGGCCAACTGTCGAGAACAGTGTAACAAGCCAGATACAGACATGACATTGAGTGCTAAATTCAGTGTCTGGTACAGAAATGGAACCCAGGAACTTCAAGTTCTAATTCTGATGCTCGCTCTACAACTGCGCTTAAGGGCTACAAGGGCTTAACCTACCACAGCTGAGCTATAGTAGCAATTTGTTATCCAGGGTCTTCACAATTTCTTAACCCGAGTACAGAAAACATGTGATTTTTATTTTTGTTTGATCAGTAATTGAAAATAAAAATCAGTTGAACATGTGATTTACTTCCTTAAACGTGTAACTCAGTAATTAATATAGAAAGAAATTGTAAAGTAAAACATTTGTATGTACAAATGAAATGAAACTGTAGAATGAAACAATTAGATATAAAACAATGATTATATATAAAGAGTATGGAACAGTGATATTTGAATGTCATTTACTTATTATCTTTTGTAGGGCATGGGCCAGATGTTTGGAATGCACCTGGGTGTGTTCCAAAGCTCCCCCTATTCCAACCCTACATCAGTGGGACGATTGCTACAAGGAATGTCCATGGTAAGTCATGTGAAAACAGACTATGTTGAAACCTTTTTCTATATTTTCTACATACAGGCAGTATGATGCTAATATAACAGAATGGCCGAATTATTTTCCCCCCGAGAAAAGATGTATGGCAATAGAATAATAAACATGAGTCCAAATTATTAATTTGAAATATTTACCAAGTGTTTTCTCTTGCATTAACACGTGTATGAGTTTTTTTTGATTAATTTATGACATTTTCAAATTGTGTTTTTAGGATGGATGTTGGGGCTTGCTGGATGACTTTCAACTAATGGGACGTGAGGCGTTATCCGTGTTCCTGGACCACAGCCAGGCCATACTTGGGGCACTAAGATCACGTAGCAAATACTGCTATCTTGGAGAGGGTCAAGAGGTATGACCTTATTTGAATAAAATTCAATTCACTTAACTAACAACATAAAATGCAGAAATTATTTGCATTTATTTTATTTATATATTTCCAACTTGTATATTTATGACTGTTTTCTTTTGTATATTATAGTAGTATTATTAATCTGATTTTTTTTATGAAAAATATTTTTCTATAGTAAGTTCTCATAACTACAGTATACCATTATGACAAATCATGACAAGAAACTTCAAAAATATTCTGACATTTAATTTTTCATTTTCTAGATATCTGTGAGTCCAAAGACAGCCATGTTTATGACAGTGAACCCTGGGACGCCAGTGCGATCATACACCCTGCCCAATGAGGTGAAGTCGTTGTTTAGGACCATATCCCTTCTAAAACCTGACTATTCCTCCATATTGAAGGCCAAGTGTTCATCATATGGCTTCAAAGCCTCGGGACTACTTGGATTGCGATTGAAGATTGTCAGTGATTTGGCCAAAGACCAATTGTAAGTGTATTCAATCGTTAATATTAATGTTAAGAATTTATATAGATTTTAGATAAGGTTTTGCCTCACTTATATAGATTTACCTTGCCGATTTTTTAATCTTTTCTTGTTGTATTGTGATATGCCACAAAGTCTTTTGGTTCTTGCTGGAGAGAAATGGCACTGAGAAGTCAGAAATAGCAAACTTAACCCAGTTGATTTAACCCTTTCCCGACGTGAATATAAAAGGAAAATGTTGGCCTGGTGACGGATAAGTAAGAGCGGTTTTTAGGTAAATGGTGGAAATGATGGATACTCCAGGACTGTCAACAACTTGATAAAATTTGGTGTAAAAATACTGAATAGAACTGGAGATATTGCCATTTCATTGATGTATGTAAATAAAAATAGTAGTGCCAAAAGGAGCCTATCGTGTTGAAAGGTATTACGTCAAAGGGCTTCATATGGAGCCTATTGTCGTGAAAGGGTTAATACACTTTCCAATATAAATAGATCACAGCTGCAAGGAGAGCTATTAAAACTGAATATACACATAATATTACCCATTGTTCCTCCTTCCATCTTAAAGTGGGTGAAACCTCCTTCCATCTTAAAGTGGGTGAAACTTGTGCCATGTACTTGGCTTCTATGTAAATTTGCGCCTCAAATTCCCTTTGAGAATCTTCATTTATTTTATTTTCAACTTTTATGTCCATATCACCGTACTTTGATGACATAACCTTTTGTAGCAATAACATATCTTTGTGTTCAAGAAATGCATTGACAATCATGTTGTTCAATACTCCAAGTTGAAACTGTTCCAAATTTATCAAAGTATGACATTGATTGAAAAGTTCTACTAATACATCTTTACATTGATCGATATGTGCAAGAGGTCTTAGTTGTTTAGTAGTTAAATCTTTAAAGAATTTGATAGGGGGTCTGATCAGAGTTGCTTCAAATTTCTGTTGCAATGTATTAGCTATATCTCTTGCATCCATATTCCTTATATTGACTTTGTGTATGAATGCTGCACCATTGATTTCATGCAGTAGATTTCCAAGATTCAGCTCCAAATTATCCAAACTAGCTGTGCCCTGATTGTCTATGTATTGTTCGAAGTGTAAAAAGAATGACTGCAAAATACTAAAATCTCTGTTTTCCAAAATTTCTCTACTTTTGAAGAAATTTTGAATTTTGTGTTTTATGCTCAGTCTGATTCTTCTGCACTGTGTGTTTAAATCTCTATATTTATCCAATAAGGTGAGTCTCATTTGAACGTAAGTTGACAAGCGAGAGTTAATAGATTCTGTCACAAGGTTTGGTTTCTCGTTTAGGATTTTACATGTGAAACTGTGGTATCTATGTTTAATATCTATGCAACATTCTCCACATATCACTTGTTTACAGTTAACACAATATAAGTTACACTGTTCAGTATAGTGTAAAGGACAACAATTACCATCTCTTTGGTAAATCTTCATATCGACAATGTTATGGTTTTTGTGTAGCCATACTTTACATTTTCTACAAACAGGAGTTGAACATGTGTTACACCATCGTTTGCTAAATCCAGATTGTCCTACATTTGAATTACAGTTCAGACAGTGTTCAGTAATCACATCAACTGTTTTGGTTGTCCTGATCAGTGTATTTGTTGAACTGTTCACTGTTTGATGATTTACTGTCATACTTCCTTTGTCCTGTTTCACTTTATTTTTTGATTGCAACTTTTGTACGATGTCATTGTCGTTTATCAGTCCAAGCATTTGATGAGCCAGGAAATTATCAGGGAAGCGTTTGATGCCTGGCTTTCTTGTCGATGTCTTTGTTCGACAGGCTGGACATTCCACAATTTTCTGGCATTTATCTTGAAGTTTCAATAAGCATGCCAAACAGACAGTGTGGCCGCAACTCAGAACTTTTGGCTTAGTTGTCTCTGTGTCATAACATTCGAAACATACTGGACAGCTTAGCTCATCCAAGAGACTCTCCCCACACGCCATCTATAAATATATAACTTAGAAATATCAATTGACTGGTGAATAATCTTGGTGTATGTACTTTTCTGTGTTTCTTGGTTCATTTAAGAATGAATTGGACCAATAAACAATTATTAGTTAGAATACTAAGGGATGATGTCCAATTATCAAGTCGTGGAAAATGAAGTTATTTTGCTATGTTATGACCCCCACCCTCCCCTCATCTAACTAAATTTTTAAAAATCAACAAAATTTGCTAAATCAATCATCATATACCCCCCCCCCCCCCCTAATGAAACTAACTTTGTAACTGTTGATAATTGGACATCATCCTTAAATGTGCATGAGATGGTTTGTCATTGATTTTAAATTCTATTCGTGAAAATAATTATTGTATTCATATTAGGCCCATTAAACATTTATAATATTCCGAAGGCTCAGTTTGAAGAATAAATCTGAGTATAAGAAGAGAAAGAGTATAAACCTTACTCACCCTCCTCTTTATAACCAGTTTTAATGCTCCCCGAGTTGAAACTAATGTATTGACACTTTCTTATCAGATAATACAATAGGCTTAGTGACTGGTAGGCGATTGAACATGTTTTTTGGCATTATCAGTATATACTTGTATTGTTTGATAAGTGACAATCGTTTTTTGATAATATGTAAACATCATTGTTTTTGGCATTGAACATTCTGATTAGCAAGGTCCCTCTTTATCTTGAGAGGGACACAGATTTTACTCCAAGAGATAGTACATGCTGTGGATCCCACAATTCTTATTGACATTTGATGTAACCAAGACAACGCCAATTAATCATGGTTGTGTACCTTGTAACACTCATTGACTATTTTCAATAGCTTAATGCATTGAGTGAATAAAAGAACTAGATTTTTACCAAATATAAGAATATAACCTAGGTTATCAATAACTAATAATGGATGTTTTTTTATGTATTTTTATGTCTTTTTCAAGACATCATTTAATTATAAATCAACCTTGAACATTTCAATACTCATCTTTGTGTCCTCCCATCATTTCAATTGTTGCGAAGGAAATCTTAGTGACATCTTTAAATTGTTAAGGTTGTAATTAAAATATGCAGAAAATGGATGTGTGATGGTGTTGTTTCAGGCCCAGAGTCCATAACCAGTTCAGTGTTCGGTGTTCTTATTGACATTTGATGTATTTTTTACTTTTTCAATACATCATTTAATTATAAATCAACCTTCAACATTTGAATACTCATCATGTGTCATCCTTCCATTTAAATTAATCCTCTCATTTTAATTGTTGCGAAGGAAATATGAGTGATATTTTTGAATTGTTAAGGTTGTAACTAAAATATGCAGAAAAAAGGATGTGTGATGGTATTGTTTCAGGCCCAGAGAGTTCCACAACCAATTCAGTGTGGCTGCTATGAATGGAGTCCTTAGAAAGGCTTCCCTGAAGAAGAAGAACATCAAAGAAGACAGGAGTATGATTGATAAACTTGAGAAAGAGAAGACAACTGGGAGCCTTAAAGAAGATGGATCAAGGTTTGCGTTTTACAAGCACCATTCACAATTGTAGAATAAGCGATTTCAAAATGAGATTTCTTTTTTGTTTTTTGTGTCTTGGGAATAATTATAAATATGAATCAGAAAAGAGATTTCCTGAATGGCCAATGGAGCACAGCAAGCAAATATTTAGCAGTTATGTCCCTATCATTGAATATATGCCTAAGGTCTGTCACCAATATAGCCCGAGCTTGCGAGGGTTATATTACGACAGACCGAAGGCATATATTCAATGATACGGACATAACTGTTGTATTACATACTTTTATATCATGGCTATGTTATATCAATGACGCCACGTGTCTGTGTGCGAGTGAAAGTAGGAAGAAATGAAACATGACGTCCCGATGACGTCATAAGATTGTCATGGTAAAAGGTTTGGCGGCTATACAGGAATATATAGCCGACCTTCAGCTCCATTGACTTCAATACAAATGCATTGCTGGGTATGTAATACTTCTAAGTATTTCCTACCTTCAGAATTTTTAGGGTTTCAAGTTAGACTAAAAGTCAACGTTAGAGCCATTTACTGTGAAGTTCTCAATCTGTGACTGATAAACATAATTCTGGGTGTTCAAGTGGTGAAAATTCCCATTTATTTATAATGATATTTACAGATAATGTGCAAATAAATTAGGAGATCAATTTGAAATAATAATCCAATCTGTTTTATAGATCCAACAGCCAAGCCTCCCTTCAGCCTCCAACCAATCAGAGTGCAGCGAACTTGATCAGTCCCATACAAAGTGGTAGCCGCACCCAGCAACCAGCTAGGAAAACAACAACCCCTAATCCAATGTCTGCTGCAGCTAAGACAGAGCACGCAATTGTGGGTCAAACACTGAAAGAAATTATAGGTTAGGGTTATTGTCTACATCCACAATAATGTTTTCATTCATGTGATAAAGCTTTATCATATCTTCATCCTCATCCCCATCACTTACAACAACTACAATGGATGTTTCTTTGTCTTCATCATAATGGCTGCTTGCTAGTGGTTTATCAAAAGTGGATTACTGTTTCCTTCCCATTGATGTGTCAACTACATGTGGTTATTTTACATATTTCAATTTCAGGTCCAAGGCTCTTTGGTGAAAGTCTGAACATTTTCCGTCATATTGTTCGTGATATTTTCTATGGTTTACCTGAACCCCCTACTACAAACACAGCTGCATCTGCCCGCACTAGAAAGTTTGACGTTGAAGCTGCATTGGAGCAAACAGCATCTGAGAATAATCTAGTTGCTCATAAACTCTGGTTAGACAAGTGCATGCAGCTTTACAATGTTTCCCAGGTTCACCATGGTAAGTACATTATATCCCATAATGCATTTGTGATGAGCAGACGTTGCAACAGAATAAGTTCATTCTATCCCAAAACCTATCAGATGTTCCACCATCAATATGTTTTTTGTGAGCGATGTCATACTTTATCTAGTAAATGTTTAATTTATTAGTTGTTCAAATATTTAAAAAATTATGATTCTATATTTTAGGCATAATCTTAGCTGGACCTCCAGGATCAGGGAAGTCAACGTGCCTGCAAATGCTGGTGGATGCATTATGTGTCACCCCCAGGGGTCTTTCTCGTCACTCCCACCGTAGTGGCACAACAAACCCTGCTGAGAACAATCATAAGCTTCAGAGAGTGAACCCCCTGGTCGTGGATGATCTCTCACTCATGTTTGGATACCTCAATCAGAACAACGACTGGGTGGATGGCATATTCACTAACATGTGGAAAAAGGCCAATAGGGTATGAGTTAAAATTGGATCTGTTTCAAAATATTAATGGCAATTTAAGAAATATTTTTAACTATTTCGAGAGACAATTATGCTTGTATTTTGATTAAATTACTTGCTTCACTTCCATGTAGAGTAACAGGATTTAAAAATTGCATTTTATCGTGTATAGTAAACCTGTCACAGTTTCACCTTAAATTCTTTTTTCCAGAACTTGAGCACAACATGGCTATGTCTTGATGGCCCTTTGAATGCATCATGGGCTGACAACTTCAGTAGCGTCATGGATGGTGGCAAGGTCCTCAACCTGAAGAATGGTGACCACCTGTTCCTATCTGATAATGTCAACTTGGTGTTTGAGACAGATACTCTCACACTTGCATCGCCAGCAACCATTGCTAGATGTGTAGGTTTACATTTTTGATTCATCATAGTTTCTTAGATTTTAATGATGTAATATTAAAGCAAAAATCTATGCGTCAAGATAATTATATTGTCATAATGTATTCGCTAGTCAAGCATATCAGAATCATATGCTGATCTTAACCAACCACCATCAAACAGAAGAAGAAAAAATACAACCAATAGAAAATGGTATACTTGTTGAAACAATTCTCAAAAAATCAATCCTGTGTTAATATTAAAAAATGCTTTATGTTCTCAAAATATATTTATTTTCATGTAATATACAAGTATAATGTAATTTTACATTTGATTCACAGGGTATCGTATTCATGGATAAGAATGTTGTCGGCTGGCGACCAATTGCAAAGGCTTGGCTTGGAAACCGCACACAACAGGAAGTGCATGTAAGTACAGTGTACAATTGTACATCTGATCAATTTCAGTTTTTTAGAATAAATCAAGAACTTTTAAGAATGAGTTTAAAAAACGTATTTATGAATTCAAATGTAATTACTGAAATCACCAAAGTTAGTATACATTATGTTTTGACTTACTGAAATTAATCACTAAATGTTGTTACTGAAATTTTTAAAGGCACTGACGGTTGAACAAACAATGGTATGCTATTAACCTATAATAGGGCAGTTATTATTAATATACAATGTTGTTTATATATTCTATGCAGTCTATTGCACAGACACCTAATGGAGGCTACCTCTCTATTTGGCCATGTCTCATCATGGGGCAATACACTAGACTGTATATTATATACATTTATCTTTTATATAGTGGTGGAAGATCAAACTTTAACTGGGCTCTGAAGAAAGAAATCTATACCACATTTTAGAGTTATGCCAAAATATACAGTAAAACCTGTTAGGTAGAATGCCTCTGTAAATGGAACACCTCTCTACATGGAACACTTCAAAGTCCCATTTTGTATTTGCTTCATGTAGAGTGAGCCTGACGTACCAAAGGCATTTCATTTTCACAGGTTTTACTGTACAAGGCATTAACATAGCTATACTAGCTCTGTACCTGCCACAATTGATACTGTGGTTGAATATATGAGCTCAAAGTTTTATGAATATCATAAATTATTAAGCTTAAATCTTTCACATCTTTTCACATTTCAACCTTTTTCTTTAATCTGCCTAAACATTCTCCGTAAAATTTAAACATTTACCTGAAATTAATTTTTTGTATTAATTAGTCTAGGTAAAATTTGGATCCTAGGTATATATTAGAACTGGCTAACATAAAACATTGGTGAAGGGAATAAACAAAAACTCAGCTCCATAAAACAATGTTTGATTTCTTCATACACTACGTTGTACTTGTATAGGTATATGAATGTATAGAATCATTCATGTTAGAAGTCATTATGTTAGATTAGTTGAAAGGTTAATAGCTGTAATTCCAAAATTAAAAAGAAACTGGTAGTTTAGGGTGGGTATTACAGCTATCGGCCCTTTAGTTGTGTTACCATGTTTTTTCGTAATGTTTATCATGTACCTTAATAGTAATCTAAAGCTCGGTTGAGTGTTTGTGAGGAAAATATATTTCCTAATTAAGAATCAATGGCAGTCAAAAGAAAATTAAAATAAAGAACTCTTTTCCTTTGTAATTTGAGTTTTGAATATGACTTAATGATATGATATTAACTGTACGTTATCATCTTGTATTGTAGGTTCTGCAGAGAGCCTTTGACAAAACAGTGGAGGTTTTGTCTCACTTTGTCATACATGAAGCAAGGTAACCTCACCATTATTTATCAATTCACCAAGTAAAATTTCAAACAGAATTATTTCAATGTGAATTTTGTTTGAATTTTTTTTCACAGGAGCAATGAGTTTTTGGTACCTTTAGTAGATAAAATAAACCATTCCAATTGGTCGACTGGAAGTATACAGTCTACTTTAAAGAGAGGTCAACAATTCAATCTTCTGTCCTTTTAGGCCCAGACTTAAGCTGAATGAGGTTGGGATGTTCAAGACTTGTATTGACCTCCTCTCTGCAATGCTCTCTGACAATGTTGAAATAGGTGGCGAAATGCATATAGAGCGCCTTTATCTCTTCTGCCTTATTTGGTCATTCGGAGGACTGCTGGAAGAGAAGGACATCAAGGGATTCAGCGACTTACTGAAAACATTGTCAACAGCGTAAGTCTATTATACGATACAAAATACAATGGGTACAATGAATCCTGAGATATTCACATATTCACGATATAACAAATGAGTTGTAAAAAACATACAAATATTTCTTTTTTTGGTAAACACATTCATTGAAATCATTAAATCATTAAAAGTGCAACAGGTATTCACCAGAATAGAATGAAATATTTGTTTCATTATTCACCGTTATATTCTCCACACTTACATGTTTTCATGGAAAGATATCTTATACAAAGTTGCTTAAGATATTTTTTGTTTATTTAGGTTACCAGATGATGATCGTGACATCTGTGTATTTGATTACTACGTGGATGAGTCTGGAGAGTGGGACCCTTGGCAATCCAGGTACTTATTTTTATTACAACTTATACTTGTCAAGAGGAACGACAAGTGGTGTCCTTCAGCGAGCAATGTTTAAGACCAAACCATTGCAGCCCCACTCAGATTATGCATACAGGCTAATGAGGGAAATGTGATAATCTGAGACACCTGCTTATGACGCAGTGAAGGACACTCACTTAATTTTCCTACGAAGCCATCAAGCAGTAATAGTTTCCTTTCTATTTGTAGCAATGCATCATTGATGTTTATTTGAAATGAAAACTTGTCATGTTATTTCTTGAGAGAGAAAAAAGAGCAATGTTATAGCTCTCACATGATTTTCACCCTCAAATAAAAATCCTTCATTACACTACTAAAATGAATGTGAAAATTAATCCTACATTTTTGCTTATCTATGTAAAAGCAGTGATGTTTTTGTATTTTGATGTCATACATGAACCTTTGTGCTGTCCAGTACATACATTAAATGTGATATTAAATCGATGTACACTAAAAGTATTAATTGCATTTTTTCAGAGTACCAGAGAATCAATTTTCTGATGACAGCAGTTTCCTTGGAGACGTATTTGTTGATACAATAGACACTGTAAGTACTTGTATGATAATGTATCCTTTATAACAAGTTTTATGTGACAAGTACATATTTTAGACCTTTCCTAGCACGAAGTAATATAGCTCTTATACAATTCAGTCAGTTTTTTTTATTTAATCTACAATTTACACAAACAAATCCTAAGTTGAATATAATTGAATACTTCATGAATGTATAAAAATGTGACCAATGATGAAAAGAAATTATTTAAATTCTGTGAAAAACATTCATAATTATGGTTTCAGATCCGAACCCGTATCTTGATGGAGTTTGCATGTGCCTCTAAACAGCATATTCTACTGGTGGGGCCCCCTGGTGCTGGAAAGACAGTCATGATTAACGACTTCTTGGACAGTCAAGGTAATATGTGCAGTCTTTTACACAAGCAAAGTCTACAATAGACATGATATACCAAAAGGCGACAGCTCTCTAATTAGAGTCCATGTTTAGATGAGCTCAGAAGAAGTAAACAGCAATGTCTTAGATGGTATTGATTTACCAAATCTGGTAAATCTGTCTGATTAAATGCCATATTTCAGTCATGCTCAAAATAAGTTTTTCATTCAAAATTGAAGTAGGACAATTTCATGTTCTTTTATTAGTAATTCTTTGATGATAATTCTTTGTTTCCAGATTCCCAGTCAGTTGTCACAAAGAGGCTTGTCTTCTCAGGATCTTCCAATGCCAAGCAGCTGCAGACATATGTGGAGTCTAACATTTACCACAGACAAGGTATGTTGTCCTGTTGTCTGCTCTATCACAGTGCATTATGGGAAATTATTATGAATGTCCAATTCTGATTTCGATTGACCTTTACACAAGGTTTTATGTACGGCCAATTTATAAATAATAACATTTTTAAAAATAGCAACATTTTATTTAGTACTGCAATGAAAAATATGTAATTTTTGCTTGTATAATATATTCTCTAAATTAAAGTAAGAATGCTCCTTTGCTCAAAAATTAAATGCACATACTACTGTAGTTAACCATGATTTAAGTACATTCAAAAGCATCACCTGAAACATATTTCTATTACTCTGTTTATTTTATAGGGTTTGTATATGGAGGCAAGGACAGTAAGAAGCTGAATCTGTTCATTGATGATCTAAACATGCCAAGCACTGATACAGATGGCGTACAGAGATGCAATGAGGTAGGCAAGAGGGGAAATACCCCAGAATTCAAAGATGAACCTTTATCCTTATAAAGATGAACCTCTAGGATCTATTTATAAGTTTTGTGTATTTCCTCTTGAGATAGCCCTCCCCTGTGTCCCTTGCAGAGTTAGAGCATATATATTGATATCTTAATGGGCATACAAAGGCTCCAAATTAAGATGCTGTATACATGTTAGATTTCTACACACTTTAAAAAAATATTTCTTCATCTATCACCTTTTACAGGGTATTATCCCAATACATGTAGAGATGCTGTTTTAGTAATTTGTACAAAGTTTAGTCTTATTAATGAAACATAGTCACTTATCGATAGAGCAATAACTCAAAAACTATTTATCTAATATGTTCTATTACATTTTTCATTTTCAGTTGTTGCGTCAGGTCATGGACAATAATATGCTATGTACGCTTCAAAGACCATTTGAATGGAAGACAATAGAGGGCCTCACAGTGTTCTCGGCTATAGGAATTAATGAGAACCCTAGTGTCACCAACAGAACTCTGGATGATAGACTTTTGGTAAGTCATTTATACGAACTGATATATTTATATGGACTGATTCCATGATCAACTGTACATTTGATGAGTCTTGATTTGTTAAGATATTGTGTACATTTAGAAAATGATTGGTTCCTTTATATGACTGTCTTTACATAAATGAATAAACGCAAGGAGCTCACTCGTCTCAAACTCTCGCCTCATTGACATGGCGACAGCGTAACATAAGATACTATGAATGGATAAACATAGAATGCTAGATTTAAGTGAAAATGTTTTAACTGGTTAGGTTGATTGTTATACATATTTGATATGCCATGTTATTTCAGCGCCACTTTGCAGTGTTATGTCTACCAGCGCCACGTGACGAGGGACTCAAGTGTATAGTGAATGGTGTACTAGAGGTAATAAACTATTAAAATTATAATACAGCGAGTGATCTTCAAGAATCTTAATTAGCATTTCTAGAAATATAACCACTTTCAAGTTTCATTTAAAAGTCATTGGTTCACACTCTCAGGATGTTTTCCGCTTTTGAGGTGCTCTTTTAACAAAGGTGTTTGATTCAACATTTTCATTCTTACCCAAAGTAACTCTAAAATATCTTTAATTAAAAATGATATGTAGAAATTGAGTTTATTGAAAAATGTAAAAAAATAAATGTTGATGCATAATGTATTATTCCAGGCTACGATGCTACAAAGTGGAAGTTCTGGCTTGGACATTGACCTGCACAACTCCATAGTCTCTGCCTCATGTACTCTCCTCAACACAGTGCAGAAAATCCTCCGTCCTTCACCCATGCCAGGGAGACATCATTATTTGTATACCCTCCGTGACATCGTCAACTGCTTCATGGTATGTTTTGAGTACTCCTTTTTTGGAATAAGTTTCAGTGAAATGAATTAGAATGAAAACAGTTTCATGTGATATACCTAAGTCTGTGTTAATTCCAATTTTTAAAATGATATATGATGATAGTGACAATGTCTGATTGAGCATGCTGAATAAATTACGTTACTTAGTAACCATTTTGAATTTTTCAATAAAAAAGTATGATATTTATCACTGTGTGTCTTTATTTTTTAGTGTTTGCGACGCTTACCTGATGAAAGTAGGGCAGAGCACACAATGGTCATATCACTATGGAAACACGAAATGAGTCACATTCTACGAGACAGACTCTGCAGATACAACGATCAGCTTTGGTTTGATGACAACCTGAATAATATAATATCAGATGTAAGACAAATTGTTCTTTTTAGCATCCCAAGAGATCAATGATTTACTCAATGTTTACACTGTGTCACATAAAGTATTTAACAATGACATAATGTCACCCAAATTATTTTTGTTTGACATTATGTCACATGAATTATTGAAGATTGACAGTAAGTCACACAAATTATTTAACAATGACATTATGTTACCCAAATTATTTAACAATGACATAATGTCACCCAAATTATTTTAGTTTGACATTAAGTCACATAAATTATTTAACTTTGACATATTGTCACCCAAATTATTTAATATTTACATTATGTCACATACATGATTTAACTTTTACATAATGTCACCAAAATTATTTGATATTTACATTGTCACCCAAATTATTTAATATTGACATTATGTCACACAAATTATTCAATATTATGTCAAACATAAGGGTTTCTACACATTTCTACATGATCTATTTCAGACATGGCCAGACTTAGAGCCAGAACAAATTCACCAATACTTTGTGACATTCCCAATTGACGCCAGGGTCTATCAAAGACCTGTCACTTCTATATCATACAAGCAGATCAAAGTGAGTAGTTAACATATTTCTAGGGGCTTATAAAGGTAATTGGCCTTTCATGACCCTTAAATAGTGATTATGAATATACTTCTGATTCATTGTCGGAAAAAGTTGTACGTTTCTAAATAACAAATTATTTTGTTCTTTTTGATTGAAATAGTTGATTTTGTCTTTACGATACATTACCATTAAAATATGAATGAATTTTTCATATTTGAATTTTTGTTGATTTTGGAACAACAAACAAACAAACAAACTAATTGTAAACATCACTTTCTTCAAAATTACATCCAAGTCAAATACTTTATTGAACCTATTTATGACATTTTGTTTCCAGGTAGTCCTCCAACCTGTCGATACTCTTAAAGAAGTCCACAACTGCCTTAACACCCATTTAACACGCTACAATGAGGAGTTTGGCAATGTCCAGCTTGACCTGATGTTATCTGACTATGTCATCTCACATATTATTAGAATGCACAGAGTTCTCAGCTTTCACCATCAGTAAGTTGCAGAGATCAAATTGGCTTAATGGTATTTGAAATAATCAAAGGGGCCATTTGTGCACCTGTGCATGTTCATACTGTACATTTACCATGTATGTATAGTATACTTTAAGATGGAAAAATAAATCCAAAATTGCTGAAGAATAATTATCTTAGTTGTATAAATGAAATGCTATTTTTCAAAATTACAGTTTTGAGTAGTCTGGCATTAGCCTCTCCCTTCTGCTATCTACTTCTCTCCTTATGTATCTCTCTCTCTCTGGAGAGTGTGCTTTAGAAGGTGGGGGGGGGGCACAAGGACTTAACTAGACTATTTTATGGCTACCTTCACAAAATACACTATTGCTTAGTACATGTACTTGATATGTTTTTCTAGGGGTAACATATTACTGATAGGAGCTCTGGGTTCAAAGTTGTCTACCCTCTGTAAGCTTGCCCTACATGTGGCAGATTGCCCCATTCATGATGTGGACTGTAGCAAACAGAATACATTCTTTGATGGCCTCAGGTCTGCATTGAGGCTCAGTGGCTCTGAGGGCAAAGTTAAAACCCTGTTGTTCACGGTAAGTGCTACATTGAAAGAAATTTTTCATCTGAAGTGTTGTAACTCTTTATGAAATAAGAAAATAAAGAAATAGCTAGCAAGTAATGAGCTGATTTAAGACAAGTGAAAAAATTGAATGGGCTAGAAAATTATATGATCATACCTAGTTACTTTTTCTCAATATTTTTTTAATGTTTTTCTGAAATTTTTATAGCCCAGTTGTCGTAAATTCAATAATTATTTGTACATGACTATGTATGATATCTGTCATATCTTATATTTATAATATCTATTTTATGCATTGTTTATTATTTTAGGCCAGAGACTTGCAGGATGAGATCTATCTTGATGCCATCAACAGTTTGTTAGTATGTGGGGAGTACCCTCATCTCTTTACTAATGATGAGATGGATGGACTACTCCAGGTAAGGCAATATAAAGAATACAAGGAAATTATTATCAGGGATATAGGATATTGAGGAATTTTCCAAAATGTTGAATTTTAAACAATTCTTCAAGCATTTCTACCTTCAAAAAGATTTCTCAATTAATGGTACATTTAAAATTAACAGCCTTGGTATGCAGTTTTGCCAGTTTATCTAGTTTAGACAGTTGAATATGTTCCATTAGATATCATCATTTCATCCATGTCATCTTGTGGAGTTATATGATTTTCTCGTGTTACTTTATTTTTTCACTGAATGTGACTATGTGTACATTATAGGCCATCATACCAGCCATGAAGAGAGACCACCCCAGCCTGTCTGACCCTATGAAGTTCTTTGTGTCCAGAGTGAAAATGAACCTTCATATAATCCTCTGCCTGCCACCATCTCATAGGCTGATAAAGAATGCAGCAAGGTATGGGTCTACAGCCTTAAGTTTTTCATGTGATCCTGCATTGAAAATTTGTATTTTTGTGTCACAATAAAAGAATGTGACCTCACATAATGACAACCTCCATTTTTTTAAATATTCAGTGAAATTGGGTTATTTAATTAATGATTATAGTAGAATATAGCAAACAATTTAATTGTGGAAAACATAATATTTCAATGTTTTTTAGCTTCCTGTATGTACTTTGCATTATTTCCTGGGTCGTGTTATGCTTGTTAATGCATAAGAAAAGTATAAACAATTAAAAATGTGACAGAAGATTGGCTAAATATGCACAAATCAAATAAATGAACAGCAAGCTTTAAGACACTGCTGCGATTTATATGTTTACTGAAATATTTCAGCTATTACCCTGGACTGTTGACTGGCTGCCAGGTAGACTGGATGTGTGACTGGCCCCAGGAGTCTCTACTGGGAGAGGCTAACTACTATGTCCTCAAACACAACCTTACCCAAGACATAGAAGCACTGGGGTAAGTTCCCTTCATCCCTACTTATACCGGATTAATTTTTCACATGATAAAGAGAATTATTTTCAAATAATTAAAAATTGTGCACTTCAAATGAGGTATTTATGGGAAAAAGTGAAATAAGCAGTTTAAAGAATTAGGCCAACTGCGCTGCCTCAAAGATGTTTGAAGGATAGTCATTACTACTACCCTTACGTTATAAACAAAATCACAATTGAGCTAAAAATCGGAAATTGAATATTTTCAGTGAGCATATCACAACATGCCTAGCAAACATCCACAGTTTTATTCTACGTGACTGCAAGCAGATGCCATGGGCTGGTGACCTTGCAGACGAGGTCAGTATTACACAGGTCAAGGTCATTGATAAGAAGAAGGACATCCTGAAAACGACTAATCTGAAAGTGCGGAACATGCCATACTCTAAACACATGCTGCTGGAGCACATCAAGTAAGTGACTTGTAAAATAAATGATAAGAAAGAAATGAATGAACAATTGCAAAATTTATCATATGATCTGTAAAATGAAGCCTTTTGATTGGTCAGTTCTTGTACTGTACCAATCTGTATTGCTACTGGGATTGTCCCCATTGATCATCTCCGTCGCAATACAGAAAATATTGGTACGGAGGGAACAATCTCAGGTGCAATACAGAGGATCACACGATAAAAACGTTATTGAATGATTTCTGTATTGGCACTCAACTTCGTCTCGTTCCAATACGGAATTTCTCGAGCAGAATATATCCTGTATTGCACTTCAAATCATTCAATAACTTATAATACATGTACATTGTAGGTTACATAATATTTTCATAGATATTTCTTTTTTATCAGGTCAAAAAGTAATTTGATTGATTAAAAAAAGATGAAATATGTTGAATAATTATGCAACTTTACTAGTTACAAAGCTGTATAGATTATCTAGGTTGTTCAAATTCAAAGCCCATGAACATTCATGACCGATAATAGAATGTATTTAGGAGAATGAATATATGAACATAAGAAGTTCATTGGAAAATACAAATGAAGAAAAATCTATTTTGCCAATTAAACAAATATCATTTAATTTTGATTTATGTTTTATTATGACAGGTTACGACACAAGCGCGATGACATCCCAGGAAAGAATGAAGTATTTATCGGACCAAATACATATAAACGTTGTCTTGACTGTTTCCGCTACCTCTATACAGTAAAATCCAAAGAGAGGACAGAGAAAGTGAACAAGCTATTGTAAGTTAATTACTTTGCTGTAACTTCTAGAGTCCATTAAGGAAATGTTGTTAGTTGAAGTGGAAATTTTGTAAGTTAAGGTAGAAAAACTCATAAGTTGAGGTTGAAATTTTGTAAGTAAAAGCCGCTTAGAGGAATGAATGACCTTTGAATTTTATAAATGCTGTCAGTATTGGCTCTCAGATGGAATGATTTATGCTTACCAATAGCTGATTCTGCTACAAATGAGAGCTCCATTTACACTTTCTGAGTGAGAGATAATCCTTTGCTCTTATTAGCATAAATTTAGACTCTACTTAAAAGTAATGTTTGGCAAATGATAATTATCTCACCACCTGAAGTTTTTTGTGGATGGTGTTTAATGGTTGGTGTTCAGTGGTTGGTGTTTGGCGGGCAGCATCTGTAACAAATGACAGGTAGTGACATTTTGCATGTTAATGCCTGAGAATAAGATTATTAAGGAAATTGATATATTATTATTGTCTATTCCAGGAAAGTGATCAGTACACTGGACCAAACCAGAGAAGATGCCAATGTCATGAAGAAACATATGAGAGAGGTCAAAGTCAAATTTGAAAATTCTTGTGTCAAGGTCAGTATTTGCTCTGTTTTGGAAATGGTAAAAAATGAGGTAGTTCTGTTTTGGGTATTACTAAACCAATGTCTGTATATTTATGAAAGATTTTTTTTAAGAAAGATGAGCTACATACGATATGAGAAAATCACTCAAAAGGCTGTGAAATATCTTGGTCAGAATCATTTTGAACCAGGATAAGAAAAAGGCGATTGCAAAATTTAATAGGCCTACATTACTACTGAATAAGAATGATCTATTTGTGCCATAGGTGACTGGTTTACTGGATGAATTGACTGGCAAGGCAACATTGCTTGAGAAACTCAAGGCAAGAGTGGGAGAGAGTACATCACTCAGTGCATTCCTTCAGCTCAATGAACTCAGCTCAGATGAAGAAGAAGATGATGCGTTACTCGGAGAAGGTCAGTTTCATTCTCATCTCTCACACAACTTGTCTTATTAGAACACCACTGGGACTGACCAAAAGTGTTAGAATTAGCAGGTGTTCATATTTCAAGGTTTTTTTTACATGTGTGAGTCAGAGGAGAATTAATTTGGGACCTAGAAAAAGTGTTCACATTGAGAGGTGTTCAGATTATAGATGTGTTCAGATTAGAGAGGTGTTTGGATATACAGGTTTACTGTATTATATTCATACTTTATAGGATTCTCATGAATAACTGAATAATTGCTGGTCATGTTTCATAATAAAATTTTTACTTCCTGTTTTATTGGCTTGTTCGCTTTCATCATTAAATGGTTACCTCAGTCTATCATTTTCAATTTTGCTCAAAAGATTTCTCCCCATATCCCTTTCCAATATTATACATATTATTACCAAAAATTGTCAGTTTAGAATAAAATATTATAAAAATGCATTTTACAGAAGAAGCAGATGAATATGATGAAGAATTTGAAAAGATGCGAGAGGCGAATCTTAAAACTCGAATCACGCAAGCCATTGAGGAAAAAACAGAGGCAGAAAAACGAGTTGAGGCTGCGAGAGTTAAGCTTGGATATCAGAGACAACAAGTTGAACATTGGCAAAAGAAAGTTGACCGATCCACCATAGAGAGACTGAAAAACTTCAAGGACCCACCAATCATGGTGGGGCACATAATGGAGATGATCATGACTCTAATAGGGAAGCGTAAGATTGATAATGTTAAAGAACCAAAAGAGACAAACACAAAGGAGGAGATGTCAGGACGCATGTCTGCCAGCTCTAGTAGCATTCAACTAACAAAGAAACGTAGGTTCAAACTGGGGGTTCAAATTCTAGTAGCATACAAATAGTTTCAAAGATGTGGAATTTGGATGTCTATTAGAGAAATCTAGTCTCAAAGAATTTTATTTGTTTAATTCTAGTAGCATGTAAATAGCCTAAAAGAAGTGAATGTCTATTAGATGCAAATACCCTCATAGATTTTCTAGACACATTCATCTAGCCCAAAAATATATTCAAGAAACTATCAAACTGATGAGAATATCAATTTTTACAACTTTGATAAAATCCAGAATTATCATAATACAGTGCTTTTAATTTTCAAATTGATGAATAACAAAAATCTATGTTTACACAAATGCATATTATTTTTCATAATTGCAGAGAGTAAGACGGTAAACACCAATGAGAGAGTTGACAGAAATACATGGAAAGCCATGCAGATTACAATGGCGGACTCTCAGAAGTTTGTGGACATGATGCACAATGTCCCCTGGGAGGATGGCCTCTCTAAGAATGTCATAGCTGGTAAGTGATGTCATACCTGGAATGTGATGTCAAAGCTAGCAAGTGATGTCATATCAGGAATTGATGTCATAAATGCATGTATATTATAGTCATTGTGGCTGTATATGACCCAGATGCAATTTTTTTAGATAACACAATGGGGAAGGACTTGCATTATGGACACTTGCTAATGTGAAGTGTAAACAGAGCAGTATTGTAAATGTTCCAACTAACTGTATTGTAATTGGTTTAACATATTTTTTCTCTGCATTAAAAAGTAAATAAAAGAAATAAATAGATAAAATGATGTCTCTCAAACCAGAAATCACAACATTCTCAAAGCCTTTAATTTGCGACAAGTGTATAATTTCTGGCTCCATGTATTTATTTCAGCTATTGAAAGCTTTCTGGCTAAGAGCAAAGATGGTCAGCTTGGTGTCACAGGAGAGGGTTCTCTGCTAGAAGATGCAAAAGGTAAAACCGTTAAAACTAACATCTTTATTCTGGCATCTCAAAATTAAAAAATTGAATGAAAAAATACTGACAAAATTTTTGTTGTGTTATTGATAAGAGTACATGCAACCTGTGGGAGGGGTCTTAACTATTAACACCAGAATTAAAAAAATCCAACAAAACTAATGTATTTTCTGATATTATTTTAGACACATCATTCCAAGCGAAGCGTAGGTCTCCCTCCAACCTAGATAACCCCAAGGGCATCACTATAGCTGCAGCTAAATACTCATCTGAGGATGCTGTTACCTTGGTGAGTAGAAGTCAATAGTACATGTGATTAACTTAAACTGTTCAGTTATGCAGATACCATATTGTCTGAAATAAACACAAATACATGTATTTCACATCCTCCTAAGCAGGTGTCCAGAATCCATACCTCCTTCTTCCCCCCTGCTATAACCAATTTGAAATCATGTGATCTAATTATGCGAAATGACTTATACATGATTTCTGTCGCAGTGTTGCGATAGCCTATCAGATTGCGAGTTCTTAATCAGGGAAATTCTAACTGCTTATCGCAGGGGGTAAAAAGAAAGAATATATTCTGGATTTTGAAGCCCTGTGATCGGAGGATGGTATTTCAACACACACCTTACATTTTCCAAAGAGAACTTTTGTGACATGAGTGCAAACATCAAGAAAATGTGAAATAATATACTGGGTTGTAATAGGTTTGATTCACTTGCACGTGTATATGTTCAAGATATCCTGTGATACACTGGATATTTTATATTGATAAATATTGGCATTTATATGACTTTATGTCTAATATTTCGTGGCTTGTCCTATGTAAAAAGCAGATGCAGAAGAAATTATTTGACTTAGCAGCGCTAAAACTTAAATAGTTATACATGTACAAACAAAATATTGTTTCTTCAAGGTCCAATACACCATAGCCATAGTTGAGTACAGTCGATTCTGTGGTCCACTTAAGACTGCTTTGGAGAAACTTCACGAATTGGAAAGAGAGATTGAAGAAAATGAACGCATGCAGAAAGACAGAGATGAAAGAGTAAGTTCACCTATGTATTTAATCTAACTAATGGCTGTATACACAGCTAGTCATATCTGACTCTACATTAGTTTTGTGAACAAATATTTCTCATTAAGAAAAGGAAACTATCAATTAATAGGATTTATAACACTCTATCATCATTTCTCCAGACCTCTCATCTACATGTATATAACAATGTCTTCTTGTTTCTACTCCTTTCTGTTATAGGATTATAGTTGTATCATATTAAAAGGGAAATTGTGATATTGATATAACTGAAAACTAGGATTTAAGATTATTGAAATATCCTGATGTGGGGTATGTGCTAAACTCAAAAATAATTATTACAGTCATTCACTACTATTTTTCAGTACATGTATTCAGTACAATCATTTAGTACTCTTTTTCAGTACACATATTCAGTTATTCATTACTATTATTCAGTACAATAATTCAGTACTATTATTCAGTATACTTATCCAATGCTATTATTCAGTATAATTATTCAATACTTTTATTCAGTACAATATTCAATACTATTATTCAGTTCACATATTCAGTACTATTATTCTGTACAATTATTCAATACTATTATTCAGTATAATTATTCAATACTATTATTCAATACAATTACTCAATACTATTATTCAGTACAATTATTCAGTTCACATATTCAATTCATGTACTATTATTCAGTACAATTATTCAATTCACATATTCAGCACTATTATTCTGTACAATTATTCAGTATAATTATTTAGTTCAATTTTTACATGAAGTATTGTATATTTTGTTAAGTTAAGAATAATGTATCTCGTGACAAAGTTTGGCCGTAAGGCGTACAGAACAAAGGTCAGTGAATGTGTCATGTCGAGAAATATATATAATCTCCCAAGTGGTTAAATAAAGCTAACCTAGCAGTATAATAGAGGGATTCAAAATCACTTGGAATTTTATATGGATGGGGGGACATGTCAATTTCTGAAAATATCTTCTGGGAGAAGTTTTTTATCATTGAAGAAAAAATATGGTATCTCGATCAATTTTCATGAATTCATGTGGATAAAAGAAATACAATGTACTAGAGATTTGCAACAATGGTTCAAATTTTGTGATTCTTACAGGAAGCAAGATGACATAAGATAAGAATAATGCATCAACTTTTATATTTGGAATCTTTGTTTTCAAAGTAATTCATTTGGGGTTGAATTCTTGTTGATTTTGACATGTCCCCTTTACTTCGACCTTATATGATACAAATGTAAAACTGCTAGTGTTTTGAATTTGTTGAAAAGTTTATCAGTTTCAGAATAGTGTTTAGGACAGTACAGTATTATTAAATATTTATGCTTGCCAAAAAGGATTGCACGCATAGACTAGTTAGTAAATTGTAATGAAAGAAGCGAAACATTTTATATTGTTAAATGATTGTATGCAGTATCATTCATCGGAAATTACAATTGATAATTTTTGTTTTTCTCGATATAAAATAAATGTTACAATTTTATTCAATTCAATATTATATTTAATAAAATGAAATTTCTCTTACCTACAGGAAAGAATCCGAAATCAACAGGCAGGTGTTTTAAAAAATTGCTTTTATTTTATTTCATAATTATTATTAGAAGTTAATTTTATAAAAATAAATAAAATCAAATAAGTTTTACTAAACAGAAATATCATTCTTTTTTATTCTGAAAATTTTCAGAAAAGATTTTTTGCTTATATAATCAAATTATTGCAAACACTTTGAATCAGTGACATGATCCTGACTTCAAAAAGTTTTTTTGTAGATATACATGTCATTGTTATTTATCTTAAATATGTTAAAATATGTAAGTCCCAATTTAAAATTAATGGGGTAGGGGTGTGTCATCAAAGATTAATTCATCATATGTACTCTGACAATGTTATTAGTCCATGTGATTTGTCCCTTCGCAATGTGTGGAATTATGCAGTCTGTAATGCTCATGTTAGTACAGTGTTACATTGTCCATGTATACATGTACCTTAAGTTAATGACTGTGTTTCCCCTATTGTTGCTTATTTTAAATGTTTTATAATTGCATAGATTTGACAGAAGTTGCAGATACTAATATAGGATAAAAAATAGAAGTGATAGACTATGAGTTATTAGCTTTGTTGAATATACTTGTACTAATGATATATATTCAGTATCCAATATAGGTAGATCATTGTAATGAACATCCATTATAATGACATCATTATAATGGGTATCCAATATAATGACATCATTTTAAGGGACATCTGAATATAATGACATCATTTTAATAGCCATCAGATATTATAATGACATCATCCTAAAAGGCATAAAATAAAGTGACATCATTTTAGTGGGCATCCAGCTTAGTGACATCCGATATAATGACATCATTTTAATGGATATCCAACATAATGACATCATTTTAATGGATATCCAACATAATGACATCATTTTAATGGTCATCCAATAAGACATCGTTTTATAAACTTTAATCAAAGTTTTTCTCAAGAAATAGCAAATGCTGTAGCTATAGTTACTTAAGACTTAATGAATAGTTTCCACAAAGAGGAAATCATAAAATCATAAAATCATAAAATCACAAATACTAATTACCTCATTTCTTCTTCTAGGACTAATAAAAGTGAATTTGATACATGAAAATGACCACATGTTTCTTATTATATTTGTCCAGTCATCAGCTGGTGGGCACCAAAGTGCTACAGATGAGGCCGACATTGATGACGAGGAACTTGACGAGGACCAATTACCCAAGATTCAGTCTGAGGTTGATGCCCTACAAGCTCAGTTTGACGCTGCGGTTGTTGAAAAACATTCACTTGAACTAGAGTTGCAGAGCATGAATGATCGCTTGAAGGCAGCCACTGACGTCATAGAGAGGTGGGTTTGTTTAGTATTTTATTAAACATTTTTTTTTTATAAAAAGAAGTTTCACATCTAAGATACAGTCAATTTCTGCACATCTTTGGCTGTTGGAAGCAGTATGATAAAGAGATATTTACAAAAGTTATATGGATCAAATTGTCTTTGTATTATTATGCTAGTTACAAATTTAGGAGTAGAAAAAATTATGAAATTTGATTTGTTTTTAGCATGAGACAACAAGAGTTGCTATGGAGACAGCATTGTAAAGAGTACGACTGCAATGAAGTGTTGTTAGCCAATTGTATCGCAGCAGCGGCATTCCTTACATACTGTGGCAGTATGAATACAGATGTACGACAGCGCATGGGGGAATTCTTCATGTTTGTGTGCGAGCACCATGGGGTGCCATTGGCTAAGAAGCAGTTGTTCCGCAACATGGACTTGGTTGAATTCTTGTATAGTCCAGTGAGTCATTTGGTCTAATTTTTTAAAATTTTTATTTTGTATCATTGAACCAGAGAAAGAAACGCATAAAGTTCACCCTCCTAATCTGAATATAGCACAATGAACTCCAGTATATCCGGAATCTTCTCTAATTCAAACACCTCTCAATGTGTACACTTTTTCTTTGCCTCGTAGTCATTGTCTTATTGATGTTGTAGATTCACATCAAGGAATTGGAACTGTTGAGGTTACCCCAGACCCGCCTGCTCCTGGAGAATGCATGCTTTGTCATGCAGGAGGAGAGTTGTTCCGCATGGCCACTCATCTGTGACCCTGCGAGCCGCATCATAGACTGGCTGCAGTATTTCCTTAAAGGGAAAGGCCTGGTGGAGGTCAGATATCATGTAAGTAGAATTAGGTGCTTTTGGGAACTAGAGTGATTATTATAATCTGAATAATTAAGGTAGGCAGAGTCGAATAAGTAATCAGGTTGAGTAGCTTGGACTGATCTTTCAACAATGTATCTGCCCACCTTAACTGGAAAACTAAATTTTTCAATTCAGCTTTTCAACAGTTTTTTTTACATATTTCTAAAACTGTGCAATGCACTCACTATTTTGTTTTCTTGTCATCTAATTGGAATGAGAATTCTGTCTCAATAACTGAAATGTTTACAATTTTGAGAGAGCATTTTAAATTTTTATACAACTGAAAATTTATTTTTGAATTTCTAGGAGATACGATCCCAGTTAGAGACGTGTCTATCAGATGGAGTCCCCCTTTTGGTGACAGATTGCGACCCAGCCCTGCTCTGTAAGGATGAGAGGTTCCGTGAGGTGATTGCTTCTAGAAACAAGTTCATCCATGGGAAAACTCCATTCAAATTATGGGTAAGTTTAGCATTGATTTTAATCCTATATACAGCAATGGTGAAGAATAGTACATGTATTGCAGAGGGAATGTGATGAAGATACTGTATATGATTATTTTTAAAAATTGAAATTGAGATTGTAGACTTTGTAGGCAATGAATACATTTGTACTTTAGCTGAACTATACATTTTTAATAGTTAAAACTTCTCAAGATATCTAAATACATCAATAAAATTCTCAAAATACTTTTGATTTCACATATTTTAGCCAGGTTTGTGGTCAACATTTGCATTCTTTTTGATTTGATAGGTTGGAGACCATGAGGTTGAATGTGAGCCTAGTTTCCGTATGTACCTACACACAACCCATCAACCACACACACTTCCTCCTGAACTAGCTGCAAGACTAGCTGTCACATACTTTCTGGAGTCTAGGTAAGTATAGTGTGCCAGATGTGTCACACTGGTACAGATATAAGTGTTGTACTGTCACAAAAAATTTGTAAATGAAATGGTGCTTAAATTACGCAGTTTCTTTTGGTGCTGCACCAGATTTTATTGGGAGTATATATTGGGTTATTTTCTCACTCTTGGGCTAAAACAATAGGGGTTATAAATAAGTAGGCTGGTTAGTAAAGGTGATAAAATTTTAATTTAAATAGGGGACTTTCTTTTATCTTCCATGAGTGGCACACTCTGCTCTTCTACCACGTATTTTCAATTTTCCTGCATGGAACTTAGTATTTATAGTCTGACTTCTCTCAAACATCCAGGTAAAGAAAGTGTTGTTCTTTGTTGTAGATATGATTTGGAAGAGGAGCTACTGGACAGATTTATGGCAAAAGAGAAGTCCAGATTGGATGATGAGAAATCTACATACCTAATGGTAAGACTAAGAACATATAAACCTACATTAGAAACTTTTTGCAATGTGGATTTTTATAGCATATTACATTTACAATGGCGTAGCGTCATATACGCACAATACGCAATGACGTACTCTCAAAATTTAGAGAAAAGTGTTTCATATTGAATTGCCTCACACTTTGAAAATACTGGATGTCGGAATTTCTTATTCTAAAAGCCCAGAAACGCTTCAAATGCAATCTCATTTTCAAAGCTTCCCCCACTGGTGATCCGATTGCGATCGATTACGCTGCCCCACGCTGATTACCGAAACGAACCGTATCACCAGTGTCAAAGCTTTGCTCACTTGTAGCGTACACTCACAAAATACTCACGCTACGCCACTGATTTACTTGTATGTTACGCCTTCATCTGATTGGTGAACAATATGCACCCCCTTTCTGATGCATGCCCATGAGTGCATTCAATTCATTGCATTTATAGATATTACATATATTAATATAAGTAATTTCCTTGGTCATGCAGGAGAAACTTGAGAATATGAAGTTCCTGGAGAAGATAGAGGGCGCCATGGCTGATCTGCTATCTAGTGATGTCAGACTGATGAACAATCTAACTGCGACTAAGAAGTTAGCTGAGTTGAAGAAACAGTTTGATGAGACAGTCGAGAGGTTGGTTCATGAAATGATAGATCTTTCAAATAAACCCCACCACCCTTTGCTACACCAAAGATGATAATTAGAAATAATACAAAATATATTTATACTTTTTAAATATTATTTTATTTCAAAATATTACAGTGAAACCTGTCTATGTAGAATATCTTTGGTACCTCTACAAAGCCTTCCATTTGGGAGGGGTTACATCTATAGAGGCTCATTTAACGTTTAGTCAGTTGATCTTGGGACTCTGAAGTGTTCCTTCTATACTAAGAGGTGTTTCATTTCTAGAGGTGTTTCACTTCTAGAGGTGTTCCACCTTACAGGTTTCACTGTATATGGATTATTGACATGCAGTATACACAGGGAAAATAATATATAACGGAAAACATTATTTCTGAATTTTATTTGAATAAATTTTTTTTCATTTTTAGTCAAGGAAGAGTTGAAGCCAATGAGGGGTCAATACTACGGGCAAGGGAAGGTTTCCGCTCCATTGCACAGCGAGGGGCTGTTTGTTTCGATACAATGATGTACCTAAGTGAGATCAGCCCCCTCTATCAGACATCCTACCAGTATTGTTTGCGCATATACGATGGCTGCATCAGTCACTCTGAGAGGTAAGGTCATATTTTCAGATTCAAGGGTCTGTTTTTGAAACCATCAGAACTTACGATTTGTTTGTCTTTGTTCATCAAAAAGTAGGCAATGGTTCTCTTGGAATTGTAAGTTAGGGTTGTACCAAAAACGAACCCCAGAATCTTATATTTTAGGCAGTAGTAAATGTCTGTCCTTTCAATGGTACACAGGCTGATGTTGGTGTTTATATCAGATTCATTTTCTAATGTGAATTTGTAGCCTCGCTGTATTTTATGTTGTGGAGACCATATTGTACTGTTATTGAAAAGCTACTGAAAAAGTTTATCTTTAAAAAAAAAATTTATTTATAACCAAGGGAAATACCCCGGGGGAAATACCCATTATACTAAGTACACTGTAGTAAAACACATAGAGTGAATATTAGTTAGCCCTTCATGATAACTCTTGATGTTTTTCGGTATTGTACATGAACCCATGAGTGAACTCTGAGTTTGTTGTTCCAGGTCAGCAGTGAAGGCAGTTGTGGAGAGAATGACTGTCAACTGTTATGCATTGACATCAAAAGGACTCTCAGAGAGTGACAGGACAATATATTCAATGATGCTTGCAATAGAGATTGAAGATTCTTTGGGAAATGTGGGTCCCGGTGAACGAGAGTATCTCATCTCTCCACAATATGGCGCTGTTTCAATGACAGCGATGGGGATTAATCAAACAGTAGAACCTCGTATTACACAAGCTAAGAAGCTATTTGATTGGATGACTGATGAACAATTCCATCATTTACAACTACTTGCCATCCATTTTGAATGGTTTCAAGATATGTTTGATCGTATGCCACGAGATGGTCGTGAAACTCAGTGGCGGAATATTTGTGAGCATGACCACCCAGAACATTACCCTCTACCAGACAAAATGGATGACTCGTACACACCCCTGCAGCGGTTCATGGTTATTCGCTCTGTTAGGCCAGACAAGCTTCTTCAGGCCACTACAGTTTTTGTCTCTGCTGTGCTTGGAAAAAGGTAGGCCTAGGCTTTTTGTTTTACAAATATGGAACTATATCGGTCAAATACCAAGATAGTGGTCCAGCACAACTATAGAACTACTGTATACCTCATGCTCTAACCTTACATATTTTTTAAAGGATATTTCAGAATTGAAATGGAAAACAATGTTCTGTATTGATACTGTCATATTCCAGATTCATTGGTGAGTCAGCCATAGATCTAGGTATACTTTGGAAACATAGCTGCCCTAAGATCCCCCTTCTGCTGTTATACAACCATGAGCCAGAGAACCCAGAGAGACTGTTCCAAGACTTGGCTAGTAAGAAAGGGGTGAGGACAATGCAGGTGGCCTTCACAGCATCAGGCCACAATGAGGAGAAACTTGCAAAGAAATATCTGAGGAAAGCCATGGCTGATGTAAGTGTTCATTTTAGTTTTTATGTTACGATCGGAACTTATTTTGTGGATTGTGTTTGTCATTCGACAGTTAGTGTTTCGCCTTCAGGATACGGCATCTGGTGTTTGGCAGTCAACTTCTGTAACAAATGGCAGGTGGTGACAATCTGCATGTTAATTTTATTAACTTATAGGTCTTAGGATTTAGATAAGAGAGTTAAACAAGCAATAAAAAAGTTTTTACTACTGAAATAACACATTAATTTCGACTGGATTTTCAAATCCATTCAATTATATTCACACTTTGTTTTATTCAGGGCCTATGGGTGTTGCTACACAATGCCCACAATGCTATCCACCTGGTGAATGCACTGGAGTCAATGTTCAATGAAGCAGAACAAATAGATTCTTCATTTAGATGCTTCCTCTCTGCTGAAGCAAAGTCACCTCTTCCCGAAAGAGTACTACAGAATTCAATCAAGATCAATGTTGATTCTCCTAAGGTAAATACTATAGTGCATTGTCAAGTGCATGTTTTTTTAAACGCATTATTTGGTGGAAAGCAAGTGGTTAAAAGACTCCGACTCAAAAGGATGAGTAAGTGAGAATCAGAGAGTTTAATTACTGTGATCTATTTTTACTCAGTGAATAACATTGACATTCTGGGATCCAGGTCAACAATAGCCCCGTGCTCACTATCTTTTTCTGAAACTTACCATATAGACAACATCTATCTGTGCACCTAATGTTTGTAATTGTTACATAGATAAATTACATGTGGAATAGCACGTATATTATAGGCTAGACAGTTATTGCATTTTTAATGTTTCCCAAAATTATTCTTTCAATTTTTTGAGTGTGGAACTATGTTTACGTCTCAATCCTATCCTCTTGTCTTCAGAAACATCCATGCTATTTGAATAATTGTAGGCTATGAAGGACAATCTAATCAGGGCCTTCAGTGCCATGGATATGGACATGATCAAACAGAGTTCAAGGCCAGAGTGGGCAGCTCTGCTACACAACATTGTGTATCTCCATGGTGCTCTTAAACTGAGGGCTAGATTCACATCAGGTGGCTGGAACAACTATGAGGATTTCAACCAGTTTGGGGGCAATGAACTTATGGTAAGCTGGTATATATGTACAGTAAAACTTGTGTTTGTGAACACTTTTCAAGTGAACACCTCAGAAAAGTACACTTTTTGGTTTTGGAATGTCTCTTTCACTTCCACCTTGATGTAAGTATTCAATATGAACTCCTGTAAAATGAACACTTTAGTTAGTGTCACCAGTGTTCGCTATGGACAGGTTGACTCTATGTATTTTAAAATTCAATATTGAGTGCACTCTATGAGAATTTCATAACCAATCAGATTTCAGCATAGCCATTCTTTATTTCTCCGTTCATTTCAGTCTCCATTATCTATCATGACATCACATTATGAAATATCAGAACTCAATGGACTCGTTTTGGATTTCACAAAATTGAATGGTTTATAACTATTTATTTCTTAAAAAGCAAACTTGAGTTAACTCATGTTTATATGGCCTTCTATTTAACTTGTCTCATTTTCAATCTTATTTTATTCCAGGAAGCGTTGTCAATAGCAACTGGAGAATGCAAAGACAATCTTCAGGCAGTTGCAGCAGATGGTTCTCTTGTAGTTCGTACAACGTCATGGATGGGAATTCGTTACATGCTCAGTGAGGTGATATATGGCAGTTATGTGACAGATGTGACGGATCAGAACTCTATAAGTGCTATGATAGATTATTGGATGTCACCTGCTGCTGTTAAGAGAGACTTTGAACTACCTAAGTGTAAGTTCCATTATATGAAATGTTATAATGTAAAATGGACATTGATGTTTCTACCTGATAGTGGCCTTAAACGGTAACAATGATTTGTAGAGCTTTTTTCAAAATGAGTGTTCTTTCACATTTTGAAAAGTGCTGAATTGTGTGCTGCTTGGCTTGCATGCGTCTGGGCATGTGTTTGCCATATAAATCTTGTGATCAAATTACAGGAAAACTGCTTTTCTGTTCAACTTGAAATTTTTACAGTTACAAGTGCAGAATAGTGCCAAGATCTGAATAGGTTTTTGCGGCTATTTTAGTCTTCAATGTACGGTATTTTCACTGAGTGTCTTGTAGAATTTTTTTGATTTTTATTTATAATGTTGTTTATTACTTCCAGTGAAATATAAACATCCAGGACCTTTCACGTCTCACAACCCAAGACTTGCCTTAATGCTGCAGGCTCTAGAGAACCTGCCTAATCACTTTTTGGATGTTCCTGAAGCAGCTAATCTTCACCACAGTGTAGAGGTAAGGCGTAATGTGGAAGTATATCAGTTACTAATATAAGGGCAGACTGCTTAGGTTGAATTCTGAGATAAAAGCCATGAACTTGGCCACTTCTACATTGGCTATGACTATTCATTAAAGTCAATACTCTGGTTGAAGTAATACAATGTATTATCGTATGTGCTGTAAAATGAAGCCTTCTGATTGGTCAGTTCTTGTGCTGTACCAATCTGTATTGCTACTGAGATTGTCCCCATTGATCATCTCCGTCGCAATACAGAAAATATTGGTACGGAGGGGACAATCTCAGTAGCAATACAGAGGATCACACGATATTCTGTCTCGATATTCTGTCGTCTTGTTCCAATACAGAATTTCTCGAGCAGAATATATCCTGTATTGCACTTCAAATCATTCAATAACTTATAGTACAGCCAGCTATTAGGAACTCCTGATGTCATAAAAAGTCTGTAGCGTCAATTTACAGGATTTATTCACATCATTAAACTTGACCCAGCCTGTTCAATGAAAGTCTTTTAATTAAACCTTTTGTTGTTACATTTTCTATATCTATATCTAGAGAGAAACTTTGTATTTACAGACGCTAATAGGAGAGGACCAGTATGTATTCACCAGGCTAAACAAAATATATGACGCAATGCCATCATCAAAAACTCTCAGCCACAAGCTATTCCCTAGACCCCCTACACCATTCCTGGGCTCTCCCCTGTGTAATATCAGTACCACCAACAGTAATCTCCAAGTAGTAGACCGTGGGGTGTTTGCTGGAGCTAGTTACGCATCAACGAAGATGAAGAAAGAACAGGAATTATGGGAGATTTGTCATACTATGATTCCGAAAGTTCCACGTGCTTACAGCAAGGTAAATTAACTTAAGATTGATATTTGGAATATATTTATTATTTTCTCTGATGGGTTCCTCGTCTGGGAGATGTTCTTAGAATTGATCAAACGTGATATTCGATACACTAAATGGACATTTGGACAAAAATACTTTGTAATAATATTCACTTTATACTCTATTATTCTGTTCCTTTCTTTCACAATGATTCTGAAACAATTTTTGGGATGTTTATCATTTATCATTTTATTCCATTTAAAAAGAATATTTAAATTTTTCTACCATAATGTGATAATATCTGATTGGTTGGTTGCAGGATTATGTAACTGAGCGTATAAAGAAGATTGGAGGTTACAGTATCTTTAATTTGTACATCATCCGAGAGTTGGAGCTCATGTATAAACTCCTTACTGAGATCAAGACAACATTACAGGTAAAGTATGTTAAGGTGGTTGAGATTAATAGTGCTTAAAGTCAAGATTTCTCATACTACTCTAACTACCTTAATTTATCAATTCATGTATTGATAAATACCACTTTAATTAGCAGTTTTTACAGCGTGTTGATCAGGATGTTGATGTGACATAACATACTTAATAGATGTACTGTGTACTGTAGGTGGTAATACAATTGTCAGCCTGAATTGATTTTTTATGTCAAATACACTTTGTTCATTATGTAGATTACTTTTGCTAAAATGACATTATTATCTCCAGTAAATTACTATTGCTAAAATGACACTATTATCTCCAGTAAATTAATATTACTAAAATGCCACTATTATCTCCAGTAAATAAGAATTGCTAAAACGCCACTATTATCTCCAGTTAATTAGTATTGCTAAAATGCCACTTTTACCTTCAGGCAATCAAGGCTGCTTGTGAAGTGAACACTTTAGGTGACCAGTTGTCTCCTAGAATAGTAGCAGCTGCTGATGATCTCTATTACAACCGTATCCCTAAACGTTGGTGTGAGCTTGCGGGAGATACAGCGCCACCTTTGAACTGGGGCCTTGCTGTTTGGCTACAGGATCTTCAAGCTCGATGTCAACACTTTGAGAGAATACTAGTCTCTGTAAGTAGCTATACACAGTAAAACGAAGTGTATAATGCAAAAATACAAATGAGTATGTGTAGTAAGTGCTACCATAGGCTTTCTCTTGAAGGCCCTTGGTGATACAAAAATAAAAATAAAGTGTCTTAGTGCAGAATGCAGGAGATGATTTCATTCATATTGAATACCTATATTTGTTGTCTTATAGGGTCGTGAGAAAATGCCAGCCTATTGGCTAGGTGCATTCTTCCATCCAAGGGGACTACTAGCTCTACTGAAGCAAGAGGCTCATCGTTCTTATGCTCGACAAGACAGAACTGGAAACATTGAACAGTTTGTGTTTCAGACAGAAATTACATCAAGAGATAAAGATCACGTAAGTTGAATCCTTTGTACAAGTCTCACAGATTATCAGATTGGTCCTCTGGGTACTCTGCATCATTGTGATATTTTTTCCGTGGTCAATATCATATTGATTCTTGAAATGAGTTAATATTCTTCCCCTTTTGCTAGACAACCCCTATATCAAACATAAACATTTCATTGTCTCTATATCTTTTTTACTGTACAGTAAAACCTGTCTTAGTGAACACCTCTCTCTAGTGAACACCTGTCTCTAGTCGACATCCTTCCTCAGCACATACTCTACTGACATCTTTATAAATTACCCTGTTATTATCTGTATTATCTGTAGTGAACACCTACCAACACTACGTTTTTCCTAGGCAAAATATTTTCAATATAGGCAGGCTTTACTGTACATCATAAAATGTATAAAATGCTTTCTCGTATTACCCCTTCATTTATTGTTATCATTGTTTGAACAAAATTACTTTATTTTGAATTAGCCTTGACCTTTAATATATTCACTTACATTATGTTATCATGGGAAGTATAGAATATTTCCAATATTATTTCTTTATATTTCAGTTACGTGATCCACCCCAGGAGGGCATGTTTGTATTTGGTCTGTTTATGTGGGGATGCAGCTGGGAGAAAACCACTGGAGAGCTCCAAGACTCTGCCCCTCGTCATGCCTGCACTGCCCTCCCCGTCATCCACGTCACTTGTTGGCCCCAGCACGACAAGCCAATCATACAAGACCCTGCCCGTGCACTGGAAATCTACCAGTGTCCTGTATACCAGAGTAGGATTTCACAGCGTGAGCCGATCATGGAAGTTGATGTGCGGCACGAGAACGTTGCATCATCACGTTGGGCGTTAAGAGGACTATCTGCTACTGTGCGACCATATTAGATTATCAGTTGATATTATAAAATGCTCATGGAGTGTAATTATTCCAAAGACATTTTAGGAAATTGGTCACTTTCGGAATTAATGTAATGTTTATAATGAGATTAACCAGTTGATATTATTTATTATTGCTCATAGTTTTTGCATTTTATTATCATTGTTAATTATTGTTTAAAGTGCATATATTTATTTTTAATACTTCAACTATACAAAGATATCCGTCCAAGACATTTGTAAAATACATGTAAATATATAAGAATGTGATATTGCATTTTAAACTTATATCTTGAAGAGAGCCCATGAAGATATTTACAAAGATTCAAAACATGACATGACTTATTTTAGAAAAATATAAAAACTCGCTAAAGATTTTTGAAGTATGAATTTTTGCAGTTCTACAAATAATATTGAGAACCAGATTTACAATTTTGTTGGCATTTGAATGTGATATTCGAATAACAGTTCAAGTGTATTGTAAATGAAAAAAGATCTAGATTATTACATATAAATCTCACTTTATTTAAAAGATTCAGAGTATTTTGTACGTCTGTGATGTAAAATGCATCAGAACAACATCAGATTGCCAACTTATTTATTAAAAGCACTAAAGAGATACAAATGTAAATAGTGCTCTGTGGTTAACACCATCTGAAAAATTTTGAAGTCCAAATTCATTCATATAACAAATAACGATCAGACACCTGTTTGCAACGTCTTAAAATTGATTCTACAGATATACAGGAATAAAAACATATTGATTCCTTTATTTGTGTGTATGTATGTATTATCATCCTCATAAGACTTAAGCAGTTGATTATGCTCCTTTTAAAGAGGTTCAATTCATCCTTTTAAAGAAGTTCAATTCAAAAGATGCACAAAGTTCCCTTTTTGAAATACTGATCTCTACGAACTGAATTAAAAGCTTGCAGGTCTGAGAGTGATACATACTCTAGCAGTAATGATGTTTTTATCATGATGTTATTTCAGGATTTAAGCCCTGGACTCAGTGCTTTGTTTGCTGAGTCATACAAAGAAGTTGTTTCCAAATCTTTGCATGACCGCGCAGCGGGAATGCAAAGTTTAGGAAACAACTCCTGAGTGGAATGAAGCAGCTACATATACAATGCATTGAGTCTTGGGCTTAAATTCTTTTCACACATTGCAAAATATTTTCTCCAAAATATTACATTCAATTCTAGTATAGACAGTTAATCAGCATGTCCTGTCTAACGTACCCACAAAACTTTTGAGTAAAACTTTTAATAAAGATAAAATGTTCTTCCTACCTACCTCCCCTAATCTGAAAATTCATAGAACAGGAAACAGACATATATTTTTGTTTGGCCTGAAGCAAAATTTAGATTCCTCGTTTCAAAAGCAAATTTTAGAGTGATGCATTATTTTGTCTGTTCTTGACGACTAGGAAATGGTATTTATTCCTATTCACATTTTATCAGACGCAAATCCGTCATCCGATCCTGCACAAAGATTTTGAATCTCATGCATCCGGGAACTTTATCGACGCCCAAACTGGCACATCGACCTTAAGATCATGAGGAAATTCTTGTATTACATTTATAATGGGCAATGTCAGGACCTTTGTAATATACCTAATAGTTGCACTTGGCGTCATTAATAGTGTCATTAAATTAGCCATTTAGCCCACTATCATTGATATGCATGAGGAAATGGGTTAGTATGAAAGCTCTTTACTCTCATGAAAATCAATGATTTGAAGTTTCTATGATACCTTAACCGTCCTTCTTTTGTCCGTCGAATATCGTTTTTTAATGTTTATAATTGATTAGTGGGATCATATTACGCCAGGCCAATAGCCCAGATATAGCCTAGGTCAGGATTTAGGAATCGAAAAAAAATAATGATGGCATCTCAAAAGTCAACATCCGAAAACAACATAATAATGCTTAAATTTTTGTCCTTAGTTGCCAAGTGTACGCAATTCGAAAAACTATGTGTAAGTCCGAAACACTTCATCCATTCAATTCAGATGCAATGAAAACTTTAAAAAGTGATCGAGAAGTCCATAGTAGTAGTCCATGCAATCACCATGCGATATACAACATTGTGTTTCCATAGTAAGATGTACATGAACGAAACAAATGATAATTGTTGATTGATTTTTATCAAATGTTGACTAATTAAAATAATTGTCGATTGTATACAATTGCTGTTGACTGAATATTGTTGTTACTGTTACCTGAAGTGGTAATGATAACAACTGTTTCATACTGATGTACAGTAGTCGTTAATTTGCTGCAATGTCATTGCAGTTGTTCACTGGCCTAAAGTAGACATCGCCTTGTGTGTAACTTGATAGCTGCTCCATTCTGAGCTTTCAATCAAATCAGCTCCACTTGCGTCATCTATCGTAGTGTCCAAAAGCTCACAGTTTGCCCCGGTTACATCCTTAGGCTTGGCGAAGTTGTAGCCCACACACGAAACATTGTTGAGACATGCATTGGCGCATTGGAGTTTTCTCTGTATGTATACAGCTTCCACTATGTGGCCTTCTAGACGGTGGCCTTTGGCACGATTTGAGCTGTATGAGAAGTCGACCGCTGTCGATTCATATGTTGTAACAGAGGCAGCTGTTGGCCCAACTGTAATTACAGCCTCGGCCGTTGGTCCATCTGTAGTAACAGCCTCAGTTGTTGGTCCACCTGTAGTTACAGCCGCGGTTGTTGGTCCATCTGTAGTTACAGTCTCGGTTGTTGGTCCATCTGTAGTTACAGCCGCGGTTGTTGGTCCATCTGTAGTTACAGTCTCGGTTGTTGGTCCATCTGGGGTTACAGTCTCGGTTGTTGGTCCATCTGTAGTTACAGCCTCGGTTGTAGGTCCATCTGTAGTTACAGTCTCGGTTGTCAGTCCATCTGTAGTTACAACTTCGGTTGTTGGTCCATCTGTGCATGTAGTTACAGCCTCTATTAAAGGTAAAATTGATTGATTAAGATTACATATATTATACAATATTTACAATATAAGATTATAAAGGCTGAATCTAACTAACAGAGGTAGTTTTGTTTGTGATGGTACATGAAATATACGCGTTCCAATGTTGTCCTCCCGAAAAATGGTCAAAAATGGCAGTGTACGACTTGACCTCCCCTCATTCACAACAATAAGGATCAGAAACTGTTTACTGATTCTCAGATGATCATGATAATATCATCATGATAATACCTTGCGACACTGACAAATGATCCAAATAACAATGAGCTTCAATGACCCCAAGTAAACAATTCACCTGGTTGTTTCTGACAGGCATATGCCATCGACTCTGAGCATGTCCACGTAAACCAATCCCCGTTCATATCCACGGAGACACAGCCGTCTGAGTAGCCGGTATGATTAGGTTGCAACGAACCCCAAGAACTCCAAGCCATCGTCGTATCGTCAAGCCACGCAAAATCGTCTGCTGTGGCGTTAACGTATTGTTGACCGATCCAACGGTCACACTCCGAAAAAGAGCATGAGCTGTTCAAAAATAAAATAATAAGCATATTATCACACGGTGGTGTTAACATCATAGAACAACACAAAACAGTTTAATAATGATCATTCAGTTAATGTGGCTCCATGGACTTCAATGAGAAGTCGATGGTGGCTCGCAGCCTAATCTATTTTACATGTTAAATAGGATGAAAAGTAGCCCGTGTTAATCAAAAACAAATTGTTTTATTTTCTCTCCATTATCCCAAACATATTTGTGAAACTCTTACATGATACTTTCGAAATAATCTTCTTCGTTGGAGTCGGAAAACGTGACGAGGTGTCCTCCGTCCGTAGCACAATAGTCCTGGGCGTCCTGGAAGGTCTTTTCATTTGCGACTCCATTGTTATTGGAATCAGCGTAACAATGGTTGTTGTACAAGATCCAGTAATTACCCGAAGGACACGAGGCAGCTGGAAAAACGGTCGTCATCAATATCTTCCGGGAACGATTACGTGTAAGAAGGAAAGGGCGTTAAACATTTGGAAAACAAACCCTGTAAACCATATGAATCAATAATGAAGAAAAAATAATTTGTTCACTTTTTCATAACCTGAATGAACAAGGGGGTCAATTGCCCCCTGCCATTTGAACCCGTCAATTGAATATTTAAATCGTTAGGCTCGTACCATTGGAAAGACTGCTCAAACAACACTCGGGCGGTATATCAACTTCTGTCAGAAGAAAACTAAATAAGAATACTTAAGAATATGTGGGCTTATTCATTTAACTATTTATTTGTTATCTGGAAAGCAGGCTATTAAGGGGAGATAAAGGTAAGGTCCCGGTAAGGGAATATCACTGGAAGAAAAAGGATGATTTAAATAGGGGAAACCGGTGAACATCTCATTTTTTCAAAAATGGCACTTGGACATTATTGTTCTGATAGGGCGATTTGCATATATATAACTTACAGTCTACTTCACATACGAACTTCCTCGTTTCCGTACAGTCTCCGGAGCGTCGATAACTCAGGTCATTTGGACTTGTGTATATACAGCCTTCATAATTTAGGTATGTTGAATGTATATTGGGGGTCGTTGCACTGACACCCCCAGTGACGTCATGTACCTGTGGAGGCCTTAAACGCATCCCCACCCAATAGCTGCTACCTGACCTACAATATAACAAATAAAACTCCGCAGATGTCCCATGAAAAGGTATGATTAATGTAAAACGATCATTCAGAGTCTTGGACCTTTGTGTCGTTTTCAATAAATTCGTATTCTATAAGAACTGGCTTCCAACCAAACTCCTAAAATATCAAGAAAATATTTTAACAAAAAATAGATTTTCATTCATTTTTCTTCGAAATTACTGCCTGTAACCATGCTGTAACCATTACATTGTCTGGTGGTGAAAATCTCAGAACTTCGTATTCTATTAGAACTGGCTTCCAACCAAATTCCTAAAATTAATTAAGAAAGTATTTTAACAAAAAAATAGATTTTCACTTATTACTGCCTGTAATCTTACATTGTCTGGTGGTAAAAATCTCAGATTCATGAATTCACAAAGTGAAGGTGTTTATGAGCAAATAAGAAATATCTAACTACAGATAAAAAGTCTTTTTTCTCGTAGCCACTGTGAAAGTGTTGAAACCCATACATAGAGAAAAATATGTGTGTTGCAAAAAATTAATTAATCTTTATTTATGTCATTGTGTCATCCTACCTAATGCCTATAAAAAATTTCAGAGATAATACTTATTCCACTTCCTACTTTCCTACCATTAACAAAATTGGCATTTTTTTCATTAAAACATTATCCTTGTTATCTAGAATAACCTTAAATACACATGAAATGAGATGAAGTTTGAAATTATTGAAAAATAACCTACCCCAGTCCCGCGAGGAAAGCATTCAGCCCGCTATCAATATGTTGGACGGGGTCCGCTCCGAGATTGCTACATTTATAACTCGTTGCAGATGTAAAACTTCTGGGGTTTGCAGTTTGAATGGAATAGCACATGCCATTATACAGACTCCATCCTGGTTCACACGTTGCAGTCGTTTCCCCTAACACTACAATAACAGATCCAAGCATTAGCGTAGCCAGGAGGGGGTGCGAGGGTGCGGTTTTGAAGCAAGTTGCATTAATTTTTGTAAAAATCGAATCAAATCTTCAATTTTTGGGGTTTCTTATGCCACGATAGCACCTCCTTAACTGAAAATCGGATTTTTTAGCGGTCGCGCCCCCTCCCCTCACTGAAAGCTGACCACGCCCCTGCCAAGTGATACGTTTCTGTTAAATGTCATATTAGTCTTTCTACACAATGTGCATCTATTCTGTTGAGCAGAACAGCAGTAATAGAGGTAAAAACTATGTCTCGGAAACTAAACAGCAAACTGCAATTTTTCAATACATATTTTCTTCAGTGAGTCATTGCCGATACTTTAAAAAATAACTGTAAAGAAACCATGCCCATTAATTACTGTAATGTACATTTATTCTTTACAGAATGGACTTAGAATCTGCAATGACTGTTTATTTTAAAATGATTCTATAATATTATAAAGTGATGGTTCATTCTTCACTGATTTAATCACTGGTGATCCACTCGATTACGCTGGTTACCGAAACGGTTCGGAACATCGAAGCTACAATATTTTGTTATCTTTTCCTTATTTCACACTTTGTAGGCAGAATTCTCACGGCATTTTTAAGAAAATGTATACATTTGCGAACAAATAGTTCAGAAGACAACAGAATCGTCGATTTAATTACTCACTTAAGTTACAGAAACGGTATTTCGAAAAACAGTTTAGATCTGCACTTTTAACCCAAACCGTTTTTGTAACTTAAGTCACGGTGAGGAATTAAATAGACGATTCGGTTGTCTTCTGAGCTATTTTTTCGCAAACATGTACATTTTCTAAAACATATGATACTGATACACGTTTGTGTGAAAAAACGTCGTGGGGACTCTGCCTACAACGCGTGAAATAGGGAAAAAATAAAAATCGTACCTTCGACGTTCCGACATTTTGTTACCGAAACAAATCGTTTCGGTAACCAGCGTAATCGTGTGGATCACCAGTGTTAATGAAGTCATTTTCATTTTTGCTTTTGTACTGACTGAATCTGTATTTTTTACACTCAGATTATTTGAAGTGAATATTGTCTGTGTACTGTACAGTTTCCAACAAAAGTTCGAGGACTGACTCATCCATTGTTAATTGTTTGCCATAATGAACACGAGGAAGTTATTCCATCAATACACTGTTAAGTTGCCCAAAGTAAAAATCTGAGATTGTTTACCGAAATGTAAAGTCCATTTTGTACTGCGGGAACCGCAACTTAGCTTTTGCACATTGAAAAATTTAATGTGAAGGAAAGGCAATGATGAAAATGAGAAAAAAGATAAAGTTTAACTTCTAAAAATATCTTACCAAACATCCAAATTATGAGAAAGTTATAATCCGCCATTTATACTCTTAGAGTGGTAATACTTCTCAGTTCTACTTCTTATACCCTCATAAATCAATCGATCCCTGCATCATTCGATCTTACCCATCTTTTCCACGGTAACCTGATCGCATCGGGGATCGACCCCCGATCTTAAACTGGAACGCTCCGGAATGAATAATGAGCCAAAAATGACTGATGGGGGTGTACAGGGAATACAAATCACGGGTTGTCATCGAAAAATTCGTACAGCTTGGGGGAGCATGCTATTTTTAATAAAAACACTAAGAAAAACCACAAATAATTTTTAACTCATATTTTTCGTAATATCAAGGAAAATTCTGTTTCTCTTCTGTTTGAAGTCCGATAACGTTAGAGTAAAAGCTGTTTTAGGGGTATTAGTACTAGTTTAGAAGGCATTTATTTAAGAAATATAGACCGAGGAGCAGGGGTAATATTTTCGAATACACCCCGCACGGCTAGGCACAAACGTTTTCTGTACCCCGAACGACCGAAGGGATTGGGGGGTTCGACAGCTGTTCTGTCTGGTCCTTAGGGATGTATTCGGCGATATTACACCTGATCGGTGGTCTAGGAGGATGAACCTGTAGGTGAAAACTAAGCTTACACTACGATAACGTCTCGTCATGATATTGACACCCATGAGTCCAGTGCAATTCCTGGGTATTGTTTTAAATTAATGTAAATGTTTAGATGGAATCAGATCTAGCGAGCAAGCTAATTTTTTGGCTCGTATCATCCTTTGTCATGTCTATTCTCTAAAGATCCCCAAAGTTCATACACTTTATTTCAGGAAAACTAAATTCCCTTAGCATGACCGTTTCGTAGCAATGAACCATCCTTTCATGTTATGTTTTCCTGTACCCTAAGATCTCAATATCTTCAAGACTTAAAAGATGCACTCACTCTTCTAAACTTTTAAAATTTAAAAACCAGCAAGACAAATTTTCATTATTTTTGTATGGGGACAGTAGCTTGTCAAAAGATGCTAATATCAAAAGTTTAAAGCTCATTTCAGTTTTTATTGAAAGGTGCGCAAGTATGTAGGTTTTTCCTCCACCATTATCTCTATTATGTTGTATAAACATTATTGTTTTGCTTAAAGCAAACACATTTATTCCCAACTTTCTTCTTACAAACTTGATTTACTTGTGGCTTATAATGCAGTTCTGCAAAGCCGCAGACATGTGTATGTTATATGTTTGTTGTATATGGAAATAAATCATTAATAAAAAAAATCCATGCAAAGTCCATGCAACATCCATTCAAATCCATGCAAAGTCCATGCAAAGTCCATGCGGCATCCATTCAAATCCACGCAAACCACGTTAATCCACATGCACAGTCCATGCAGGCTGAAAGAAATATTGTTATTAAGGGTCATGCACTGTCCATGCAAAATTGAATGCATTTTCATGGTTTTGGGATTTACATGGCTAAAATTTGTTTATCATTTTGGTCACATGGCCAATGGAACTCCGTAAATGACAGTTCTGGAAATTCAAAAAGAAATTCATAAACGGCTCTGAATGTGATTGGCTTAAGTCACATACCAACAGTTCCCCTTGATCGATATACATGTCATTTGACGGGGAATCCCTTCAATTGCTGCAAACTCATTTGGTTGTTCTGTTGATTTTCTCAATATACATGATATATCAGCAATATTATAGTGCAATGTATCTTTAAATCTGAGAATGCTCAAACACAATAATTGCTCATTCAGGTTAGCCACGGCTTTCTTGCAAAAATTACTGTCAATTAAATTTCCCATCTTTTGGTATTTATAACACATGGTTTGTGATTACAGTGAAAGAAATATACTTATCGTTATTGTCCAACATTTTGAATTAGAATAATATTCCGCTATATTAGTTACAAATAGAATCACAATAACATTACTAGAAACCTTGTCTTAAAGCTGAAAATTAACAATATAATTGTTGACTGCTTCATTCAATGTCGATTAATTAATATAATTGTTGATTAGATGTTGATTGTTTATTGTTTCCTACTTTCATATTTTTTTCAAAAGTAGCAGTCAACAGTACCTAGTAGCGGTCAACAGTACAAATTGTTTACTTTTGTTAACCAGTCAGAATTGAGTATTTCAGCTGAGGTACTAACCATAGTAGTTGATTTGCTGCATTGTCGACCACTTATTGCAGTTGTTCACTGGCCTAAAGTAGACATCGCCTGGTGTGTAACTTGATAGCTGCTCCATTCTGAGCTTTCAAACAAAGCAGCTCCACTTGCGTTACCTATCGGCGGGTATCCAAAAGCTCACAGTTTGCCCCAGTTACATCCTTAGGATTGGCGAAGTTGTAGCCGACACACGAAACATTGTTGAGACATGCCTTGGCGCCTTAAAAGTTCCTATGTATGTATACAACTTCCACTGTATGGTCTGTTGGACCATCTGTAGTTACAGCCTCGGTTGTTGGTTCATCTGTACATGTAGTTACCAGTGGCGTAGGAACAATATACGCCAAAACGCCAATGCGTAGTGTTGAAAAGCTAGAATGAAATAGCTTAATAATTTCCTTATGTTCTTTAGTCATATTTCCTCATTGTTAATAAATTGTTTGTGATCTCGAGCGCACTAAAGAAATGTTTTTGGAAACCATGTAATATGTTCGATTTTTTCAGTACTCTTTGCAAGGTTTTTGTTCCTCTGTTACTTTTTTCTAGCTTCGGCCACGATAAATGGCACTTTTTGGCGTAAAAATCAAGGTGATTTGGGGTAGAGGGTTATGATAGTTGGAAGTTTAAGCCAGTAAAAATGAAAGTACATTTCAACTTCAGTTCTAGGAAAGCAATTACCCTAATTTCTATTTTATTTGAAATATAATAGATTATTATTTTAGGAAATAAAGCATTTAGGCACCAATAATTATTTTGAAAGGAAAAAACAATTTACCACAAAATGTCACGTTGACTTTTGCATGGGCTTTATTTATCTTATAAAAAAAGTTGAAGACATTAGAGTTATGTTGTATCATTGATCACGGACATGTTTCTATTGATCATACTAGTTTCTTTAATCTGTATTGTTGAGATTTAAAAGATCGGCTTTCCATGGTGATTTTATATCATGAAAAACATTCGAACATTTTAGCACAATTAGAAAGGTATTACCATAAAAATTACGTTTTACGAGCATAAAAGAGGCGTTTTGATTCGTTAAGATTTGACACAATTTTTTCATATTTTTGGCGTAGTGTTGAATTTACACCTTCCTACGCCCCTGGTTACAGCCTCTGTCAAAGGTCCAATTTTCACATTCCAGATCACATTTTTCTATGGTTGTAGCACAAAATGTCACCACCTGACATTTGTTACTGATACTGAACGCTGAACACCAACCGCCGAACACCGTCCACGGCAACAACGCCTGAGTGGAATGAAGCAGCTACAATGCATTGAGTCCTGGGCTTAAATTCTTTTCACACGTTGCAATTTTTATACAAAATCATCCAAAAGGAACGAAATCACTAAAAGAACACATTTTCAATGGAATTTTTTGCTTGGGTCAACCTGGCAAGTCATCAAATCCAATGTGAAAAGTCCATTCATCACCATGACAACTGTTTAACTAGTGACCTTGCATCACTGATATTATCATAATCATTATAAATATTTCACACACTGTTCATTATGTGAATACTCTGTTCTGATTGGCTGGAATCGGACACATCTTGCCTAGCTATGTGTGAATTTCTTTTTATTCATCTTGGACATATTTATGAAACTCTTAGTCTGTTACATGATACTTTCGACATTATCTTCTTCGTTAGAGTCGGAAAACGTGACGAGGTGTCCTTCATACGTAGCACAAATGTCCTGGGCGTCATCGAAGGTCTTTCCAGTTCCAAGGCCGTTACCGGGGGTATCAGCATAGCAATGGCCGTTATACAAAGTCCAGGAATCACCCGTTGGACACGCAGCATCATCAGCTGGAAAAATGATCGTCATCATTATTTCTAGGGAATGATTTGATGTGAAAAGTATAAAGGGCAACATTTGAAAAACAAACCCTGCAACCCATTTGAATCAATAGTGAAGAGATGATTTAGTCGCTTGTTTCATAATTACGAACGGAGAGCGCGCCTGGTGTCCCTGTCATTTGAAGTCAAATGAATATTTAAATCGCTGGTACCGTTAAAAAGACTGCTGAACCAACACCCAGCCGGTGTAAAAGGGTAGGAGGTCCTATCAAATTATGGTCCTACTCTCCATTGATTTATATGGTGACCTAAATACAACTCTTTCCCTTATTATCTCATACACAGTCTGGGCCAGAAAGGGCCGTTTAGAAAGGGGACCATAATTACTTTCACACCGGTATATCATTACCTGTCATAAGAAAGGGTGAATAAGGTATACTTTAGGAAAAGGTATCGGGGCTTATATATTTAATTGTAAATTAAGCTTAAATTTTGCAGATATGTTGATTTATTTGCAAAAATATCGATATATTACATGAATTTTGATATAAAATCAAAACGCCAACCTATACGTATAACTAATCGCCCATATAGGTTGTGAAAACCATCGCAAGCTTAAACTCCTTAATATGTCCGTTTTACGTTTGCGTTTACATGAATTTTGTCGTATCACATGAGCGATATATACGACGTGTATTTCGTCCGTTTTACGTTTCCGTTAGTAGTAAATTTGTCGTTTGCATATGCTAAAATTGGGCCAAGCCGGGAATTGAACCCGGGACCTCGCGCACCCGAAGCGCGAATCATACCCCTAGACCACTTGGCCTGCGATAAGATAATCAGATCATGACATATTTTTTTTACCACATAAAATCGATATTATCAGAAAAAGATATTAATTTTTATAACAATCAAGCACATGTCATATTAACCCATTACACATTAGATGCTGCAAATTATCACGCGGTACTAACTTCGACCTTTAATTTGAATTTTTAACTTACCAGATGCTCGAAAATTAAGGATTGCGAGTCTCATACTGCACCGTTTTTCTTCAAACTTATACCATTAAAAGCAAAACA